GTTGAGTTGTGCCCTCAAATATAAGTCAGCTATCATGGTGATTTTGCAGCTATAGAGGTGCGTAATGCTTGAGTTGAGAACTATGAGCTATAAATAAAGGATTGTCATCTTATTTGAGTCTCCCCTAAATGAGTAGTGCTAAAATAGCGCAAAATAGTACTACAGTAGTGCAAAATAGCGAAAATTAGAGGACCACATTTGCGGTAGTGCTATAGTAGTATCATGTTGGCACTACATGGCACTATAGAAAAAGCGATAGTGAAGAGTAGTTATAACTAGTACCAAGTATACTAATTAGTGCTTAGTTGCACTACTGAAGAAGTGCGTCTGAATAGTAGCTCTAATGTAGATGTCATCTCTACTAACACTTGCTAATATAGATGAGATTATCTGAATAGTGATAATTAGTGTCAATTCGCAAAGGCTGTTTTTCCAGATGCAACGGCCTCTCAACCTCATCCTGCACACGAAGACCCGATGACTGAGTGCCGGCAGGATGGTTGAGCACTGCTACAGGCTAAAAAAGGTATGTCGTCTCCTCAAATTCACACAACGGTGTCCGTTCCCTTGGGTCACTGCATCCGCCTTGTTCCCCATCTTGTTCCACGCTGCTCCTTTGCGACCCCATATGTTGCGATGCCAGCAAGGACGAGACCTTTCTGTGCATAGGGTGTTTCACAGACTGTTCGAGGATCGCAATATCGCAGAACAAGCTCGCCTTCAAGAGCAAGGTCGTCTCGCGGGCGCACGCACATCCCTGGTGTCAAACTAGGGGCATTCTCATCGTCCGGCACACCAGCCTCTCATCGCTCCATCAATACCCTACTCTGCCCAGTGCCAAGGGACCATCCCATCACCGTCATCACCTCCAACACTGGCGTGTCAAGTCGGAGGCGGTCAATCTGCGCAAGCAGAGCGAGTGCTCGCATCCCCCACCTCCCTGAGTACCCGCCTGGCTATGGACACCACTGTCCGGGCTGCACCGCAGTGGAACCACGAGACGGCGATGCTATTTGACGTCCCACGTTGCCCGTCACTCCCAAACTCTTCTCTATGGCATGCACCGCTCGGCCAGACATGCACCGAGCCTCATTGTCTCTCCCATCATTCTCTCTGCCCGCATATCACCTTGCCAATGTCGGATCGCAATGTTGTCTCATACTTTATCCCTGCCTGCTTTCCGTCGAAGCACAGCGCGCCGCTCAAGTCCGCCTGATCCCATAGCGCCCTCTGCGGCCGTCTTGTACGACCTGACGACGACAAGGTGCGTTCGTCCATCCTTTCTATGCCTCAAACACCATACAAATGTCTTATTGTCCTAGCTCCCTTTCACCGCGCCCTCACCCACAAGGCCTACTTGCGCCGCACAACAGGCCACGATCCGTCGCCCTGCCACAGATTATATCTTGCACCACACTCCCCTCATCCATCCTACCCCCCGCATGCACCCTTCTGCCACGTCGCACGCTACTCTCGAACAGCCTCTCACTCGCCCACCCACCACAATATCCTAGACGACTGAGTACTTCACCAAGCCCCCACGGTACGATGCGTGCGACACAGCCGCGCTCATGGCCGCAATGTACGCCGACAAGTCCTCATCCCAGTGTCGTCCACAGGATGTTGCACCACTAGCAGGAAGCTTTTCGCGTGGCGCATCCGCTGCTCCGTGGATATCAAGCCCTCGAAGATCAGCTCTGTACCTGTCGATACCTTACTTGCCGGAGACAATACTCTCAGCCGTCTGTATGCACTCTCCTGTCCAGCGCATGCCCAACGATCCGCTCTCATCGATCTTCTCGATTGCGGTCCTGGACGAAGAAGACGAGGACTCGCTCACCTTCTCAAACCTGATGCTCGTGTGCCTGTGTTGGGGAGAGGTGGCGATTAACTCTCCGATGCTCTGGACGCGCATTGCAATGGAGCGTGTCGCACGTGCAAATGGCGACAGGAACGGGTTCGCGTACACGCACACCGACCTGAGCACGGTGGAGACACTGGAAATACTTAGTGTGAGGCATAATGGGAGCGTGTTTTGGTCGCCCCCGTTTACGACGTCGCTGGCTATGTTGAACTACAGGGCGGATCGCAGCTTATGCGGCTGGAGAACGAATGCCTCGTAGAGAGGCTCGATATCGCCTGCTTGGGATTCACAATCGCGCTCACACTTGTACTCCCGCTGCTCGTGCTCCTGCTCCTGCCCCCCCTCCCTGAGCCCTCTGTTGGAGGTGTCGAGATCTTCTGAGCCATGCGCTTGTTGTTCATCCTCTTCTTTTGAGTGTCTCCCCACAGTTTTGCATGTCGGACAAATCACCTTGTACATATTGCTGACGTGTATCCGAGCAGACAATGAAAGCATTTGTGGCGGTCGCAGACCTCTGATTTGGACCGATCACCACTTTCCAACGGAAGGGTGCACCTCCGAAGAAGATTCCGTGGTCAGCATTTATGCTTTCGGATGATGATTGGGAGTGTGTCAATCTCTGCGGTAAAATTCTAGAAGTATGTGCCTTATGTCCGTTTGCACTTGTCTTGTGATCGGAAAATACTAATGCATGTTCTTACACCATATAGGATGCAAATAGCTATCATCAGATATGTTCCACCACACGCTCGCCAACATTGCATCAGGTGATCCCCACTATCGAGTGCCTTGTCTCGAAGTGGGAGAAGAAGTCTCGGGACCCTGACTACGGGTTGTTTCATGACGCTCTCAAAGCAGGTCTATCGAAGCTTGACAAGTACTACAAGAGGCTGAACAATGCAGACATCTACATCCTCGCCCTCCGTACGTGGCTTTTGTTATTTCTGCTCTTGCTCTTTACTGACGTAACATGCTGCAACAATAGTCATTCACCCCTACTACAAGTTTGAGTACATAGAACACCAGTGGGGTGGAGAGGCCGAATATCTGGCTGATGTGACAGCTGGCATTCCAAACCCCCGGAACTGGGTCGCATATGCCCGTGAAGTTGTCGAAAAGGCTGTGGGTTCTGTATTGTGACTATTGCTGTTTAGTTACTCATGTTTACCTGCTCTAGATGCGGAAATACTGGCCCATTCGGTTCGGGCGTCCGACAGCAGATGCTGCGAGACCAGGAGCTGAGGAATTGTCTCCCACTGGGACTGATTCGGACGATGAGTATGATCGTGCGTGCCAAGCCATGCTGCGGCGTGGAGAGCCTGAGGACAGATGGAAATTGGAGCTCGAGAGCTGGTTCAAGGATTGTGGCACTCCGGAGGTCAAGAAGGACATGGATACTGTGAAGTATTGGGAGGTAAGTGTGTTTATCTGTGCCCCCAATAGTTGTTTTCACCAAATTGCCCTATTGTAGTGCTTTCACAGGTCATGGCCCACGCTAGGTCGGATGTCCATAGACATTCTTCCGATTGCCGCAGCCTCGGTAGGTATTGAGTCGCTTTTCTCACGGGCAAAACAGGTGTCTACCGACCGCCGCTCCACCCTCGATCCAGAGCTTTTCGAGCAGATTGAATGCCTGAAGTATTACTGGAAGCCTAAGCTGGTTGACTACGCACGCGCTAATCAAGATACCATTGAGGAGATTTATTTGCAGGAGTTTGAGAGCATGGAGAAGGCGGAGCGTATCATAGCTGAGGCATACGGGAATGATGACGTACCTAGCGGCTCAGATTCGGACTGAGTAGCATTATAGTAGCTGTTTTGGCATTGATCTCACTTCTTTTTTGGCCTCAAGTCGGTCATGACCGGTCCCATAACCAGTCAAGACCGGTCAAGACCGCAAAGGACTGCAAATCAGTCTTGACCGGTCAAGACCAGTCACAGGACCGAGGTCCGGTCCTGTCTTAACAGGACCGCTGGTGCAGTCCGGTCCGCCCCAAACAAGTACAGTCCCGTCTGGTCATGGTCCCGGTCCTCTCGCTTGGGGGTCCGAAAACCGGACTTGACCGGACCCTGCAGCACTACCTCTTACGTCACTGGGGACTAGGTGAGTTACCGTTTGTATCTTTGTACTTGTCAATATACTTACGTCACTGGGGACTAGGGACTAGCCTATGCCTGTATGCCACTACGTCTTGCTGGTAGGTTTGTGCCTCCGTGCCGCCCTGGCCCTTTTAACCCTTGGTTCGGTTCCCTGGTATGTCGGTGCCGTGCTGTGCGAGACCTCTCTGTCCGCACCGTCGCCCGCCCTCTGCCTTGTATACTCCTCTCTTTCCCTCTCCTCCTACGTCCTCAGTCTTACGCTATGCTCGACTCGGCACCGATCACTGAGCCTCAGACCGTCACGCCTAGTCTCCGCGACAGAGTGGGGGATGATAGTGTACAGGTGGACGACGGAGAGCTGGAAAGGTAAGCATAGGCCGCCAGGGATAGGAAGAGGGTTGAGTGTACACGAGGGCGACGAGAAGGAGTAATTCAATAACAAAAAGATGGGGGTGGGGCGTACCGATGGTAACAATATGAACGTACTAGTGGTCACGGAAAGTATTCAAACACTCGTGTTTAGGCGCCCATTGACTGCTCCTCCTCCTGGTCCTGTAAGTAGTATAAGTAGACATATCTCTACAGTAATTGAGGTATATATTGCTGTTATTGTCAGGAATGTGTGCGCACCATGTGATAGGGATATGATCTCTATCTTGAGCCAAACTAGGCTCAACAAATCTCAGCATGCTCAGTGAGCATGAGCAGCACATTCACTATTCTTGGGTACTGAGAATTGATCAGAGTACCTCCAACTTCTTGCGCATGAGTCTGCTTATATGGGAGATTCTACAACATCAGAAAGTATAGTGTATCTATGCCTCTGCTTGGAAAGATTAGTGCTAACATGAGTCCAAAGTAAGCGTAGTTCAAGGATATTGTATTCTACTGGGCATTTCTCCAATACCATAGCTAAAGTTAGAGACTTGAGTTCTGATTATATTAGTATCCCTCTCTATGCATCTACCTATAACAACAGGGTGCACAGTATTTATAAGGGGAACCAAAGAATGGCAAGAAAGTGTCTTACTAGCTTCATAGAAAGAGCTGGTCTAGTATTGTAGGACTATTTTCTCAAGAAAGAGATGGCCAAAAGCTGGTGACCACTAATAATATAGACCCTCCTCTATGACTAGATATATGTGCAAGAATATGGAGGTATGCTGATCAATCCCTAGCACCCAAGAATGGCAAATGTTCTACTCATGCTCACTGAGCATGCTGAGATTTGTTGAGCCTAGTTTGGCTCAAGATAGAGATCATATCCCTATCACATGGTGCGCACACATTCCTGACAATAACAGCAATATATACCTCAATTACTGTAGAGATATGTCTACTTATACTACTTACAGGACCAGGAGGAGGAGCAGTCAATGGGCACCTAAACACGAGTGTTTGAATACTTTCCGCGACCACTAGTACCCTTGCATTGTACCTCACTTGCTTTGTAAGCACACATTATAATATGTGCCTATATAACTGAGTTGCTTGAATTGGATCATATAGGCTTAAAGTCACTAGTGTATCCATATCATGTATGTAATTTGTGTATTCTTTGCTGTAACAGTTTATTTATATCTCCATATATATCTACATGATGCTGTGTGAATTTAAGGCAAATGGTCAGACATTTGAGAGTATGCTCCTGTGGCTTAGAATTGCTCCCCCAGTGGATGCTCAACATCCCTCATGAACAGGGTATCTGCCTAGGCCAACTGTCACAGCCAACGAGCTGTGCCACCAAAACAAACAAGGGCAAAGCTTACTGATGCAGAGGTTGGTGCTGAGAAGCGAAGCAACCAGAGGTGACACAGCAAGAGATGTGAAGAGATGTATTCCCTAGACTAGAAGGGGCAGTAAGGAAGGTAGGGCTGCTAGCTACCTACAGAGGAGATGGGGAATCGATGAGAAGATCAAGTCTGAGGTTCCCTGCCTCAGACTCCCTACTATATATACTAATACACCGGTGCACAGACCAGGTACCTATTGACCATTGTTTGGTCAGAGTTCTCTGCCTCATGTCCTACCCTCTGACCTGCCTCATGGTGACCTTACGACTAATACCTGAGTCGTGCCGAGTCCGGACCCCTTCCAATGAATAAGTGCTCCTGCTATCACATCAGTCACCTGTCAGTGAGTGAGGATGGGCGCTCCCGGCCGTCATGAGGTCTGGGGTTCAATCCTGGCCCCTCCACTTTCTGATACGAGTTGTCCGCGGTCAAGGTGAGTGTCTGTTCCAGTACACATGACCCCCAGGTCACGTGGCACAAGAAAACTGTGACACCAACTCAGAATACTCAAGAGCATTCCCATGGCAAGAAATTGTTTCCTAATGTAGGGAACAGTCACAGAACATCAAACCCTCAGATTTGTTTCCACATTATCTCTCTATTCCAAAAACAGGGACCTTACCTGTCATGTCTTCCTCACTTACCATGCCTCTCCTCAATTTGGCACAAGTCATACTATTCAGTGTTATCCCCTACCAAATTGCTAGCATGCATCTAGTACATGACTAGCTTTGTGATCATGAAATCTCGTTGCATTTCTCACAGAACACAATTGACATGCTATCCCTGCACAATCTCAGAACACTGTGCCATCACTTTCTATTTCAATAGGTGGTCCACCCATTGCAGGACGTCTCTGCTTTGCAATCTCACGCCCTCCTTTCCACGTCGCGCTCTCCAGAACCTGAGCGAGAGTGAGCTGCTCCGCTGACAAGTCCAGCTGCCTCCGTATTTCGTCAGCGACACGGTCCCTAAAGACAGCAAGCCGCTTAGCAAAATCGGAGATGTGGGGAAGAAGAATCATACAGCTCGATGACCGTCATCGCTCTCCACTCGATGATGGCGGGGTGGGAAGGAGGCAGCTTCGGTATGCTTGAGCTGGGGTCTGGGTACAACGAGGCATCCAGTACGCCGGGCCGTAGAGAGAGTACTCCGAGATCCACGAGGAGACCACCTGCCCGAGAAGTCTCCGAATGAGCACATCCAACGAGTGATAGGAAAGTAACTGTACCGTTTCTGTACTCAGGCAGACCAGTCATATGCTCGATGCCTTCGAACTTCCAACCCAGCACCTTCTCAAGTGGTTCAACGAGACTGTATGTGATCCATCCTGTCAGCTTATGGAAAGGGACAAGTTCATCTCCCTCTTTGTACGTGCCAGCGGTCGCGCTCTGCTTCTTGAGCGCTTCGCACGGCCAAACGTCACCAAGCGGGATACCGCCTAGCGTCGTCCGTGTTGCGGGCCATATAGGAGCAAGACCCTCGATAAGAGCGGTCCAGAGCGCGGATATGTGCACCCGTCGAACACCGCCCTCTGCGACAGATTCCGACTCAAGGAAGTCTTTGAAGTGATTCGTCAGGTCAGTCAGGCCAGTCAGACGGATTGCATCACGTACCAACAATATGGCCAGGCCGACCGGCATCTCCGAAGTAGGTGACACTCGCGCGAAGAGCCTTGCTCAGATTCACCAGGAGCGAAGTCCGACCCTCGAGTCCGACCAAAGGGTTGCTAGCCGATACTTGCATGGCGTTTGCCACTTTGGACGCAGTGACCTTGGAAAGACCATCGGCTGTTGGCTCGAGTCAGCTGACCAGCAGTAGGAACGGACACTGATATGACAGCATGCTCTCTGTATGCGCGCAATGGACACCCACCGTCGACCTGATAAGGATTCGCGGCATCCCCGGAGAAGAGACCCTGCTCAAACATGGCGATACTGGCGACCCCAAGCCCTTCGGATCGCGAGAAGCTCAAACCCGAAGATTCCTCCTTGAATGACCACGAGTTACCCGCGCCTGCATCGAGCAAAACGGAGACGAGGAAGAGATCGATAAGTCGCCGCGTGGTCTCCTTCACGTCAGGAGGATTGAGGGAGTTTCGCCACTTGTTGATGAGCGGATCTACACGCGAACGTCCGGCATCGAGGTGTCTCCACCTCCCATGAGGCGGAATCTGGTATGAGTGCGAAGTATCAGCCAGCGTAGGTGAACAGATACCGTTACACGCTTACAGCCGCGAAGTTCGTGCCAAAGTCACGCTATCAGATCAACATGAGTTTTATGGTGCATACACGAGACAGTGAGACGTACCTTTATGATATCTACGCAGAAAGCCGCAACTTCCGGCTCCTTCTCCGGATGGTAGTCGAAGTATTCGAGCTTACCCTCCTGGGCAAGGGCGTGCACGCGACGGCATCTCTCGCGGATCGCTGGTAGAGTTCTGAGGTATGCCGCCGTTGTGACTGGGGAGTCGAATGCAATCGGATTCATGATGAGTATTGAAGTTCAAGACGAGATGCCAGCAGAAGGAGATGGAGGGCAGAGAGGAAGTGTCGCCGAGCTCGTTTTCGGCTATCGTCGGTCTTCCTATCTAATCTCTTGCCCTCTCGGGTCGGAGATCTCCGATTCCGCGGAGGAACAGACACATGGCGCATAATCCAACCCTGCGAAATGTAAGAGATTTTCCGGGGCAGTCCTAACTTGAACAGCTGATATTCCCTCCGTTTCTCCCACAAGTATAGAATGACTTTCACAGAAAGATACAACACGTTTCTTCTCATACAACAGAACAACTTTGGAGTGCCACTCGCCAGAGTGGAGAAAGGGGCTTAATGGCTAGCTTTCACAAAGGTTTTCCGACGCTCAGCCTGTGAAAGCTGACCTTTCCCGGACATTTTCCCTGACAGGGCGAGCGCGCGGGAAAGGTGTAGTTTTCTCTCGGGTTCAATTCTTAGAAAGGCGTTGAGAAAGTCAAATTGTTGCGTCATGTGGTGTAGATGTCATGTTTCCGGGCAAAGTTAAGACTGTCCCAAAGTTTCTCTCGCCTTTCTTCGCACAAGAATTTGGCCCGTGCCTGCCGTGACATTGACATTGGTTCAGCGTAAGCGAGTGTCTGCGCCGGGCTATAGCTAGTCGATCAGTACTGTCGATGCACACATGGGATCAGACCCTTCGCGTATGTCATTGTACTCTCTCAGTCATGGGGTGAACGTTAACCTAGATCATAGAGACCGGCATTGTGCTGCGGTACTAGCGTTCCCCTCATATACCGCGACGCTCCCCACTCGACGACCCCAACTTCCTTCTTCGTCCTCAATTCTGCTGCAGCTTTTATGAGCACCGAGCAGGTGCGATGCAGCCAGGAACCAGTCCACAAGACCGGTTTACCCTAGTATCTACTTACCTAGAGGCAGCGCAGGCGGCTACAGTACTCGCTAGCTCTCCTGTCCTTATCGTCGGCTGCGAAGGCGAGAGCCTTGGCCATCCCCATGGCTCACTCACACTCCTGTCTATCAGGATTCAGCACCCCCGACGGCTCACGCATCCTCCTCATCGATGTCCTAGCCCTGCGCGACCCGAATAATCCCTCCCTCAAACCGCTTCTCGCGCTCCTATCGAGTAACAAAGTGCTGAAGGTATTCTGGGATGGGCGCACGGACGTCCTCGAGCTCTCCTTGACATACGGAGTCTGCGTCGCGCCCGTGCTCGATCTCCAGGTGGCGGAAGTGGTGCACCGCTCCAAGTGGCAATCAAAAGACCGCCACTTGAGGGCTCTTGCGGAGAAAACCTTCAAGTCGATCCGCAACGAGGTCCTCGCGAACCCGGCTGTCTTTGATGGGATTTATCCCCTGATTGGCTTGGACGGGTGCCTCCGCTACCAAGGAATAGTCAACGAGCAGGCTAATGATGGTGAGCAATCTTGCATGCGCACTCATGTTGTGATGAACTCACCAGTAGATAGAGGAAGTCGTGAAGATGCATAAGACGCAAGGATCCGTGATGTGGACACAGCGCCCTCTTCCGGCAAACCTGCTCGCATACGCTGCACGTGACGATGAGCTCATCGCCGCACGCTACCGACACGCCATCCACCGTTGGAGGATCGGGAGCGACGATACCTTACTAGAGAAGCTCAAGAGCCAGTCAGCCACTTACGTATCAGTATACCACACCCGGGAGCAGAAGGCACGACACCACGCTCTCGAACTCGGCAGATTCATGCCAATGGGTGTCCTGGACGAGGCTTCCGCAAACAACCCTCGATACAGGTGCGAGCGTTGCGAGTTGAAACTGCCGCTCAGCTGCTTTGTGAAGTCAGGCGGTGAGAAAGCAGGAACAAGGGCGCGCACCAGTTCGGCAAAGTTGCGGAGATGGTCCCTTTGCCGCCTGTGCGGCGCACTTGCTCGCAAGAATCAGGAGACTGGGCAACGCTGGCTAGACGTCTAGGGAACGTAGCACGAAGGCTCGGCAGGTGGAGCTATAGAATTGATCGAGCGATGATGAGTGTGAAGTGGGCGTAACGTAACATTAGGATGAGTGCAGTGTTAGTAGGATAGGTACTAACGACGCTGTGGGCGCGTCGGAATGCGTGGTGCCGTAACAGTATATGCTAATGCGCTGATTTTTTCCCTGAGAGCGGCTAGATCAGCGCTGCGCGGAAGGTGAGGAAGGAATGCGAGCTGACCATCTACGAACATGTTGCGTGTTGCTGCAGGCAAAGTGGCAGTCATGCCGTCGAGCTCTCTCGTCAACCGCACTTGGCAGCCCAGACGAGAAGTGTCTGTGAGACCAAATGCCATATCAAGCATATCGTTTTCGTCGTCCTGTCTCCGGGAGAATATGATTCGGAGGGAAGGGAGGCATCAGGACGGAGAAAGCGCACCTCAGGTTCGGGGAGCTTGTCGTATGATTCCGAGTCAAGGATTACATGGCACGTAGAGCAAGCGACTGAGCCTTCGCATGCACCTGCCAAATGATTGGAAGATAGGTTTCGAATGCCAATCAGGAACGTGACATGATAAAGTCAGATAGCGCACCTTCGAGGTCAATATCGTACTCGTGAGCGATTGTGAGAATGTCGTCTCCCTCGTTAGCCTCCACGGTTTTGAGATGGTTTCCTTTGGAGTCCTTGAAATGAACCTTGATTCTGCAAACATAAGCGTGCGCAACGGATTACATTGAGCGCATGATGAGGCAGAAGACCGGAGAAGCTGAGTGGACGGACCCAGTGCCGGGTTCTGGTCGCTGAATGCCTCCGTGCCGAGCAACTGGGAATCGAAACCGTTAGGCGTACTCAACATATAACCGATGCAGAGAAGGAATGTGTACTATATGTGCTATGGAAGCCGCGAACCTGATATAGGAATCGACACTGGCCGGCTGGAGAACCGACCGATGGCCGTGCAGGTGGGCGAGGTTGAGCTGTATGATGTAGGGCCGGAGTGTTGCAAGTGTAGGAAAAGCATGATGTATGTGCAGTCCTAGACTGGTTGAGAGCCGCTCGGGAGGAAGTAGACTGTCGAGTGCATGAGCGAACAAGTAATTGTGCAAGACTGGACATGACTGCCAGTTGATGAACCGCAGGTCAGTGTCCAGGTCAGTCACAGTGCGTCAGATAGACGCTCGCTGGCCATTATCTAATCTCCCTCTCCCGACAGATCCCGTCGGAGCCCTGCCCGGCGTATGCATACCGTGTCCATATCCACATCCATGCCCACGGGCTACGTATCCAGCCAAAACCCGAGTACATCTAGCAAGTATTCCTTCTAAATAGGCCAACGAGACTGTCTGCTTGGTACTGCCATTCTTCCGACGAGAACCGGCGTCGCGCGTGCCCAGGTGAGTGCATTCTGTTCGCCTCGGCTGCCATTAAACCCCATGGAGAGAATTGCCGGCCGAGAGCGACCACCGCGCTCTCCACAAGCTGGGAACGGTGTGCCTCCCATCCTTGCAATACTAGTAGCCCAATAAGTCTCTGCAGCAGCTACGTGAGCCAACGGTCAACGATCCTTTGGGCAGAGGATATGCCGGCGTAACCAGAGGCGTGTTTGGGTTACCAGTTACGTATGTGTTGCGGGCTCAAGCGGTTCGTTACCATTTCTCCACGTCGTAGCCCGACTGTCGGGTCGCAAACCCCCGAACGTCGACTCGGCGTGTGAGCTGCGATGGCCTCGTAATGTCCAAACGTGGTTGCAAGCAACATGCATTGTCTCACGAGAATGGAACTGAGGCTACTGGACGAGGTCAATATCATACCGGGGAGATACATCACTCCGACGAACGTCTATCTGACACTGACAGCCCCTTCTGCCGGCCTGAATGAACTCCTCCCGTTCCCGCCGGGCAGTGCCCACCGTCCGCTGCGCCTGACTCATCCGTTTCGCTCTCACCCGCGAGCAAACCGCCTGCCTTCATAGGGCTCGATCCTCTCCTAGCCGGTCGTCAACACACGTTCTCATCGTTCATCAAAACGTGCATCCGTTTGTGCTTCCAAGATGGTAGAAATGCGACGCACGTAACAAGCCAGCGCGCTGCATTCGGCACTTGGCCATCCGCAAGCGACAACGTCGGATCTCCATATCCAGAAATGGACCGATATCAGCTTCGCAGGCGGACAGAGAATCGCCGCCGGGTGCTCGACGGGAAGAGCTTTCTCTGCGTGCGGCGGCAGCTTGGTACCCTGCGTCCCCACAAACTCTCCTGCCCCCCCGGATCGCAAGCAGTATCCCAACTACCCGATCTCTTCATCTTTGCTCCAGGTCACCCGCGCATCCATATTCAATAAAGCTCTCCCTGGTAGTTGCGAAGCCCCGCCTCCCTGCTCCTCTCTCCTCGCTCACATGCCAACTGCTGCCCCTCCTTAGGTCACCTCCCCCACATGTCCACGCTGCACGCGACAGCGAGCTCTGGTCATATCAGCACCACCATATCCGACAACAGCGGCAACGATCTCCTCGAAAAGCTGGCAGACGATCCCTCGACCGCGACATCCGAGTCTTTCCCTCCAGATGGCGGTCGTGTCGCTTGGCTCACTCTTGCTGGAGCGTACGCCCTTGTTTCATTGTCTCCCACCGAATCCATGACCCATGTCAGCTGAACCTCGGTGTCCAGATGGATGGTTCAGTTTTGTACCTTCGGGTGAGCACCGGGCCTATATTCTGGCGTGGAAAATGCAGACCATAGGCTTCCCTTTCAGTTACCTGAATGCGTTCGGGGTTTACCAAGGTACGTCCATCTTCACGCCTGCGCGCTCTGCAACCATTTGACAAGGCCTGTCACCCAGACTTTTACACCCGCGAGTTCCTCTCCCACGAAACGCCATCCAGCATCAGGTCAGAAACCATCCAGCCTCACAATCTCGCAGCTATGCCTTGTTCTCATCTGATACTTCTACCGCCCATCTCCGACGCGCATCGCAACCGCGACTCCGCCATAGTTGGATTGGAAGTCTGCAGTTGTGCCTGATGTACGCACCGGCCGTAGTAGTGGGACGTGCCTTCGATGCCGGTTATTTGTGAGTCCACCACTCCTCGCCGCCGCCGGTGTCTTTAGCTGAATCACTGGTCGCCCGGTCGGCGAATTTGCTGCGCGTCTGCGCCCACCACGGATCGCCAGTCGCCATGTCCAGCTCGCGGGATCATTACTTCACGTATTCTCCATCTTCATGCTCTCCCTGACGACGCCAGAGCGGTATTACCAAGTACGTGCTTGGATGGTCACGCCGACCTCCATCTCGCTTATCCACTTCACTTACTATCTCCGCGTAACAGGTGTTGCTCGCACAGGGCGTCGGCGTGGGTCTGGGAGCTGGCATGCTCTTCCTCCCATCCCTGAGCGTAGTCTCGCATCACTTCCGCCGGCGACGCGCTCTAGCCACGGGCATTGCAGTATCCGGCGCTTCCTGTGGAGGTGTCGTGTTTCCGATCGTGCTCAACCAGCTCTTTGCCAATCCGAAGATGGGTTTCGCCAACGGGGTGCGGGCAAGCGGCGCTCTCGTCGCTGTTCTACTGACCGTAGCGAACGCTGTTATGCGGACAAGTTCGCCGTCGAAGCGCCATGGCTTCCTTCCGGTGTCACACTGGAAACACGCGAAGCGAATATTGGTGGACCATGCGTATACTACGTCGGTCGTGGGGTAAGCGATGCCAGGATATGGCACAACGTGTGGCTCACCGCGCCTCATGAAACAGAGCGTTTTATACCAACCTCGGGTTGTTCGTTCCTTGTGAGCACGCTTTTGTCTGGCAGCTGACGTGTTTCAGGGACCAACGTGATGACCAGAGCCAGTCTTCTACCTACAGCTGTTTGCTGCAGACCATGGCGTGAATGCGACCATCACAACGTACATCGTATGTATCATCTTCACTTCGATGGATCGTCCCTTGCCCATCCTGACACACGATCTAGCTCGCGATCCTCAACGCCGGTAGCACCCTGGGGCGAGTCCTTCCCGTCGCTCTCGCCAACCAGCTCGGAGTCTACAACATGCTGCTATTCTCCATCCTCATGTCCGCGGTTCTCATATTCGCCCTTTTCGGCGCGACGTCCGCCGGCAGCGTGATCACCGTGGCGGTGCTGTTTGGATTCTCATCTGGGGCGTGTGCGTAACATTTCATCATCTGGTTCGACCTCCCGCGCATTCCAACTTTGGACTAACTCGTCTTCATCGCCTTCCGCGCGACCATACAACCCGGGCTCTCACTCGGCATTCTACCCTCCGATGCGCCGGCGATCTGGCTCGGAAACCCTGCCTTACTCTTGCGACGCCGCTCCGCGCCTGTCGGATGCCGTTCGGTGGTCCAGATGTCTCCCTGATACCGCCCTTGCTCGGGATGCTTTGTACGGACCATAGCGAGCTGGGGTACGCCCGTTCTTGCACGGATCTCTTGACCTTGATTGAACGCTGACCTTGTACTGACATATATAATCCCGCCCGCCGTCGCCGCATGCTTCGTACACCCACGTCCGCTCAGACTGAGAATGGGCTTAGCGTTCAGCGTCGTGGGCGTCTCCATGCTCATCGGCACGCCCATCTTTGGCGTACTGCTCAAGACCGACAGCTCGGGTGTGGTGCTCGTATGGTGGAAGGCATTAGTGTTCGCCGGAGTACGTCACACTCTCGCGAGCGTGCGCTACTCCACAGCTGACGTGCGACGCCTGTATTCACCGCTTGTCGTACCACGCAACCCCCTTGCGCTCGGTCGTCTCGGGCACCTTTCCACTCCTCCCCGCAGGTATGTATCGTGGCAGGGGTTCTGTGTATGACCATCTCCCGAGCCCTGTACACGCGGCGCGCCCGACGGTCGAATTCGAACGCGGATACGGGTCTCGACGAGGCTTCCGCCGATACGGGCATATAGAAGCCGCGGAGCATCGCGTCCGTATTACATACATACATTCATTCATTCGTGCCTGAGAGGACGCTGTGTACCTATTATCATTCGCCGCGTCGTACAACCCCTATCGTGAAGCGTTCGCGGTGCCTTCATCGTCGCGCAAGCTCTGGATTGGATCCGAGCTCCAGACACGCTCTCAAGAACCGTGCATTGCCAGATCAGCGTACGTCTAATAATACAATAATACAGTGGAAGGTATCGAGAACGAGGGTGCCGCATCGCCCCGTCCTTCATCTCGTCTAAATGCAATCCATGTCCGCCGGTGCATCGAGTACGTCTCCTTGAATCGCAATAACAAAGCATCGCAGTATGTGTACGAGACTGACGCGTGGGGTGCATAAAGTCCGCGACGAACAGAAATCGCACATAACACCGGCCTTCTCGCACGCGGCGCTCGCCGCACGCACGGAACACCTCCCTTCGATCACCACACGCACGCGCGCGTGTCCATGTCAACCCTAAACTCCATCTGCCCCTCGACGTCTTGCAAGGCCTAGGCCTGAGGACCCCCATCGCCCGGGCCCTGCGCCGTCTCCCCGTCTTCCCGCGCCCCCTCCTCCGCCCCCTCCCGCGCGTCTTGCTTGCTGACCACGAACGGGCCCTCGAGCGGGATCGAGTGGATGTTGCCCGTCACATGCCGCCACGAGCCGACGAGGTTCCTGCCCGCGACGACGTACCCCCTAAAGATGAACGTATCGTGCGGCGGGAGGCCCGGGCCATTCCAGATCGGGGCGCGGACGAGCACGACGAGCCCGTCCCACGCGCGCACACGGCCGTATATCCTGAAGTCTCCCCACGCGAGCGCGTGGTGGGGGAGGGTCTAGGGGGCGGGGGCAAAGCCAATTAGCATGAATGCAAGACGGGGGGAGAGCGGACGCTACCTCGCCGGTGACGATGATGTCCAGCACGCCCGAGCAAGTGCTGATGATCTCCGTGCCGCCGTCGCTCGCCGTGTCGCAGAAGCTGGCGCTGTCGTCCGAGCAGTCCCCCTGGCGGGATACGTCGTCAATGAGCTCCTCGAGGTCGACCTGGTCGCCCAGCGCGCTCTGCACGTCGCGCCTCACGCGCTCGACGTGGCTCTCGGCCTCCGACTCGGACTCGTAGTCAGAGACGTCGCCGACCGATCCTTCAGAAGGAGGGACGTTGCTCTCGCGCTCCTCCGCCATGCGCGCCGCCCGCCCACCCTCGGCCTCGTACCTGCACATCTCGCAGGTTGCTTCGTCATGGCTGTTCGCCCGCCCCTCCACGTACGTCTCGTAGACGTACTCCTGCGTCATGCCCCTCTGCCTCAACCTTAGAACGCCGTCGCGGCGGATCTCAGAGAACGAGCTAGGGAGACCCAGGTAGGCGTCCGGGAAGCCGCGCGGAAAGTACGCGTTCATGACGCCCTCGTCTAAGGGATCGTTGTCACGCACCTCCGTGTGCGGCAAGGGGACTGCGGGACTGACGCAGTGGTGCTCGCGCAGCCTGAAGAACAGCGGGACGACGCTTGCCATGACCGCGGGGTGCTCCAGTCTCGGGATAAACGCGGCGCTGTTCATCGCGACGTGGTAGTTCTCAACGTCGGGCACCTACGACGAGGAGACGCGACTTCAGCGCCCGCCCAGTTCCACAGCAGTAGCGTGTGAGTGGACTCACTAGGTATTGGCCGGTCCAAAAGCCGCTGAGACTGCCGGGGGTGTAGACGGGACCCTTTGTGCGGGTCGCGTCCCAGGGATCGAGGCAGCCACGCCAGCGCTCCCAGTCGTTGTCATGTCGCGCGCTTTCGCCCTTGCCGTCGATCCTCCACGGTCTGGTATCGGCGATCCTGCCGCCCTCCTCGTCGGGTTCGTCGCGCCAACTCGAGTGGCTAGGGGCGGGGAATTGAACAGCGGTCTGGTTGGCGAACTCTTGGTAGTCGGCGATGGTTGGACCACCGACATTGAGGGCGTTGGCCTCGTGACGGTCTCTTGGGATGAGGTCTGGGATGACGATGGGGTAGCGCTCGTGGAGTGCGACATACAAGAGCTTGGCGACGAGACCTATGGGAGGTTCTGCGATGGCGATGCGCCTACCGAAGTGCTCGAAGGAGTGCTTGAGACTGTCGGGGGAGCGATAGAGGGGGTAGAAGCCATGGGGAGTGATGGCCGAGTGATCATGATAGAGGGTGGGATGGGCGACGAGGGGGAGGTGGACGTGATTGTCGGGGACGAGGAAGGGAGGGTAGCGGAAGTTGTAGAAGGCGAAGGGACGGAAGAGGAACAAGAAGTGATGGCGGTCTTGTTCGGATTGCTGAGCCAGGGTTTCTGTGGAGAGAAGGTAGAGAGGATGAGGGGGCAGGGTGGGTGGGATGCAAGGAAAGGGACGCACGTTGATCGAGGGAGAAGAAGTAGAGCCAGAGGGCGAAGGAGTTTTCGGGAGACTCGAGGGGCCAGCCGTTGCTGTCTGCGCGGTAGGCCCAGAGGCGATGTCGGATGTAGCGTTGAAGGAATTGGGGCAAGGCAGCCCATTGGAGGAGGCGAGCGTTGCGGCCGTCGTTCTCTATGGAGAGAGCGAAGAGGCGGTAGAAGGCATGGAGGAGGTCGGGGGAATAGATATCTGCTTGCTTGATGTGGAACAAGGCGCGAGAGTAGTGAACGAGCTGGGAGGCGAGGGCGGAGGCGTATGCGGCTTCCTCGCAGAAGCGACGTGCGGGGGCGCGATGGTCGAAGTTTGCACGAAAGATGCGGGCGTAGAGGTGGGGATTGTTGGCTATGGAGAGATGGTAGTGAATGCGGGAGGAGGTGGTGAGGAGCGGGAGAAGAGGGCAGGGAGGGCCGGTAGGTTCTGCGACGGCGACGTAGAAGGCGATGTGGTCGAGGACGTCGGACGGGAGGACGTCGAGGGGTGAGCCAGGGCTGGCCATGGTGGCTTGAGGAGGGAGGGAGGGGGGTGGGAGGGCATGGATGCGGGGTTTATGAGAGAGGCGGAGAGGCGGAGTGGTATTCGATCTGGGCAGGCGGCGAGGATGGACGCTGCGAGCGCCTGTCTGCTGCGAGCGCCTGTTCGCTGCGAGCGCCTGTTCGCTGCGCCCTGTCCGCCTCCTTCCTTTTACGGCATCTCTGATCGGCCTCTTGCCTCCTGCCTATTCCGGCCTCTGCACCCTGGGCCACCGGCGACTGCCGCTCGCGTGCGCCGTGTGCGTGAGCCCGGGCCGGCGGTGACCTGCCAACGTTCGCGGGACCCACCTCCACCTGTCCCTCACCCTCCCACATCATTGCCTCGCGCTCACCCACATCATCATACTCTCAATTTCCGCCCGCAAATCTCTTCCCCTTTCCTAACCGACATTTCCCCGTCCCATCGTCCTACCGTCACTCGTGCTTACCTCTACCCGTCCCCGCTCGTGTGACCTTTGAACACCTCAAATCATACTATGCGTATCTGTACTTCTTGCCGATCCCATATATCGCTCGACTATCTTCAACTTACGCCGCCGACTGTGTCCTCAGCGTCAAGTCAACGAATACCATGGTCGGTCCCGAACATGTCCTCCGTCCTTCTTCACCGCCCACACGCCAGCCGTCAGCCTCATCACTTCATTCACCAGCCCACTTCGGCTCTACCAATCCCCCACATCTTGTTTGACAGCACACGCGCTCTTACCGTCCCCTCGCTATAGACAACGCCCGCCAGAGAGCTGGCTCCCTACCGATCCTGCCAAATAACCCCGACGGCCTCGACCCTTCATGACTGCCTTGTGTCGCAAAATGACACAGCGGTGATTCCGTTGTGAGGTATTTCACCAGTCGTCTGCCACACCCCGCAACCCGGCCCGGATCGTCCATCCACGCCTCTCGCAGATCATACCAAGCGGCGTCGCCGTATGTCAATCGGCGGACCTACCAAGAACCCCCCTCGTCACGATCATGATGGTGCTCCTCAACGCTCGGGGCCCGCACCGTCCCAGGCCTCTTCCAGGGCGTCGCTTACGACATTCCACACCAACTCCGGCTCCGTTTCCGTCTCCGATCCCGGCTCCCGCAGTCCAACCTTCCGGGGGCCCGTCCGACCCTCTACCTCTGCCGCCGCAGGCAAGCGACCCGACCTTCCGCGCCGTCAGCTCCAGCTCGTAACACCAGCATCAGCGCTCCGTTGCCAGAATCCACCGCACGACGCGGATCCCATGGTTCAGCCGTCAAGCTCTTAGAGCCCCCTTCCATTCCCCCAGAAGCAGCCGCACTGTCTCCTCCAGCTCGCGCTCCGTCCCCCAGGACGTCCCTGTCTCGCCATACGTCACTCCTTCGACCTCCGACCTCCCCCCCCCAGCCAACATGCCAGAGTCTTCTACCTGCATCACGTACTCCCTCGGACCGTCCGACGTAACGCACTCGTTCCGCATCCTCGTACGCCTTATGTACAGCCTTCCCCGCACTTCGAGCGCGTTTTGCCGTAGTCGACCCATCCCCGGCCGCAAACCACGCCCCCCATCATATATACCCCAGCAGGCAACCCCGAGCCGCTTACGGCGCTCTGCCGCGCCACGCATCTCGATTGCCGCGCTCGCCCACAACTGCGATCGGCGTCCCTTCCGATGCTCATGCGGTGCGGCGTGGCTGGGCATCAGCTCCCTCTCGCGTGTAAACTCTAAATATATATCCGATCATCATCTGCGCCGCGCACACCTCGTTAACTCCCCCCCAGCTGCCTCTCGATCATCACGCCCTGCACGGCCCTCGTTCGTTGTGGTCGTAAGTGCCGCAGCGGGGATCGGTCTCGGTATGACTCGCACATGACAGCGCACGACGCGTTCTCTGGAACGATCCCCCCTACGCCTCGGCATTCACCACCGCACGTGTCCGCATTTCTCGAACCACGATCCCGAATACGAGCACACGCGACGTTCCCGCCGCACGTTCCCAGAGCAGAGCGCACCCCGCTCGGCATGCACCGCTCCGAGCGGCGTCTTCTCCGTCGAACCCAGCCGCTTCGCAAGCTTCCGTCGCGCCCCCTCGTCCCAGCCACGCTCCCAGAAGGCGACACGCCCCACTCCCCGAGCGGACGAGGAGGCCGCAGCTCCCCACGCCGTGGCCAGGCCAGCAGCGACGCTTCCGCAGCCCAAGATGCACAACTGCTCCCGCTTCGCCGTCTCCGTACGCGTCTCCAGGGGTGCCGAGCTGCGAACCCTCCGCGTGATGGCGAGTCCGGGCGCGACCCGAGCATCGTTCTTCTGCGCGGGCCAATGGCCCCCATTCACTCGGTGGCCTTATAGACGGACCCACGTTCGTCGGTCTTCTCACATGGCGGACAGGCAGTACGTAACAAGTACGTACGACGACGCTCCATTATTACTGAACGTCGCTCGATACAGACGTAGACTCACTCCACGCCGGAACACCCCCCCCCCCTGCGAGACTGTGGCAGCTGACATCGGCATGCTCGATCCTTGGTATATCACGCACCGCGTTGTGCAGCTCACGGGCTGGTTCCTCCAGCGATGGAGGAACCAGCCACGGATGCCTGAAACGCGGTCGCGTCCCATCAGCAGACTTGTGGTGTGGTCATGTGACCGCGTGCTAAAACCCTTTGCTCGCCGAGTACGCGTGTCCTCCCCGTTGTTTGCCTCGACAGCGTTTGTACCGTACTCAATACAGTCGACACCCTCTTAACCCATAGCCCTCGGGACAGGCCCAAATATATGGGTTTTGAGGGGTTATGGGCTACCGGAACTTTAGCGCCTTCTAAGCGTCCTGATAAGTCCCAGTTAGCGAGCGCTGAACAGGCGTCTACTGACCCTTCGAGGGAGCGCTATGGGATTTCGAACACACTAAGCTACCCACAATGTGGTTGAAGCATGGATGGATGCTGGGAGGACACAAGGAAGCATGTATCAAGTACTTTGTGGGTTATTGATGAGCGAAATCTCAATGTGACCACTATTACCGTATGGGTTTTGAGCCCTAGAAGGCTATGGGTTATGGGGTACTGGGGACCTATGGGTTATGGGGTCGAATTCCCCCTATCCCGACTTGGGAAAGCCAAAATCCTATGGGTTTTTAGAGTTTATGGGTTACCAGGGGTATGGGTTAGGAGGGTGTCGACTGTACTGGGACGCAGCATACCCCCGCTTATAACTTCCAACATCGTTGAATCGCGCCGACTGTCTTTTAAGGAGCTATGCCATACCCTGATTCCACAATGCGGCAGCCACCATGCTCCCGGTGACTTCTCGTTTCCAAACGACCCAATCGTCCCTCTCTTTGCTATCCCGCACGCTACACGAATAATCCTGTGCGTATACTCTCATGCGAAGGTTGAAAGAGTGTTGAATTTGAGCTGCCACGTGGAAACGCAACGCCCACAGCGGCAAACAAAGACAAGCAGCGGTTCGCTCGGCACCCGAAAGAAACCTCACGGCCAAGGGGGCGCTGCCCTTCCTCTTACCACCCCCTTCGCTCCGTCTTTTTCCTACGCGACCTGCCCCTTACCTGTATGACGATGCATCCGGACGGGCTAGAGGCTCTACTATCCTTGGACGTATCCTGTACTACTCGGCTTGCGTATAGACCTTGTGGCAATGGACAAAGGCGACTTGAGAACGGCACCCATCCTTTGTTCTTTATCTGATCGAGGTCAGCCTCATTTCCCCGCGGAGTCCAAATTCCCCGCCCAAGCACATATAAGTCCCTCGCATCCCGCCAGCATATCTTTTCTCTCTACCACCACCTTGAAGAGCACATCGCCAGGTACGCCTCTCGTCCTCATCGCCCGCCACCGCCACACCCACTCTCTCGCCTCATGCTTACCTTCTTCTTCCCTCTATGCTAGGAGTGCCTGTTTAAATGTAGCGTGCCTCGTTCATGCACACATGCTGCCCATCGCCGGGCATATGGACCCCACTGCCGGCTTCGCAGCGCATCGCAGTTAAGCGGTGTCGTCTGCGATTCAAGACGTCGGTGAAGATCAACAGGGCGACGTGACGCCGGCGCCGAAGAGGATAAGCCCCAACCGGGCACGACTCGCAAGCGCGCACGGCAGGGGTTAGCTGGTCGAACGAGGTCCCGGGGCATTGTGGCGCAGACCTTCTCGTGGTCCCCGGGGTGAGTACTCGCTCTCGCCACACCGTGTCAGGCGCGGGGGCGAGACGAGGAAACCAACGTGCGCCCGTTGCTTTGAGCAACTCAGAACATTGGTGAGTGTTCATCGTGGTTGTTGCGCGTAGTGGAATGTCCACAGTCCGTCGGCTGGGTTCGGTGCATTTGGCATTGCCCCTGTACAGTCGTAGTTCCACACCGTCATCCGCAATCTGTAGAGATAACAATGTATCAATGAACTCGACATAATTGTGCCGCACGATATCGGAGGGAGGTTCAAGGCTGCCCGCCACTCATTCCGAACATGCGGCTGCCCGCGCTAGATTATGTAAGCAACAGCGACACGGTCACGTTTATGCAAACCTGGTCTATCCTCCGAGTCGTTGAACTACGTATCATCTGCCAAACGATGTCAGCGTCTTGTCGCAGAAAACACACTGGCACTTTCCACCAGCACGCAAGGCAGCTCTATTGTATTGCTATCGCTATCCTCAGTCATGCATCAGGAAACCTGGGAATCACTTAATGCCCCTTAAAATCGTTAGCAGCCATGCGCTGCCGATCGAGCATGTCAGCTCAAGCTCTCTCCCTCTGACTGTCAAAAGACAGGTTGTCTGCCGCAGAGTAGCTGCCCGCGTCAGCTCAGCCCGTCAGTCCCGATCTTGACGAACGCGAGACATAAGTTCAGTACGCCCAACGGTCATCCTCCTCCCCTCCTCCTTCCCCACTCTAGCCCGACCGACCCTCAAGACAGGACAACCATCCAGACAACTCCCGCGCGCCGAAGACCCTGGACCCCGTATCGCGGGTCCGTGTGCCCGTGAGGTATGCCCGACACACGTCGCTGCGTTGTTCGTGGGAGGGAGTCATGGACCTGACGATCGCGGCAACGACGCACGTACGAGGGCATCTCGTCTTGCTTCATCTGCCTGTTGCGTTCGTGTTGCTGCCAGATTTTCTCCGCAGATCTCCCCGACGGACCACGACCACGTTACGACGCAAGCCCATCTACTCGCCCTCAAGCTGCGAACCTCGAACCTCGAACCTCGACCCTCAAGACCGACAGCGCCGACAGGTTGGCGTTGGTGAGGCTGGGGGAGGGAGTTGATCGCCTCGGTGAACCTGGTCTCCCGCGTCGGGGGTGTTTGGGTTGGACGATGTTGTGTTTCGTGTTTCGGCTTTTTCATGGACTGGACAGTTTCGGTGGTTTTGGTTTCGTCCTCGGATTTGGATTTGGTCTCGGTTTCGGTTTTGGTTTCGGGTTCGGTTTTGGTTTCGGTTTCGGTTTCGTTCACGAACTTGGACGCTTCGCGCTCGGATTTGGACTTGGACTTGGACTCGGACTCGCTGCAATTGACTTCCACACTTTCATCTAGATCTGCAGGCCAGGGACGGGGTGCGGCGGGAGAGGGTGCGGCGGCGGTACGGAGACTCGCCGGCTTTCATGCCTCGTCAATCCTTCTTCGAACCGTCGTACCTTCGAGGCCAACGGAGCACTTGTCGCAGGGTCGGGCGCGGTGTGCGGTACTGGGTCTAACCCTGATGCGTACGACCAACCTCTTCTCTCGGCTCGTCCTCCGGTACGGGCAGCCTCTGGTCGGGAGCGAGGGGGGCGGTCGAGGGTACGGGGAGTCGCCGCCTTTTGTGCCTTCTTCCAAACTCTTCCTCTCGGTCGGTGGTGGGGCGCGGGGTGGTGGGCGGTGGGGTACGCCAACTCTAAGGCCTCGCCGTTCATTGCTTCGTTGCTCCGTGCTCGGGAGCCACACGTCCGGTGCGTGTCGGCAAAGTCTGCGACCTCCCTTCGGGGGAGTTGCAGCATGCGCCCAGCGGTGGGCCCTCTGTGGATGGAGACATGGAGGCTAAAGATCCTCCCTTCGGGGAGCAAAAGGTGTATCGCTAGTCGGAGCACCGCCCTTTCGAGGGCATCCCTTCCTTGTGAGGGGAATTTCTCTTCCGTGGAGTTGCTTGCACTCGATAGTCATCGAAGCGAGGTCCTTTGCGGAAGAGAAGCATCCTATGATGATGATTCCTATCCTCGTATTCAGTTCAAAAACGAATTTGTATATACAAATAGAACCCTCTGGCCCCAGTACCGGCGACGAGTCATGTCAGAATCTGAGTATCTACGACACAAAATCGTAGACCTAGAGGCTCCGCGATAGTCCTCATCGTCAGGATGGCGACTCTGTATTTATGGATATGTGTAGAGGGTCGTACGAGACAATCCCGCCGCCCTCCGTATGCCTGCAGTCCCTGCCCCGATGCTGAAGTGCCACCAATGTGTCTACCTGGAGGATTCGGATGCGCTAGAATCGATGAAGAAGCCGTAGTGGTCTTCATTGGTGTCCCCATACGGACTTATATACATTGCCCCAGAGTTGTAAGCCACATTACGTAGCCAGGTGAATCAATGGCGCCACATGAGATTGCTCTTCCCGGGGTTGCGCCAACACTCAGAAACAAGACGCTTCACGAGTGCAGTGATGTGTGAGGTTCTGAATCTTGGTTGGGAAGTCCTGAAGCGTGAGACTATGTTGAGAAGAGAGACGAATTGCTAATGATCAGCGAGAAGCATCGGAGAGCGGCCTCGCCGGTGAGCCGGACCGTGCATGTACGCAAGAACTTCATGGTCAACACGAGGCCCTTGTCAGAATCCTTCGTAGCTCTCCAATAGAGCATAAGAGACGTCCGTTCCGGAGATGTGGGCGCAGGAGAAGGTACCCGCTCGACATTGTCGTCACCCATCTTGCTCGGTCTCCCCAAGTGTAGTGCTTCGAGGAATGATACACAACATCATTCACCACAGAGATTACAGAAATCATACACATCATGACCATAGTTAGCAGTCCGATTGCCATTGGCCACCTAACCGAAGACATGTCACTATCACTGCCTGGTTTAGGCTCTCTGCGGCACGCTGATCAGTCCGAGCAACGCGATACGCAGAATTTGCAAGACACTCACTATCCTTTGAGCTTCGAACTCAACTTGTAAAGTTCCATCCTCCGCCAACCGGTAGAAGAAAGACCGCACTCTCTCTCTCACGGCATCCTTCCACTGCGCGTCTCTTCCCGCCAGCCTCGAATCGTACTGGACCACGAAGCAGACTTTCTGTAGAGCCGGCATGTCGTCATGTAGGATGTAGTCCACAGGGCTTGTCTCCACCCTGCTGGCCGCAATGCGGGCGTCCGCATCAGCCACGGCGTCATATCGCAAAACAAGCTCGCAGAAGTCGGGCGAGCAGATTCCTGCGACCACTTTGTAGAGAGGTTGCCAGGACAATTGGGAGAGGGAGCCGACTTCAAGAGTAAGTAGATTCGTATAGCGATGTATGAACGATGTCTTCCAAGCTACACCCGACAAGCCGGTCAGCGGAGGAGTCGATACAGATCGAATCATGTCATAAAGGACGACACCGTACCTGCAATGCTCTTGAGCTCTGCCACGCAAAGACGGTGGATGGTGGGTCCAAAGGAGTCGACGACAAACTGTGTGTTCCGCGACGCCGCCGGAATGTCTAGGGTCCGCAAACAGTGGCGCGTAGGCGTGTGAGAGAGCCACTGAAGGACGGCCGCCGTGCCGTCCGCATGAAAGCTTGGGGCGGCGTTCAGATGTGTAAGTCGAGGTCCACCCAGTTCTTCGGCATGTCGATGTTGGTGCCGCGCGAAGTAATTACCGTGCACCGACCCCTGGACTGTTAGTCCGTGAATGGTCAAGTGACTCAGATTGTTGAGGGAGGATATGAGGCTCTGAAGTTGCTCGACGCTTGCGTGGGTCGTCCTGACAAGGGCGAGCTCCGTGACCGAACTGAATAGATGGAGCGCTTCCTGGATACCGGTTGGGAACCAGTGCCGGAAAGGATTGGATGGGCCACAAAAAGACATCTTCTTCAGCTTTGGTAGGCGGAGCGCGACCTCGATGTGAGTTTCCGGGATGCCGTCGAGTCCTCCAGACTTGACAGACATCTGGAGGTGCGTGATGCAGTCGCGGAACGGTTCTGCGTCCGCGTCACCGAGGACATTGAAGTCCGCGACAGCGAGAAGGTGATGCCGGCAAAACGGGCGAAGAGCGGAGCAGGTATACGCGCAGTTCCTGAGAGTCCAGACGTCAGAAGAAAGAAGGTCCAGGATGTGTATCAGAAGCTCTGGTGGAAGAGAAAGCAAGGTGGGCATAGCGAGAACGCGTGAAATTGGAGTCAATAGTGAGTGCAGGGGTGGGGGTAGGAAGTTGACTTATATACATGCCATTGTGAAGGCGCGATGCACGCTGCGCGCGGCGTGTTCTACCACAGGCCCGACATCCATGGATCAGAACCCGCGAATCGCAGTGTCAATGTCAACCTCGGGCGCGCTGCCCCGTGGAGGCTCACGCTGAACTGATAAGACACATAGTGACAGTGGAAGCGCATGTGAGTCGACTCTGCCCGCGCACCGCAGCGTAATTGCCAAGTCCGGTTTGTCGACCCAAGGCCGTTGAGACACAGCCACGGCCCTGGAATTGTGACTTGGGAACTGCGGTGCTGAGAGACCAAGAAATTCTGTCAACCTGGCCGAGTGAATACTGGGGTCCATGAGTGGACTGCGCGACAACGCCGCAGCGTGCAGGCACTCAAACAAGCAGATGTTGCGCGGGAGAAGCGAGGCAAGCAGAACGCAATATTAATGTTTTACACTGGTGCGCATACAGCGTCCTCTATAGCATTCAGCATCCCATTATGAACTTTGACAGCACCACACGAACCGCACTCACAGTCAGGCATCCTCTCCCCTAACCGTCTCCAACGCCAACGGATGCTGCGAGTGATGCCCAGGCGGCGTACCACTCCCCTCCGGCCTCCCACCCTTCTCCCCCAACCCGCCCGACACCCTCCTCCCGCTCCGGGTTGAGCCCGGGACAGGACTCGATCTCCTCGATCCGCCAGGACTCGCCGTCCCTCTCCCTCTCCCAGGCACGCCCCTTATGCTTCCGACCGGAGTCGCACTCCCAGACCCGGTGCCCTTCTCGAGCGCGCCCGCTGCGGTGTGCGCCTTGCGCATCCACGGCATCATCAGGTGCAGCCAGCCGCGCCACGTCTGGCTGTACGCCGCGCGCTCCCTCTCCTCTCTTCGTCTCTCGAACTGCGCGCGGTACCGATCGTACGACTCGCGGAAGCTGCGGTCCACACGAGACGAGAAGATCAACTCCCCTCGTGGGTTCGACGCCGGCGGAATGGGCGGGATGGGCACGGACGAGCTGCGTCTGCTCGCTCCTGAAGATGGTGATGGGCTTCGCCGACGTGAAGGATGCGGGGAGGTTGGCGACGTGGGCGACGTCGGTGGCAATTGTGGGCGGGCAAAAAGGAATGCGAAGGGGTTGAAGGGGAGCTTAGAGCGCAATGGGGGCTGACGCATATTGAGGTACATATTGAAGTTCCTCAGGGCACGGTTCGCGTGCGGGACGTATCTATTTCCACAAGTACACCCGGACGTCAACGTTCAGTCAGAGAGCGCCGCGAGACACGCTGGGCGACCGTAAGCGTGGATACGCACTTATTCGCGTAGCCGATCTTCTCCGAGTACATCCCACTCGCGAAGAACAGCACGAGGGTCGTCACGCTCACGAACAGCAGGCCCGAGGCGAAGTAGGGGTGGACTCTCACGTCCGCGTCTTCGGGATATATCTCCGGGAGGACCTTATGCAGAACCCATTTGTACGGGACGCCAAGCCAGTTCGTCTGGAGAAGGACCTCACAGAGCAGGAAGCCGATGATGAGCAACAGCTGCCCAAGGAAGACTGTACGGGCCGCATTCAAATGCAGCGAAGGCAATAGCAACGGCGAAGGAGCATGGCACGTCCATGTTCAGCGACTGATTACACGATCGGTGGGGAACCGTGGAGAGCTCTAACTCACGCACGTTGGTACCGTCGTTTCCGGCTATTCAGCGTTGCAGCGTTCGTCTTGAGCCTTTCCTCAAAAAGTAGCAAGTCCAGGTGGGTTGCGGCATCGTTGGGCGGGTAGTAGGAGCCTGCAGGAAGGTTGAGGGGAGGCCGCGGAGGCATAGGTTGTGGTCGGGGACAAGTCGTGAACCGGGAACTCTGAGCCCACTCCAAGCACACGCGAACCCTAACCTTGACCGCTTCCATGTTCCACATATGGCTGCTCTCATCGTTCATGACCTTCACGCAGCCGATGCTCGACCGTCGACAAAGATGACTATGTTGGAATCCTGGCGTCAAGATGGCGAGCTCGCGGAACGAGCGCCACAGGTCCCGCCCCCCGACGGATACCCGCGCCCTTATCTACCCCTATTTAGCTACGTATATAAGCCTTATTGTATCTACTGTGTACGGCACGCGTTTGCACCGGCCAAACGCGAATCCCATTTGTGCCCGCTTGCCCTCGAACTTCTACACAAACGCGTCTCCTCTGCCCGAAGGATAATTCGAGGCACTGCCTAGTGGGGCCGAAGCCACTCGACGATCCCACGAACCGACGACCCGTGACGACGACCGACCCGACGACGACCGACCCGACGACGACCCCGTGCACCCCGACGACCCCGTAACCGCGACCGCCCCGCGCTCCCCGCTGCTCCCGCCCCGATGGCACCGCCCACAATTGCGAAGCTCGCCGACGACAACTACGCCGAATGGGTTATCGGCATGGAGGCCCTCCTTGTTCGCAAGGGTCTCTGGGAGGTTACGAGCGCCCCTGCTGATGAAACCCGCCCCTCCGGCTCTGATAACACGAAGGCTGTGCGTGCCTGGCGTGCGAAGATCGCAGAAGCGCGCGCCGAGATTATCTTGAATATCGAGCCCACCCAGTACGCCCACATCCAATCACAAGACGTTCACGAAGTCTGGACCGAGCTCCGTCGAGTCCACCGCGCCCGCGGCTTTGGTACCCGGGTCGCACACCGGCGCGCTTTCTGGCGCTTGTCTAAGCGCCCGGATCAAACGATGACATCGTGGATTGCTGACGTCCGCCGGGCCGCCTTCCGCCTCGAGGAGATTGACGCCTCTATCTCCGATGAAGACCGCATCCTCGTTCTCACGAATGGCCTCCCCGATTCGTATTCCCAGCTGGTCGTTAATCTCGACTCCACCCCGCCTAGCGAGCTTACCATCGATTACGTCATCACCCGCTTACTTAACGAAGAGTCGCGCCAATTGTCCCTCAACCCGCCTCATCATGACTCCGAAGTCGCCCTCGCTGCTTACACGAAGCCCCGCACCCCGCTCGAGCGCATCACCTGCTTCGAGTGCTCAAAGAAGGGCCACTATCAGCGCGACTGCCCAGAGCTCAAGACTGAAGAGGCCAACTGCGCATTTTCGGCAACCGTTAGCGCCGATCGGCTTCTTGCCGAGAAGGAGACGGAAGCGTGGTAAACGCCCCGATTAAGGGGATGTATTAGACTTATCGTACGTTATCCCTTATTTGTGCGGACACAACCCCTCCTTCCTTGCTCGCTGTTTCCCTTATCCCCGCCCCGTTCAATTTGTTTGTTACCCTTCGCTCGTTGCCCGCGCTCGCTCGAGGGGATGTGTTGGAATCCTGGCGTCAAGATGGCGAGCTCGCGGAACGAGCGCCACAGGTCCCGCCCCCCGACGGATACCCGCGCCCTTATCTACCCCTATTTAGCTACGTATATAAGCCTTATTGTATCTACTGTGTACGGCACGCGTTTGCACCGGCCAAACGCGAATCCCATTTGTGCCCGCTTGCCCTCGAACTTCTACAGACTATAGCCACATTAGTCAACCAGACCAGGTGCAAATAATATTACGTGTGTTCAGGTGTCTACATTACTGCACATCGTTCACAGTATCCACTTCCATCCATTGCTATATCAGACAAACAGGGAGCGTGAGTGTAAGTATGTATGGGTATGCAAAGTCCCGGAGACGCACAAGCCGTCGCCATGATCTGATGGTCCATGCTAACTGGCACCGGGCAACAGCTACTGAGTAAGGAGGACTATGCAATGAGAAGAAGTTGTAAGATAATCCGGGTTGACCACTATGCCAAGGGTAATTGTATCACGCTGAAAGATGCGGCGATGGATGATGATGCACATATGTAGATGAGATGTATGCATATGTTGATGGGAAACTGAAAACCACGTATAAACTCTCGGCGAGGATGTCGAGACGCACTTATTCGACGCCTACGCAGTGAGCGCCCGCCTTGACCCGTCCTCCCGTCGAGGTCCACCCCCGACGAAGAACGTCATCCAGCCAAACATGGCCATCAGGAAGCGAACCAACCACGCCGAGTCCGCGCCCAAGCCAAGGCCCGGTCGCAACTGCAGCGCGAACGCGATGTCGAGTGGCTGGCGGGGCAGCTTCTGGCGTGGTCGCTGAAGCTCGACCATCTCCGGCGCATCATCCGCGAAGAGAGCGCCAGGCAGTTGAGGCGTGGGCGAATCGGAGCGATAATGAGCGTTGAAAGACGTTGACTGATCGGCGAGACCTAGAACGGGAGCGTCTGCGGCCCGAAGAGACCACACGGGCTTCGAGGTGAGAGTTGGCGAGGATTGCAGCTCACGCATCTGAGGGGTGCGACGGGCCGGCGACCGCGTGGGACTAGCAATGGGCGTGCGCAAAGGAGTTGGCAGAGGCGTCGAGAACGGGGTGGGATGATCAGACGAGATTTCAGGCAATGGAAGTAGATCCGGGTCGGCGTGCTCCTCGACGACGATGCGAGGAACGTCAAGCTTGGGCTGATATTGCGGAGGCAAGTCGGAGTCGAGGAACAGAAGCGAGTGCTCCTGGGCGTCATGGAACTTCTCATCGAGATCTGTGTCATCGGAGACAGGTCCGTCGACATCCACAAGTACCAACTTCTCGTTATGGTCGTCTCCAGCATTGTCCTGAATCAGGCCAGCCGGAGGCAACGGCGCGTCCAGTATGAGCCTGCGTTTCTCGGGAAGGGGCGTGCTACCACCTTCCGAGTTGTCGTCATAAGGCATGTCAAGGCCAACCCGCTTCTCGAGCCGGGGAAGAACGTCCCAAGCGAGGCCAGACTTGATCATGATGCTGTTGATGTGGTTGTACGCGTACAACCCAGCGCCGACGCAAAGGACCGCAAGAAGTGCAGCGAGGGATGAGACGGCGAGGACTAGTAGGATTGGAGACGAGTACAGGTCTGCGAAGGCGACAGAGGGATATCCGTCTGGAGAGGACTCGTCTGAAGGAGCAGCATCCTCGGCATGCGCTGGTTCTGCGGTAAGGACAGAAGGAGTGGTGTCGAGGATAGGGAGGCTGTCGCCGTCGATGTCCTCAAGAGAGCCAGTGCTCTTGAGTTTGGCAAGGAGATCGTAGAGCTGTTTCTCGTCTTCTGAGGGAGAGCCGTCTATATTGAGGGGAACGACAGCCTTGACTGCGTCCAGACTATCGAGACTGGAGAGTAGGGCGGATTGTTCTTCGGAAGTCGTGAGTGATACGTGAATGTCATCGTCCTCTTCGCAAGCCAGGCAGTCGGGAGATTGTCTAGAAGGGAACGGGGGTCAGCAAAAGCAGGATTATTAAGACTGCGGAGAGGCATGAAGTAGAAGCATGTTGATCTACGTCGGCTTCTACGGACACGCGGGGGAAGTACGTGGACACTGACCCAGTGCGAGATTGGAAGATGGCTTGAACGGCATTCTGAACCTGTAAGGATCTTCTGGCCCTGAAGTTGAGTTGAGGGTGGCATAAGCATTGTAGCAATTGCTGCTAGCAAGAGAATGAACAGAACGTACGATTGTGGCGTGTCCGAAAGAGGACGAGCGGTGACGACCAGCGCGAGGAGGGAGAAGGAGACCAGGATGTTGAGAGTCATCGCGGACACGGCCGAAGCCAGCTGCGGTGAACGTTCAAGAAAGCTTGCCAGACACGATTGAACGTGTCGACGTCGAGGGCGGTGGTGAGGGCGGTGTTTTGCGCGGTGGTGGCCTCGAGGAGACTGCACGCTTCTGCCACGCCGCCTGTCCCCGGCCTCGACTCCCCACACGCCCAATCCCGGATGACGTGGTCCCCTTATCTATAGTAGATAAGATAGGCGCTCATCAGTGGCCGCTGCGACTGCGAGTTTGGGGTCAGACGCCATTAATCTCGACGGTCACCACGACATCCACACCTAGACACACTCTCGCCCTTTGTAGATACGCTTATCACTAATGCATCCTCTGCACAAGACCTCAGCGTCGCGTCCAATCCGTCACCAGCATCGACATCTTCTTGTTGGCCCATCCTGCTCGAGACGGCCCTTCAGTGCGTCTTGTACTCGCCCTGAAAGTCATTATAAGACACTGGGGATACCGGCGAGCGCAACCAAGAACCAGATCAAGGTATGTGCAATATCTCGGCGTCTAAGCGAGTGTATGCGCTCATCATGTTCAGGCCAGCTACTACAAGGTACGCCGGGACCGACCCTTCCCTCTACGGATGTGCTCACAGAGCCAGGTCAAATAGCTCAGCAAGCAGCTCCATCCTGACATAAGCAAAGATCCAGACGCTAAGGAGAAGTTCCAAGCTGTCAGTGAGGCATATGCCGTCTTGGGCGACGAACGACAACGGTACGTCGCTTCATACCATTTTTCTTCCCCAGTCGCGCTCAACCCGCAACATGTCTCTAGGAGAGCCTACGATCGCTCACAAGCAACGTCCTCACAAACACACACCCAATCCTACCATGAGCCTAGCCACACCCATTGGTCCTACGAGGGTCGCCGACGCGGTGCAACCCACGCATGGGAGTATGCCCGTCGACCAAACGCCCACCGATCCCACACCTACCCTCCTCCACCAGGCTCTTACCAGTATTATGCTCACCAGCAGCAGCACCCAGCCGGCGGTCCAAATCCCTTTCACAACCCAAACGTCCAGCGTGCTACCGGTCGCAAAGGGCCGCTACCAACTGACAGAGGGCCCACTCAGTCCGACTACGTTGCACGCGAGTCCGTTTTTATCAGGACTGCGCAAGTCGCTGGTCTGGTCGTATTGATAGGACTAATCGGGCATGGAGTGAGTGCTAGCGCGGCATAGATGTCTTAAATTCAGTCATTTTTCCACCATCCACACTGTGTAGCATACATGTCGTTGTGAGTATATCAGTCTAGAGACTTCATCCGCTCATCCGCTCAACATTACTCTTTTCACAGAGTAGAAATCATAGGGAGGAAATTGACAAGGACAACAATAAATCATACTCCGTCATACTCGGTCGAGGTTTGCTGCTTACAGCAGTAGGCAATACATGATATCCGCTTTGTATGGCCCCTTTACCTCTTTCCTTCTAGTCATCATTCGCCGCCCTGAGAATATGAAGAGCGTCACTTGCGAAGCAAGCGGTTCTCACGATCGAAGCGTTCCTTGCTTCTGGTGCTGCGGCAAACTCAGATTGAATCGTACACCTTGCCTTCTCTCCACCACAAACACCTCAGGCTCCCTATTGAGTAGTACGTATTAGGCAGTATCTGCGTGTCAGACTAACTCAAACATCTCCTACAAGTCCTACCATGAGCCAAACAACGGGCAGCATGCGCTATACGCTCTGCGACACATACGAGGCAGCTGCCGAAGCATCGGACGCGCTGTCCCGCCATGAAACCCTCATTCTCGACTGCGAAGGCCGTGACATAGGAATGCCCGACGGCGAACTGGGCATCATAGCCATCGGCGACTCCACTGCATCCCACGTCTATCTCTTCGACACGCTCGCCCTCTCTAACAAGCAACATCCCCTTCTCTCACGCTTATTCACCCTCCTCCGCCGACCCGATATCATGAAGCTCGTTTGGGACGGCCGCTCGGACTTCTTCGAGATCGCGGACACATACGGGGTCCTCATGCAAGGCGTCGTCGACCTGCAGCTTGCCGAGGCCGCACAACGTGCTCGACTCAATCCCAGGAAGCGCAAGGGCTTCCGTGCAGGGCACACGCTTAAGTACTTCAAGAAGATGCAGGATGAGCTGCTAGCCGAGCCCGCTGCCCTGGAAGGCATACACCGGCTCTTTGGCTTAGAACACTGCGCGGGAATCTTCCAGGCGCTCGACGAATCGGGGGGCAAGGACCGTAAGCGATCCATTGCCAGTCTTGCGCGCGTCTGTCAAAACTCATCTAAGCCGCTTCAGCCGCGGTAGTCGCTATGCACTACGAGAGGGGTGGCGACATGTGGATGCTCCGACCCCTTCCCGCCCCACTCCTCCGCTACTCTTGCCACGACATCGAGATGATCGCCGCTATGTACGCCCGCTTCAGCAAATTCGGTTACCTGAAGCCACTGGACGAACTCAAGGCGACGACCGAGCGCTATCTGCACTCGTATCCGACTCGCGAACTTCGAGCTTTGCATGCCTCGCTCGACCTATGCAAATTCGTTCCTATGGATGTATTGACGCCTCCAATCCCCAATACAATGCGGTATCACTGCACCCGTTGCGAACGAATGCTCTCGCTGTCGTGTTTCTCCTTGCACTATGCAGACGTGCAGGGTAGCGGGGAGACGTCGAATAGTCAGCCGTTGGAACGGATGTCCACTTGTCGGCTCTGTACCCTTATCGCACAACGCAATTCGGGACCTGTCGTAGCAGAATGGGTCGTAATATGATATGCATGTATTCTCTACACGAATCGTATGGTCTTGTGAAGCCGGCTAAAGATACCGTCCGATACAACCGGCGACCTACCGAACAATCACAAGCGGATCAACAAATCGACTGCCCACTCTTGATGAGGTCGGCAACCCGTTCAGCGAAGGCATATATCACAGCCTGCGGGTGAGCAGCAGGTATGTACGGCTGAAATTGCGTGGAACACCTCAGCTACCGAGCAACGTCTCTTGAAGGGACTACGCACCAGTATGCTGGCATCCACAACCCTGAGCCCCTGCACGCCTTTGACCGTGGCGTCCGGGTTGACGACCGCGCCGTTCCCAACGGTCTGGGCGCAAGTTCCCATGCGAGCGGTCGCGACCGGATGCCAAATGGTCCACGACTGTGCCCGCGCCCACGCATCGACGTCCTCGTCTGAGCCGACGTCGACATTGGCGAAGGGCCCTGCCTGTCCCGTCAGGAAGCCGTTCCATGCTCCGGCAGCGGCAAATCTGGCGGCAGATCGGACAGCAGCGCGTATAGCATAGACATCGAAAGTCGTGTCGAGAAAGTTGGGATGGATGACTGGCTTCGCAAAAGGATCAGCGGAGGCAATAGTCGCAGAGCCACCTGCGGGAGGGCGCAATGTATCAGCCGAACGTCCGGTTCCAAGGCTCGAATGCTTACCGGAGCTCGGTGAGACCAATACCGTCAGCAGGGTGAAGCAGCTGCCCGTAGTGGGCGCGGTCTCAGTTTCTGAAACAAAGCCAGGCTAGTGGGAATTCCCATGAGCATTTCATAATTCAGCGTGGCATAGTGACTTGTGACTCACTACAAAGAGGAACTCAAAGTGCGGCGCGGTCGGACCAGAGCCAGGATCTTGCTCAGTCTTCCAGATAGAGTCGTCATCTGGTATCCTTAGCCAGCCGACTTGGTTGCCAGTTGAATCAGTCAGGACGCCTTGCCTCTCTGAGGCCCACTCGTTGAGGACATCGTTGGCGAATGTGGCATTGCGGGCCAGGCTTTCTAGAATGTCGTCGTCGGGATTGACAAGTCCAAATAAGGTCCGCAGAAATGGATGGTCTGTAAGGTGCTGTCCAACATCTGGTAGGTCGACAATTGTTTTCATATTGAGAGAAGACAATGTCTTGGAGGGACCGAGTCGAGAGAGCATTAGAAGTTGCGGCGTGTTGACCGCGCCGGCAGACAGGATGACTTCTCTAGTTACATTCAATGCATACTTCGGTGCTGAAAAAAAAGCATGAAACCCTTTTGATTAGCGATGCATTCCGTTGCAGGGTGGCAACAGCGCAGGGTAGAAGTAAAGGAGGGGCAACTTACAGGTCGCCGAACTTGCAAATTGAACGCCTCGGAATAATGGAGTCCCGCTCGCTTCGCCGGTCTGTATGAGCTTCGTTACCGTTGTCTCCACCAGAACGTCGAGATTGGGCCGCGAGAGGACAGGTTCGATATATGCAGTCGAAGCGGACGACCGCATGCCGTTGCCATACGTCCCTTGCATCCAACCTGCAACGATTGCACACTCATAACAATTATCACATCTAAAGGCGCAAATCACCTACCAATACCGAGGGGGTAGCCTGAATTCATGTCCTCGTTGAACGGGAATTCTGTAGGCAACTCTTGCGTCGTCTCGATGACGAGTGGATCTTGAGCGAAGGGCGCATTCTGTACACTGATATTTAATGCTCCACTCGTGCCATGGATAGCAGGGGCAATCTCGCCGTTGGTGTTGTGACCATCGCGCGGCGGAACGAGCCGCTCGATCTGTTAATGAAGACAGCGCGTCAGCAGCCTGATCAACGCACAGTGCATTTCACTTACTTTGTTCCAGTAGGGTAATATTGAGTTCCACGACCATCCATCGTCACCGCTGACTGAAGTGTATCTGTCAAAGTCATCTTGCGGGCCTCGGGTATAAACCATGAAATCTTAGCATCATGGGGTAGATGTGAGTCTCTATCAGCCTTTCTTGATCTCTGTATAAACGAGCTCACTAATGCCACTGCTGCCTCCCAGGACACGACCGCGAGGGTACTGTAGAGTTCGATTGTCCAGATTCTTCTGCGGCACAGTGGTAAAGTTCCAGTCGAAGGCCTGATTCGGCTGAAGTTGCGGAGCCAGAAGGGGGATCTGGAGACTCGTGACACCTTGGTCGCTACAAAGCGCAACATTACAACGCGAACACACCATAGACACTATCGACACTCACCTTGGACCAGCTTCGATGACGAGAACGTTAGTGTTCGGGTCCTCTGATAGTCGGCTCGCGATAACACCTCCGCCAGGACCTGTGCCGACTACCACGTAGTCATAGACCTTGTTGGCAGGAAGTTGCGAAGGATCTGTCAGAAGCGCTGCATTTGTCGCAGCGGCGAGTAGTACGAAGGCGATCTTTTATGCCGATCATCGGTCCCCCGTTCGAGTGCCGATCAAGTCTGGCTGTCGAGCTGCATGAGCGTCTGATACAAAGAGAACAGCAGGCATGAAAAGGAAATGCAAAGAGGCACTTTGGGAGGTGTCTGATGATCATTAGAACATACCTGAAAAGCTGCAAACAAGTGACTTACATAGTGCACAGAGGAGAGCCGAGGATCGTCGTATATCAGGAGTCTGCCTGCTACTCCCGATGTTTGCGATCTCTCTTTAGAATAGGCCGTTCTGGCGCGTCTAGTCCGTGAATTTTTTGATACATGTTCAGCGCTCGAATGCAGTGGTACAAAAGGCATTCCTGTATTTTCAATTGCGGTGAACGCCCAGGGGCGAATTGACGCCACGAGAAGCAGTGAACAAGCCCAGCAATTATACGAATGGAGGCTATTTAGGCAGGTTGGTCCGACCGGGAGGTTCTTGGCTGGGCGCAGCGCCAGATTAGACGAGAATAGCGCACCCCAGTGACCATTAGGAATCAGGATATACCCCTCTGACGACGAGGGGACGGCTCATTAGGGTTCATGCATCATCAGCGGTGCGATAGCCTATGCAGAATGCACCTCAGCTTGGTTAGTTCTAGTCGAAAAGCGTTGCACAGTGAGCACAGCAGCTATGGAATGGAGGTTGAGGGCAGGAGAATATCTGTTTCGCAGGAGTCATCATGTCGCAGAATCCAGATCGGAATAAAGAGGATACAGCGGACTGATGGGAGAGAACGGAGAGGAGCACCATCAACAGGCGCCCCAGCGGACTGCAGCACTGTCAGCAGCGGTGCTAGTAAGATAGCCAGCCGGGTGCAGTGGATAGCAGATGGTGAGCGTTGATGGATACATTCAATTCACACTTGGCAGGACGCCGCTTCGGTGCAAAATGCCTACTCTGCTTCGAATGCGAGCACCGAGAAGCCTACGTAACGACAGTCAATCTCGAATTGCAAGAGCTTTCCCTTCTTACGAGGACACGTACATGCGGCCTTGCCTCTAAGAACGATAAAGATAGTTCCACATACATCTACATCCGATAGCACAGATGACCGATCACATCTACAGCAAGAGTCCCAGAGGTTGCTCGCAAAAAGCCAATTTGGTATCAGATCCGATATTCGTTTGTACATCCCTTCCCGAAACCTCACGACGCTCGCCCCCTGCTCGCACATGATACGGCTAGCTAGCTTCATCGCACTATGCGAACGCAGGAGCCATGAGCACAGCCCGAGCCACCAACTCCTGATCAAGCCTTCTTTGGCCGTCCGCTGGATTTACGAGCTACCTGACTTCGTCCTCCTCGAAAACAACGGCAGCTGCATCTCAGGTGACGGCTCCATCTGCGCCGTCCGCACCACGCTCGCGCCCCTCGGGGATTCCCACTCGACCGCCGCCTCCGTCCCCGCATACGGCACTGCACCGTTCTGGTTCGCTCTGTCGCGGTGCGCGGATCCCGATCCGGACCCATGCCGCGACTTGCTCGAGCTGCTTCTGCCATGCCTATGTGTAGGGGTGCGAGGTTCCGCGGACGGCGGGGACTGGGACTCAAATGGACCAGAGTCAAGCTCGACGCTGTCCCGCACCTCCTGCTCGCGGGCGCGCCCGTTCTGCGTGGGGTCGCGAAGGTCGTTGAGAGACGCGGAAGCCTGTCGGGCATGAGTGTACGCGCGTGTGCGGGGGCGGGATGTACCATTGACGGTGTTGAGTGCGCGGCGGGGAGCCTTGGCGGAGCTAACGTCCTCCATCTCGTGTTCCCAGTCGAAGTCGTCGCTGACGCTCGACGGCGTGCCGCTAGTCGATTCGAGGGAGAGACGGGAGGCAAGAGTAGTGGGGGCGCGGGTTGGCAGATGGCCGAATAGCGTAGTTGTCGATGTGCGGACATGTTGAGCGGTCGATTGCAGAGATGAGGAGAATACGTCCAACACTCCTTGCAAAGGATTCTCCTTGGAGCGCGTGAACGAGACGGGCAGAGCAGGGCGGCCGCGAGACGTGTTGCCGTTGGGAAGTGTTGCAGTCTGGTAAGCCGTTGGCGGATGGCCATTGTCTAACGAGGAGGCGTGGGTAGGCGGGGGAAAGTATGACAATTGCGACGCTGGGACACGACGGAGTGTGAGCTTCCCAATGTCAGGCAGGGCTTCCACCGAGGGTGTGATGTCGCTAACGGTCTCGGAGACGGAGTTCGGCTCGGTTTCCGGTATAGATGACTCTTTCGGCAGACTCCTGTCTATGAGGGCCTCTCGAAGCTGCCTCGCCTGACGCGTCTTGTCCACCGGGATATAGAGGACCTTGCGGAGGTGTATGGAATCAGATGTCCAGAGCTGGTTTGCTCGACGGAGGTCCGCTAACGTAATGCCATACTTTAAGGCCACCCCAGCCAACGAGTCCTTGGGCTGAACCTAGACATAGAAGGGTTGAGCATGACGATTCAGGACAAGCCATCGTCCCCATATTCCTACATCAATCTAGCTAGACGTATGACCTCATGGGTCAGTTTCCATATAGTATGCAGTGAAAGACTATGTTCTGCGATGCATAGCGCAAACATGGACGGTAGGCAGTAGGCTCCACGCTACTCACCTCGTGAACGATGACCAGCATTTCCCTGTTCTGCACCAGTGATCCTTCGCGAATATCGCCCCCGTCCCCAGTAGAACCGGAGTCTAGCACGTCTGACTCGCTGAGCATCCTCCTCATGGAGGGACGCGTCTCGTGGTCGAGCGTCCACGAGCTGGAAGAGGCCATGCTCGCAGTGGACCGCAACGGATGTTGGCTTGCGCTCCGACGACTTGGAGGCCAACGATCATCCTCTCCCGCGCCAACATTGTCGTCCACTGTCCTCGATCGACTGTGAGAGGGCGAGGATGTCTCCGAGATCCATGGGTCGTGGTCCGTCCGATTGCGCCTAGCCAGTCCATCTGAGCCACGCCGTCGTTTGGAAGGAGTAGTGTCGTTGCGTCTCACGGCGGACGAGAAGGATGACTGGGAGTGTCCTGCCTGAGTATTGCTGCTCCAGATCTCCGCAAGGGCCCCATGGGCGTCGGGATCAGTGTCGATGTCCCGGTGTTGTTGGCGGGTGGACATCAACTACCAGAGTAGTTCAAGCGATGTCTGAGATATGTAAGCCAGTTTGGAGCGACTGAAGGGGACTACGAAGTAGGGAAGGATGTGGGAGGGACTGGCCATGGTAGCGGTGGCCGCCACGACGTCCCTCCCAGCGCTGTCAGCGGCGCAAGCGCCTGATCAGACTGCCTTCTATGGCAGGTGGGTGCATCGCTTTCTCGAAGGCCTCCAGTCGGTCTCTCTTCGGTAGAACGGCGGTTCAGTAAGTACTAGAGCGCCAGCCACGATTACCTCGCATCCTTCGGTCCTGGTGTTGTTGTGCCACAGTGCGTCACGCAGAACCACTTATATACTCGTTCTTGCTTGACCCCAATTATTCAGATCCCCTCATAACTCATATCTTCTCTAACCGTCATCAGCTTCAGGATGCCTCACCTGGAATTCCCCGTTGCGCCTGAGGAGGTTGGCACTTCCCCTACGCAATTCGATGAACTCCAACCCTACTTCCTTAACGAGGAAATATGGGAGGATGTGACATACAGAGTCTGCGAGACCCTGTGTGTCTTGTCTTCCAAAGCTCGTTGCTCAGCCATTCTCCGAGTTCAACTCCTCCCCGAACCGTTTGACGCGTCCGTCAAGGAGCTCACTGCGATCTGTAAGGTCGGGTGGGGACGTGAGCACGCGCAAAGAGTCAAGAAGGAGGCAGAGCTATGCCGTGACAAACTCTCCCATCTCCAAGGTGATGGCCTCCCATGGATTTACGGCTGCTATGATGGAGTCACGGACGAAGGTGTCACAAGGGTTTCGGTAATGGAGGACTGTGGGCAATCCCTCCATGTACCTCTCGTAGAATGTCCTCCTACGTTTCGGTGCGTGTCCCTTTCATTGTATACGCAGTCGTACAGTGCTGACAAACTCCATAATATGACGTCGTTCTAGATATCTCGCATGTGGTATGCTCGTTGAGGTTCACAAAGCCGGAGTGATACATAATAGCTTCACGGAGCGGAACGTTGTGGTCTCAGTCATCAATAGCGGTCCCAACAAAGGAGAACACGTCCCTGTTCTCGTCGGCTTTGGCGAAGCAACAGAGCATCAATGTCCGTTGAATGGGAACATTCAGGCGAATGGTCTGCGACCTGAGAGATCGGACATCATGTGCGACGAGATCTACTACGCTTGCATGGATTCAGATTTCTGGCGGCCAGGTATGTCCCTGTCTCCGTGCGAACATACGACAGGTATATGACTCACCGCTGTCTCCACCAAGCATATATCAAGGTATTGGACACAGAGGTCCCAATCGCGCATGCCACGAGCGTGGAGAGCCTTGTGCAACATGCCGGATACTCAAACTCGAACGAGATGTTGAAGAGGCGTGCACTGTTGGAAGCTAGGAGAGCCTTCTCGGCTCACAGAGATTGAGAAGAGGCTGGGACAAATGGGATGAATCGCCGCTCATTAGCGAGTAGGATGTATTGTGATACGACGATTCATGGAACAATCCCTCAGCGTCACTTTGTAACAAGAGATGACTTGGATGGCGAAGCGGTATTCGATTGCACACCTGCAGAGACAGTACCTTCAACGAGGGCAACTCAGAACTGTACTCTAATCGCGCCGGACGACTTGTGTCGTATTGATAGTTTGGGGTCAGACACTGGGGCGACGGGCAGTACGCGCCCTGCTAAGAGCATGTATTGCTAGAGTGGTGTCAGGGAGAGCTGTGGTGGGAGGGGCAACTGCACCATGCCCATATAACGCCGACCGGGGTGAGTGTCAAAGCATTCCTGTTCGATCCACACAGCCCAGGACTGTCATGGTGTCATCGGAGATGTCTCCTTCGACAGAACACCACCGGTGAACTTTGAAAACATGTGGTATGACTTACATAGGTATGCCATACAGTAGCTTCGTGAGCGTTCCGTTCCTGACGGTTACTATGAAGCTCTGAGGGCGCAGATCCGCGGCACACACTTCAACCGTGATAGCATTGTAATGACACTGGGGTGCACGAGTAATACTGTATATTGACAAATTAGTGACGTCGCCGCTCATCCACGCTTCAAGAGTGACTCCAAGTCGGCTTCCTTTTCTCCGCAAATGCGGCCATACCTAGCGTACCCATCCAGCCATTAGCCATCACGCTCATTCGCCGCAGAATGCAATGAAAGCCACGCACCTTCCTTCTGATCCTTCGTCGCGAACAGCGAGTGGAACAACCTCCGCTCATACCTCAGGCCCTCAGTCAACGTATGCTCGTACGCCGCATTGACCGCCTCCTTGCCCGCCTGGACCGCAATCGCGCTCTTGCTCGCAATCACGCTGGCCAGCGCGACCGCCTCCTTCACGACCTCGCCCTCGCCCTCGCCCACCACGCGCGAGACCAAGCCCCAGTCCGAGGCCTCCTTGGCAGTGAAGTTCCGGCCGGTGAGCGTGAGCTCCATCGTGCGCGACTTGCCGATGGCGTGCGCAAGGCGTTGCGTTCCGCCGCCGCCGGGGATGACGCCGATGTTGATTTCGGGCTGGCCGAAGACGGCGGTGGGGGAGGCGAGGATGATGTCGCACATGAGGGCGAGCTCGCAGCCGCCGCCGAGCTGTGGAGTACACGGTCAGCGCACAGCCTTCTTCGTGGACACATCATACCGGATGCGCCGGGATGTTCAATTAAGTGGTGTCAAGAGCGCGTCGATATCGAAGTCAAGGAAGCATAGGAGAAGGTAGACCGAGGAACGCTTCCGGACTCACCGCATAGCCGCTTACAGCAGCAATGATAGGCTTGCCGACGGTGGTGAGGAGGGACCAGCTCTCGAGGAACTTGCCCTTGAACACCTCGGAGACTGATAATGGCATAAGATACACATCCTAGTAGATCATGAGTGTAAGACTCACATTCCTTGTCCTTCATCTCCTTGATGTCCGCACCAGCTAACCGGCACCGGATTCAGTAACACATCCAATAGCAAGAGAAGGATGGATACTCACCAGCGAATGCGCGCTCGCTGCCCGTAAGGACAAGGGCGCGGATGCTGTCATCTTTGTCAAATTCCTTTACTGCCGCGTTGAGCTCAGTGAAGAGAGGCGTCGAGAGCGCATTAAGCGCCTTGGGGCGGTTGAGCGTGATGAGGCCGACGCCGTCCGCGGGACGCGACGTCAAGATGAATTCGTACTGGGTGGTCGTCATGAACCGCACACGGATGGGCGTGGCTTGGCGGTACGCGCGGATGCTCCGAAATGCGGCCGCGGAGGTGGAAGAAAGGGGTCGACGAAAAGCAGCCTGCATAGCTTGCGTATACTTATAGACTGAGCTGCCGCCGAGTGCTGCGTTGATGTGACCAGGGACACGCAACTGATAAAGACGCAGAAGATTTGTCAGAGGGGGCCAAGATGAGAAATGTAAACCCCAGGACGGTCGGAAGATGGTAGGCGCGAGGGACAAGTTGTGCGGAATATGTACCCAGGTCGACTCCGACGCGGAATCGGCGCGGAGGGGCATGTGCTTTGTTAACCTCGCCTACCATCGCTATCTCGCCTAACATCGCTGTCCCCATCTCACCGACTCCCTACACACACCGTTCCTCCGCTCGCACAATCGTCGGCTCAAATTCGTCAGGCGGCTCTTCCAAGACTTGTGTTTGGGAAACTTTACACACGTGGACCATACGGCGGCGATGCAATGACGAATGCTTTTTTCGCAGGGCTGTCGAGTTTTCGTCATTTCCTCCCTATGTCTGCTACGCTCTTCGCGACCGCATGAGCAGCCCGTGCAATGTGACTTGTGCACACGGTGGCTCGAGAATATGACCTCTAGAGCTGCCGGATGGCCAGTATCGACAGCCTTGCAGAGCTGCCCACATGCACCGAGCATTGCTCACATTGCTCATATCATCGCATTCCAACATCGTCACCTATTCAATTGTACCATCTCACTTGAAGGGAGAGTCATTGCTGCGAGCCAAGTCCTTCCGTGCACTCTCCACGGTACTTTCTCTGGCTCCCGTTGTGCCTCGGTACTTAAGATGAATCCATTCTATTATCAAGATTACTTGAGGAGCATTCATCTAACTGGCGCTAGAACAAATGGAGATTATCCGCCGGGGATGCCAGCACTCGACGTCTTGGCTGTCATTTTGAGCATAACTCTCCAAATATCAAGTCTGCCCTCTTTGTCCGCCACCTGCTCTGTCGTACGACTGGTTGCCGTTGAATGCCTGCTGGGGTATCGGCCAGACAATCTCCGAAAGGCAGCATCGATCTGTGAATTCTGCGGTTCCCCTTTCGCAGACGTAGTCATGCGTTTCTCTGTGTCTCCTTCTCTTCTTGCATACTGAAGAGAGACATCCCAAAGTCAACGTGAAACTCTGGGGTGAGTATTCTGAACGCAAGATAGCATGGTGCTCACTAAGCCTTGATAGGTCCTATGTCGGTACGACCCTTGAGTTTCTTGCCAAAAGCCATAAGCCGCTGGATATCTACGTTTCCCCTCTTGAACTTTTCTCCTAACCTAGCCGGCACGTTGTCGACGAGACTGTCCGACAGCTCGAGCTTTGAAATTTGTAACTAAGCAGGAGCATGACTTGATGTGGGAAGAGGTAAGAACCATGTTCGGCATTGATGGGCTCTCGAGCTGTTCGAAGCGAGCTGGAGGGAGCCATGCACTAGGAGGAAGACCAGACGTAGCGTATTCGGTGTAGACACACATCCCCCTTTTTTGTTGTATCACAAATAGGAGAAGTCGATGCTCCCTACGTATTTAATCTCATCTGATTTTCGACGATGGGCCACATCAGGCAGAAATTACTGAGAAGCTGACACACTACTGCAGACCCGTATGCAGTTCAGTGGTCAGTGGATGATCCCCTTCGTTCGCATACACGTTCAATGCACGTCGCAAGTTGACTTGAGGTGGGATGCGGGGTGCGGGGTAAGAACGCGGGGTAGACATGGGATTTCGCGGGAAGCCCGGATGGTGACCTTTGAAATGAAACCCATTGGCCGGACCCGGGACCGGTGCAGGACACCCGGTCCCCGGTCACGGCCGTCCAGAGCGAGCGAGAGCCTCGTTCGGACGGCCGGGCGCCGGGCCGTGCGCCCGAGGCTGTCTTTGGCAGGAATGCCGCCGGGTGGGAATCACATGCGCCGTCCGGCCGCGAAGGAGGTCGGCGCAGTGTCAACGCCGGGCGCGATATAAGGCTTTCCCCTCTCTTGTGCTCGTCTCACACATCCTCCCTCCCCATACCTCACAGCAATGGCCCAAGTTATCGTTGTCGGTGGTGGTCTCGCAGGTCTCTCGGCCGCTCACACTCTCCTCGAGCGCGGCGCGAATGTGCTGCTCCTCGATAAGCAACCGTGGGTTCTCTCCTATGACATGGCATCTTACGCGTAGACTCATGACGACGCGCATCCTCCAGCTTCATGGGTGGTAACTCCACCAAGGCCACTTCAGGAATCAACGGCGCCGGCACCCAGTCACAGCAGGACCTTGGTATTCCGGACAACGCAAAGATTTTCTTCGAGGACACCAAGCGTTCCGTAAGTTCATCCGCTCCGTCATATCCCGAAATAACACTCAAACATACGGAACCCCTTTTCCCCACTCTCTCCAAACACAGGCTCGCGAGCTTGCCCGCGACGACCTCATCCGCGTCCTCACCGGCCAGTCCGGAGATGCCGTCAACTGGCTCCAGGACAAGTTCGCCCTTGACCTCTCTAAGGTCGCCCGGCTCGGCGGTCACACTCACCCCCGCACCCACCGCGGCAATGCCCAGTTCCCGGGCATGGTCATCACTTATGCCCAGCTAGAGCGCCTCGAGGACCTCGCAGAGACTACGCCTTCCCGCGTCCAGATTAAGAAGAAGGCGCGCGTCATCAAGCTTGTCAAGGACGACTCGGGCGCTGTCATCGGCGCCGAGTACGAGCACCAGGGCAAAGTTCAGACCGCGTACGGCCCGGTCATCCTCGCCACGGGCGGATACGCGGCGGACTTCACGAGCGACTCGCTATTGAAGAAGTACCGTCCCGAGTTCTGGGACCTCCCCACCACCAACGGCGAGCACTGCACCGGTGACGGACACAAGCTGGCGCTGGCCATCGGCGCCAGCGCAATCGACCTCGAGAAGGTCCAGGTGCACCCGACGGGTCTTGTCGACCCTAAGGAACCCGAAGCGAAGGTCAAGTTCTTGGCTGCGGAGGCGCTGCGTGGTGTCGGTGGTCTCCTTCTCGACGGTACTGGTCAGCGTTTTGTGGACGAGCTCCAGCATCGCGACTATGTCACCGGCAAGATTTGGGAGAACGGCAAGGTAAGACACCATCTCACCTCTAGCGTCCCACATGACTCACCCTCCGTGCAGTATCCCATCCGCCTCGTCCTCAACGGCGCCGCATCCAAGGAGATCGAATGGCACGTCAAGCACTACGTCGGCCGCGGCCTCATGAAGCGCTACGAGTCCGGCGAAGCCCTCGCCAAGGACATCGGCATCTCCCCCGCAGCCCTCAAGAAGACCTTCGACGACTACAACACCGCTGCGCGCACCAAGAAGGACCCCTTCGGGAAGAAGTTCTTCTCCGACAGCGAGTGGAAGCTCGACGACGTCTTCAACGTCGCGATCATGACCCCCGTCCTGCACTACACCATGGGCGGGCTCGAGATCGACCCGGAGAGCCGCGTGGTCGACAAGTCCGGCAAGCCCATCCCCGGCCTCTTCGCCGCGGGCGAAGTCGCGGGCGGTGTCCACGGCGCGAACCGCCTCGGCGGCTCGTCTCTGCTCGGCTGCGTCGTCTTCGGGCGTGTCTCGGGCGCGTCAGCGGCGTCGTACCTCCTCCAAAAAATCGGGCCTCTCGCGGAGAAGGCTGCCGGCCGTCTCGGCGCCGTCGCTGGTCACCTCGGCGCGGAGTCGCAGCCCTCACCACCTGCGACCGCGGCCGCCTCAGAAGAGAAGAGCACGCCCTCCGCTCCCTCATCAGGGGGCAGCGAGTATACGGCAGAGGAGGTCGCGAAGCACAACAAGAAAGACGACGTGTGGGTGATCATCGACGGGAAGGTGCTCGACGTGACCGCGTTCCTGCCGGACCACCCGGGCGGGGAGAAGGCGATCCTCCTCTACGCGGGGCGCGACGCGACGGAGGAGTTCAACATGCTCCACGACCCGAAGGTCATCCCGCGGTACGCGCCCGATGCGGTCATCGGCTCGCTCAAGAAGTGAGTGCGCGGGCGGAGCGGAGCGTCGGGGGAGAGACGGAGCAGCGCACGTCGTGACTCTTTGCATTGTTATCGTCATCCATCATCCGCTATACCACGCACACAAGGCACACCCTTCCGTCTCGCAGGCTATCGCATGTTGTGCTTGTATTGTAGACTTTTAATGTATCGTTCCGTATACTCCAAGTTTCAGTCCGACGCTCGCGTTTCGAATAGAAGGCAGACAGGTGTTTTGGCTGTCGTAGAAGGCGGATCGCGCCTCTGAGTAGGGAGGGTTGGCTGTTGTAAGACAAGACATCTAATATCGCCGTTCTGTTTCCCAAAGCGTCCGGCTGCTCGTTGTGTTTCGCGGGTACGTCAGCCTGTGCATATAATATTACCCTGGAATTGACTCAAGCTGCTGTCGCTGTCATTTAGGGTTGTTAGGAAATGGCCATTGCTGGGAGTCCAGTATTGCGCTGTTCAGCGTAAAGGTACAGATGATTCTATGCGTGCCAAACGTAGGCAAGGTAGTTCCAGATGGGCGTGGACAGGAACGAGAGCGCAGCCAGAGCGGCTGTACCGCAACATGACAGCCCTAAGAATACAGCTAAACATACACATGGCCGACAGGTAGCGACAGAAGCAACGTCGTTCTCGCCACGTGTGTGTGGGCGGGACCGAAGGGGTATATCCGTGCACACATGATCTCGCGGTGTGCGAAGGATCTGCGTGGAGGATGACGCGCAAGGAGGGCGGAAGAAGTAGCGACGGTCGCTTGGTCTGCTGAGGTCATAATTTGGGTTGCATTTTCCCCAGCAGCGCGGACGCAATCATCCGTCCGGAGGCTTTGTCTACGATCTGCGAGTATCGTGGTCACGCCGCCAGGCGCCACTCAGCAGCGTTCAGGAACGAGGGTCGTTGAGTGAGGAGGGGAGAAGGAGCGTACCTCGCACCGAGAGGTCATGATGCGCCCGCTGAGGGTCACAGACGTGCTCGTGATTTTCATGCACGTCTGCCTAGGGCACGAAGAGGGGTTCAAAGAGGTTCGGAGCAGGTGCATGAAAGCTTACAATGATGCGGGTGCATGGAAGAAAATGTTGATAGCTTGGGTGACCCCAACGCCGTTCGCGTTTTGTAGGACACCGAGGGCGACGAGGGGAAACGAGGCGCAACTGTGGGGGCGCATGAGTCCTTCAAGATCCCGGAGGCACAGCTCGGTGATAGCACTCACTTGTCGATGAGATAACACAGACATCCCCCATGCACAAGCCCAGCCCCGTTGAGCATCTCTTCACGCCCAGCGGCCTCAGCGTCCTCGACCTATGCAATGCCGTTCTGCCGTGCTAGCACGCACCTTTCGTGACCTGCACCTCTGAAATGACGACCACCTCCGTCTTATCTCCCTTCCTTTCCACGTTCATCTCGGTAATCCGTATCCGCCGCCCGACCGCGTACGCGAAGCAGTCTATGTCTCCCACCCCATATGAGCCGAGGGTGTTGAGCGTAAGCTGCTTTGCGTCTTCTGGCGCATTCCCAGCCACTTCGGAGGCATCGCCGTATTTGGGAAGCGTGAGCGGGTCTACCCACCCGCGCTCTGTCGCAAGGCTGGATTGGAAGGTCGGCATCGCGAGGTCGGTAAGTGGGCGCAACGGAGGACACGGCTCGTAATTTCGGTGGAGGAACTGGGTTTGGGCGGCGGCGGGAGAGGGAACGGAGGTCAATGAGACTACGACAGATCACAGCACCCAGGCTGTTCGCGAAGGTGAGTGAAATGGGAGGTGCTGGGGCGTGACAGTGGACTCTATGTTGAGTCCCGAGGTAAAATACAACAGGAATAGGAGCTGGAACGGGCTCGACTCGGGAGGGAGGATAGCGTCCGCCTTGCTCGGGTCCGTGTGGAAATTCTGGGGATATCTTGGAACTTGGAGGGCAGGTGCCCTATCTGAGCTGCGCTCTAAGCTTGATGTTCCCATGTGCCGGACAGGCAAAGACTTTGGATGCGCGGGACATGTTCTGAGAATCAGGACGCGGCGCTGTGTCTGACTGAGCTGGGAACCCAGGCTAGTCCCGGTCGAGTTCTGGCCCAACGCGACCACCCCAACTTCCACGATCATGTGAGCGTGCACGACCTCCCTGCCTCACGCTCAAGCTCGACTGCGGTTCTCTCGCCTCCAGGGGAGAGGGTGCGTCCATGCATTGCACGGTTGCACCGACTTCGTCCAAGAATGTGTCTCCTCCAGACTCGGAGCCGTCGGCGAAGAGTATAGCCGTGCATTCTCCGGCCTTATGGACACGGACAAGTCGTGGCCGTCACACGGCACGATCGGGTTTGACAGCGTGATTGCCAGTTACAAAGGCAGACAAAGCCTACGCTGAAGTGTATCACAATGACCTTGGCGGGCGGCAGCAATTGTTGGACTCTGTGGGTGCACTGGGTCTGGACTTGGTGTTAGCTGAAACATATCGTATTGTCATAGTGCGATGCTGCTCGCTATCCTGCGGGCCTTGCACGTCGTGGAAAATCTTGAGTAAGTGTGTTTGATCACCCCGCAAGCCTTTGTTCCTGACGGAATCTGTCGGTCAACAACATGGACAGCGCCGATGGTTCCCACAGCACTCGACAGCGAGATTACTGTTGCGCCCTAAGAGCCTCTCATTAATGGATGGGATCCTCCGCGAGAACCTGTACATCTCCGGCGAGAAGTACATGGCAGAGATCTGGGAAGCGAATCAGGCTGCTCAGGTATGTCAATTGCGCAATGAAATCCCAGCCGTTCAACTCACCTTGCCCTAGCTTCAGGACGTCATCGGGTTCTTCGATGGTAAACTGGATCAATCCCTAAGTGCCCGTGGCAACGAGCTCTGGAAGGGACAGATGCGGCTTCTCGTGCTACTGCGGAAGAATAAGATCGTTCTGCTGGACGTGGCGCCCGGGAAATTGTATGTGGAGACAGACTAGGCTGTAGGGCAAACAGTCCGCACCGCCTTCAAGAAACCCACTGTCGTCACCATCGCTCATCGCATCGGCACAAACGTGAATCACGACCAAGTCGCGATCTTAGGGGAAGCATCGTCGAAGTCGGGAAATCTTCAAAATGCTGGAGAATGAGGAAAACGCGTTTGTGCGACTGCATGACTATTCCACGATGTAGAGTCTGAGAGATTAAACAGTTTAGTAGCTTACAAATACTTGAATCGACATATGGTGATGCACGGCGGAGTTCTGTTCGATGGCAGGATACAAAGTGAATTCAAGTCACGAGACCGACTGCGGCACGTATCAATTGTCTCTCTTCAGCAGATGCCTGATCGACTAATTCCCGGAAGCGACCGTTTTCCTTGCGAAGTAGATTTATGGGGCTGTCGAACTCAACCTGCAGGCGCGAATGAGTGTCAAAGAGTCTTGTCTCATCCTATACCACTCACCACTGATCCGGAATCGAGCACAAGCTGAATTCAGAGGGATTAGTAGGAGTGTGCAACGCAATGCCACACAGATTGACATACCACTTTGTCGTAGTCTTTGATGGTTGACAATCGGTGAGCTACAGTGATCACAGTGACTTTGTGATCCAGCTGTTTGCGCAGGGCTAATTGGATCTTAGCATTACTCTCGTTGTCTATGAATTGAGTTGTGAGTGAGCCAGAAGTGTAGATTGAGGGGAAGACGTACCGACGGAGGATGTCGCTATATATTTCGGATCCCCATGTGTCAGATATTGTTTGAGAATACTCATAATCCACGTACCCTCATCCATGACGAGTAGTTTGCTCTTTCTGACGATCGCACGGGCTAGAGCAACGATCTGTCGCTGACCAGCGGACAAGTTCTTACCGCCCGACGACACTTGAGTGTCGAGTGTGAGCGTGTCCGTCACCGTCTCCTGTGCGTTCTCAATCCCTTGTGCACCAAGCAGAGCACTTCCTAGTTCTGCGTCCCTATACTTCCCGAAGGGATCTAGGTTCTGCCGAATGGTTCCTTGGAACAATTCCGGCTATATAACGTATTATCAATACCCCACAGGAGGATCGCAAGAACATGTAACGCTCACAATTTGAGGAATGATTGTAATTTTCTTCCGCAACGTTGTAAGGCCAACCATTCCGATTGATTTGCCGGAGTAGACGACATCGCCTGTTGCCTCTGGCGAGGAACTGGTACGGATATTGGTTGGGATGCAACGCAGCAGTGCCAGCGTTAGAGTGCTCTAGAAATTGCAAACTTAGTGATTCATCGCGTATGTCGGCAGTGAGACCTCACCTTTCCACTACCAGTACGACCAACTTGGCGAATTAAATATATGTGAGCAAGGGAGTATGTTGCTCTCTGAAGGTACCACTCACCGATGCCGATAAGTTCCCCTGACTTGATGCTGAAGGTTACCCTCTTCAGAATCTCCGGTCCATCAAGCGTGTACCACGCCGACAGATCTTCGACATCGAGTGATCCGTCCGTGGGCCAATCGCCTTCGGCTTGCGGGAAAGCATCCGGTTCTGACATGTCCTCCTGCTCAATCACGAGATACTGCTGGATACGCTCGAGACTGTACACTGTATTAGTTCCCTTGGCCCGATCCACTGTCATCATGACAAACCTGTTCCCTGTAGAAGGTCGTTAGCATTAGTTGATCACAGGAGGAACTCAAGCATCTAGAACTAACCAGAAACTTCAAACGTGTTGAGCGTCCGGACAAACTCGAATACCTTGGAGCTGAATGCGACTTCATATCACAATAAGCGACATAAAACCTACGTAAGGAGAGCACAACTCACTGGCCATGTTCAAAGAGAATCCGATATTGGATGCGTTTAGTTTCGTGAAATACGTCAAGTACGTCGCTAGCGATACTGTGAAAATCGTCCCGACAAGGTCTGCGCGAACGATGACCCATCTACGCGTTCGGTCAGACATTTTCAGCGCACGTTCAGAGCAGAGCCATGTACCGGTTCAAGTTGTAGAACGTATTGGAAGCCCGAGTCCAGCGATCGATTCGATCATGCATGTCGTTCTGGAATGTCTTCTGAACACCATACGCACGGATTGAGACTTTAAGAGGGATTAGTCAATGATTAATGAGTGAGAGCACTCAGGCGCACCAAGACTAGCAACCGTGGAGTTGAGATGACCGATGAGAGGTGCACGTGTCTTGCTTTGTTCGCGCTTTACCGGCAGCTGCGCCTTCATGTATGCCCTCGCATAGATCCCACTGATGATTCCGAACAGCAAAACAGCCACGGTGAAGATGGGGGCCACCACCAACACGAGGACGAGTCGCACGAGCATCGACGTAGACAACTCTAGCAGCTTCAGCAGGAAGTTCGAGATCTGTCCATCGACTAGGGGGTGGTTAACACTCGTCACCCTGACAAAACAATAGTTGGGATACTTGCTGGCACCAATATCGTCTGTGAAACGGGCGACGACGCGGGATTTGGGGGTGTAGTCCAGCCACCTGAGAAGATATCAGCACATCATGTTTTGTGCAATGTCTCGATACGTACCTGAGCGTCGCTCCGAGGATCGAATTCGCCAATTTTGAGTGGATCTTCGCAGACGCCTCCAAAGTTCCTGCCAAGTGCACCATCCGCGAAACAGCGTCGGTCAACAAGGATCCAATCAGAAGTGTAACATAGATCGCCAGGAAACTATATTGAGTGATCAGCTCTGTGGGAAAAGCATAATAGCTTGATAAGACTTACAATACCACAGAAACTCTAGATGCCGGCTGATCAGAATATTGGCTCGCCCAATAGCCAAGTAGCCAGATCTGCGCGTTGATCACGACACTCGCAAGGAGCAGGGAGCTCAGTAAGACAATCCAGAACAAAATGGGATACTTTGACATGTTGCCAAACAGGAGGCTCACTAGACACAGCCGATGTAAGCAGCCAGTCTCGTGGCGATTGGAAGTGACGAGAAGACAGCATACTTGGCTTCCAGCCCACGTGGCCCTCTTGCGTCTCCTCCGGTGCGACTTGTTGCTGCTGTACAGGCTGGTCGGCGCCCGCCTTCCTATCCGCTCTGGAAGATTTCACATGTACGCCGTTGGGTGTAGCGCTCGGCGTTGCAGACGATGCGATGAGATCCTGAGGAGGGGGTCCCGCATCGACAACAGTTCCATTATGACCGAGCTGCACAGCCCAAGTCGCGATGGGCAGCACCGCCTTGACGTTGTTGGTCTAGGAAGGAGTAGTCAGTTATGAAGCACCGGTTAGCTGATTTGCACGCACCGCTAAGATAACTGTTCTACCCTTGAGCAAATCGCCCCGGAAAACATGCCTGACGATGTGCTGAATCGTGCTGTTATCGATTTCAGAGAGGATGTCATCTAACAATAGGATTTGCGCCTTCGAATAGACCGCTCGAGCAAGCGTGAGCCTTGCCTAAATACTCCTTTAATGCAGGTTGTCAACAATAAATAATGTCACGTTACCCTCTGCCCACCGCTAGTAAAGGAGTCCTGGTGAGCCGCTTGGACCCTGTTGTCAAGAGAGATACTCACCTCAAAAGAATACCACGCTCCCCAACCAGCGTCTCGTCCTTGTGCTCGAATTCATCAATGTCCTCATCCAAGGCACACGCCTCGATGACGTGATAGTACCGATCCTCGTCATAAGGCTGCCCGAAGAGGATGTTGTCCTGCCAATGCAAATCATTCGATTACAGCGACGGCGGGATCATACAGGCGAATACTCACCCGAACGGAGGCTGCCATGACCCATGACTCCTGTGCAGCGTATGCCACACCCTCTTCGACCGGCAAGCTAACGAAGGAAGAGCCATTCTGCGGCCTATAGTGCATCTCGCCTGCAGGCGCTACGTTTATCCACCTCTTCGCTCCGTGCTTGGAAGGAACTCACCGAGCAATGCCACCAGCAGGGATGTCTTCCCGCTCGCAGTCGGACCATAGATGATGTTCAACCCGCCCTTCTTGAAGAGCAGCTCCCTGTCGATCTTGAGAGTGAAGGGTTGATCTTGTGCGGACTCTTCTGTCCATGTGAAGTGTGCGTCGCGGAAGCCGATGTCGGTGGCATGAGTCTCAAGACTGTGTCCATTCTCCGTGAGATGGTCAACGTTGCCGCCCTTCTTCGTGTATCGATCCAGAAGTTCAGTCTCCTTGAGGAAACGGTTGATACGCTCCAGCGAAACTTTGCCTGGGAGAAAGGCATGAGTGTCAGCCGTAGAATATGGGTTTGCGTTGACATACCGTTGGTCAAGATCGGAATGCGGAAGAATATCAATCCCAGCTGCGAACGGAGTATCTCGAACACTGTAGAGCATTAGCACCAAAGATGCGACATGTGAATGCTACGAGCTCACATGAGATAGACGAGAAAACGATGGAGGCTGTAGGACATCAGTGCCATGCACCACGCACATATGCGGCGGGCGGACATACCTGATAGCTCGCGTTTCATCCCAAGAGTCTATACAACATGTGAAAGTCGCGCTCGCGACGCAAGACAATTGGACTCACGAAGGTTGCATAACTCGCCAGCATGATCAACAATGGGATACAGACGCTGAAATCCAGGTCAGTCAGTAACAGCCATTGCGTGCGGTGCGATGAACCCCACTTGATAGCGCCAATCCAAATCTGCATCATGTTAACCTTGCGAATGGCGCGGAGCTCCTCCAGTCGCGCGTTGCCCAGCTTCTCAGCCTGTTCCGGCTCCCATGCCAAAAACTTGATCGTGCGTATCATGTCCAGCACTGCGCGGTGTCATTTGCAACATAAGAGTCAGCCTGATTTAAATCAACGCGAGAAAGCGAAAGCTCACTTTGAATGACCAGCGTCACACGACGGTCGGACTGGGGAAAGGGCAAACATCCGTTATAAACAAAGAGTCTAGAGCCATAAATTACGAAGCACTCACCGCCCTGGCCTTGGCACCCTGTAGGCCTTTCGTACGTTTGCTGAGTTCCGTCGGCACTGGGAACAGGGCGACCATGACTGCGACTCCCACGAACGTACTATGATGCCGCATAACGAGTTAGCCGGAGGACAGCCTGGCATCCGTGCATTAAGCGCTCTTACCTCCATCCGAGAATCGAGTACAAGAAGACCACAGACAGCACGATATGGATGGGAGTCTCGAACACTGCAATCGTCCCGGTCAGCCACACCCATGACACCGAACCTTCAGGAAATCTATGCACGCACAGACAAGCAGCACGAAGGTGCTCGCATTCGTCACATTCGTCAAGTCCGTCGTGACCAAGTTCTGGACGAGCGGCATGGCCCCCTTCCCGTCTTGCGGCTTTCCCGGGGCGGTCTTGGCGTTCGTGGTGGCCTTCGGCCGCATCATCAACGCCACGTCGTACATAAGCTGCGTCAGAATTGCCTGTGTCCGTGCCACAACCTGCGTCTGTTTATCCACACGCAGCGTATCAGCATTCCTGCTACATGCTTCCCAGGCTCCACTGACAGGCCGGTGGACAGATGAACTCGTACCGAGACGTAATGGTAATATTGCATGCACATCGACACGCCCATAGAGCCGAAAAGGAGAGCGAGGATCCAGAACCAGGGCTTGAAGGTCTCGTTCTGCGATCCTTGCTCGACGTGCCTGGTACGCCAAATGGGTTGAGCGCGGTTCGAACCCTGTGCTGCAGAAGAAGACGCTCACGATAGAATGTGCTTGAGGCCGAGGGGCGTTAGAAACGAGGAAGCACTCTATCGAAATGTCCATATTGAGTAAGAGAACCGCACAGCCCCGGGCATGAGGCAGCGAACCACGTACAGCGAGGATGACCATGATTCCCATGACCAGCAAATCGGGGGCTTGGGTAGAGGCACGTGGGTCGTTAGGATTCGGTCCATACTACCGCAGCTGACAATGGCGGTGCGCAGAAGAAGGCGAGATGCACTCACAGAAGAGTCTAGCAAGGCCCCATGCGACGTCCCTGCTCTTGCTTCGATCGTCACTTACCCGCATTGGGTCCACGAGCTGCAGTCCACATGAGCGCCCCGAACGTAAACCGAGATAAAGGAGGCGCCTACTGCATAGCTGGTCTCCACAAGGTGGTCTGTGCTGTTGTACTCTGCTAGTGGAGGCAACTCTTCAAAGGGCAGATGCTTTAGGTGTTGTGCTCTCCAGATGAGTGGATCAAGCCAGCCATAAGTGACCAAAGAGAAAATCGATGCTCTCTGCTCCGGACGTGCGTCGAGATCGTCGGTGTGGCGAGGGGATATCAGGGGAAGAACAATAGCAGCCAGTGTGAGAAGTCCGATCTTGGCCCAGAGGAGGTTCCCTTCTGCACCATCGATGGGTGTCAGATCGTACGTGGCGAGCGGCCATATGTCACGGTACGCGTACACCGCCCATATGGCCAACAGAATGATGTTCCGGGGGATGCTGAACCGAGTCCGCCAACGACGAGGTAGACACATCATTCCGAGTACTAATGCCTGAAGATGCGTTCAGCAATGCGATCCATAAATGAAGGAAAGAAGTTGTACTTACGAAGGCTGCTATGCGCGCTCCATAGAAGAGCCATGGGTATATGCGCCTCTCGCGGCTGGGAAAATGTGGCGGAACCACAGGTATCGTCACAGCAAACAAGACAAGCAAAGCCAAGACATCAAGAGTCAAAACTAGGTCATATATGCTGAACATTGCGTTTGTTTTGGAGGGCGACTCAATGGAATGACGGGACTCCCGGTCGAAGGGGTGAATGTCGCGCGGCTGAGATTCTGGTGGTAATCGCTCAGCTCCGGTACCACCTGGATTGTCCATGTAGATAGAGCGGGAGCAAGGGCGGGTTCTGGAGCAGAAGGGACTGGTGGAGTGGCGCAAAACCGTGCGAATGAGGGTAGGAGGTAAGTTCTGTAGGTAATGACACCCAGTTCACCCGCGGTATATAAGAGAGCCAGGGTGTCCGTGTGCGATAATGGAGAGTGGGCGCTGTGGCGAGTAGATGCTGTTGATATAAGCAGGCGGGGCTGCCAGATCAACTGTTCTTGTATGTTTCCCGTTGCGGCCAAAAAGAGCAAGATAACAACAGTTGGTAGCGTCACTCTTGCGATGCAGCAACAGCTAACAAGTAGATGAGTCGGTTTGACCTGTTGCAGTGCTTGGACCAGGATGGCAAGACGGGGGGCGGAGTTGACGTTGAGGCCGGGGAGTGGCCCAAGCGGAACGCCTAAAGACGGACGAAGACGCAAGGCTAGTGCGTTTTCGCAGGCTGTGCAACCTTCAGCTGTGTGCGCGCGTGTGAGCTGGACAGGTGTCCTCGCGCAAGTATTCAGCACAAGGACGTCGTCGGGACCAACATCGGCAAGGTCCTAGTACAGATCCCGACCACATGACGTCGCTGGGAAACTTTCTATGGCCATCGGGGCTGTGCTCAGAGGCGCCAGACGCTCTTCTATGAGCTCGAGCGTCTGTCAACTGGCCGCAGTCAGTGCTTGCTTTTTCTGCCTCTCTCGCCCGACGACCCATAAATTCTACCTTCAGACCAGTTTGTTGACTGTGGACGACTGCATCGAAAGCGCATCTTCTTACCCAGGAGAGAGCATCCTTCGCGTAGCTCCCTGGGTTTTTCTCTTGGGACAGCCTCTTCCAATCAGTCGAGCCTAGAAGCCCTTGGAATCGATAATAGCGTCCGCTTCATCGATTTATCAATTCGGACGAGTAGCGCACGCAGACATCGCAACAGACAGTAAGTTACCTTCTCCAAATCACACCGTGGGCACCTCCCTAGTCTGTCGTACACAGCTTGTCTCTCCATTGCGAAACAACCATGCTGACAAGAATCGCAGCGTCCCTTATACAAAAGGTTCTTCGAGACCTCCTCATGATCGGTATATGCTCGCACGTCGGTCACGGCGATATCCCCAGAAGGCGAATCCTGTACTCGCTTACACTACCATTCATTCGCGCGTAGCTCCGCACGGTGCCACCATTCCATGCGCGAACTTTTAGGCGGCATCTGGACACCCCCCTCAAGTTTCACCCGGACCTCCCACAGCACACTCTTCTGACAGGGACCGATCTGTCCATTCCCCTCAGCTCGCCTACCCGACCCCACTGCGATGCAGTGAGACGTTGCCACCCTACTACGGTCCGCGTACAACCGGAGCTCTCGGCGTCTGGTCCGTAGTAGGCTAGTAGGCTCGGAGCGATCGAACGAGAGTCTAAGAGTCTATCCTGGATCCAAGGAACCGATAATACCCGTCGACGAGGCGGTGACGATGGCACAAGTCCATAGGGCCCAGGCTTGTCAAGCTTGCGGGACCGAAGGTGCGCTCGGGTCACTGGAGTCACCCGTACCGTGGCGCTGCAGGCGGCGCATCATAAGAAAAATACACCGCCCTGCTCACAATCGTGTACCTGGAGCCGACGTATGGTCTGCTCACATCGACTCAACAATACCCATCGCGGCGGATGCACCGCGTCCGGGCGCTCTCCGATCGCGATCGCGGACTCGGGCATACCTGGAAAGCACAGTACAGCATCCGCCACTCACGTCCGACGCCCCACGGACAAAAAGTCTAGCGCATGTGTATGCGCGACAATTGGTTCTGTTATCCTAGGGATACACATGCCTCCCATGGATAGCTCTCTAGGTCGCCTACGACCCATGTTACAATGTGACCAGTACGACATTCGGCGACCCCTTCAGTCCATAGCCAGCGCTCCCTGCTCTACATTTTCCGCTCAACTTCTCCTCAACTTCTACCGCAGTCTCTCTCACCTGCGCACAAGCCCTCGTCGCCTGCGGTCGTAACCGGCTGCACCCCGGAGAGGCACCTCCATTCTCCCTCGGCAGCCGCTGCACCGTCCCTAATTCCCCGATCATTCTGAACATCCGGAACGCCAGCACGGCCCAGGATGCGGCAGACGGGACTTCCAGTTGGTCGCATCAGTGCGCCAGATAGTCCTTCTGCTCGTCCGCCATGTCCGTATGGCGGTTCGACAAGGTCGGCTGAGGGCCAAAATCCGGAGGTCCATACTGCTGGATATGCGCCTAATGTCGTGTCTATTCCCCAGGGGGGCACGTCTTGAGCTGAGACTCGCTGGAGTTCGTCGTCCGCCGGTTCTTCCAGCATGGACAGTAGTTCGTTCGCATGCGACTTCGTCACGCGCTTGCTTATGGCCCATCCGCCATGACCTTCGACAGCGGAGAAACCTTGAATGACTTTATTTGGCCCAGGCCTGGGCGAGCCATTGGGTATAGGACTAGACTGGTGGCAACTCGAGCTTCGAGTTGCTCAGGCCAGTGTTCTACGACATAGGGTCACGTCCAGCCCACGCTGGAGAAGGGTGCAAACCCACGTCGAACGGCTACGATTTGGAGACGTTCAGTTCTACCTTGCCTAAGGCTCAGATAGCTGTAGGATGCCGGGGGAAGAGCACGCATTCAAGAATTCTACGAGCGCAGGGATTTTGGAGAATGAAATCGGATGAGAGGCGTGTGGCTCCCCTGGAGGAAAGAGTTGTTGTCAAGAATGCAGTGGTCCTGCGGCCCACATTTAATCGGGCACCTTGGCTGGAGGAGTTGAGAAAACCGGTCGTGATCGTGGTCGCCGTCACCAAAAGCACTGTAATGGCCCAAGGAACGCGATCGGACCGCTGGAATCCTGACAGAGGAGAGACGAATATTCAGTGGCAGAATAGAGGGGTGTTTGATCTAGAGAATGCAGTCGATCAATGAGACGGTCGCTGCGAAAACGCGACGGGAGTTGCTTCATTTGGTGGCGCGACGCTGCGCTGCCCAGGTCCTTCGGGCGCCCATAGGGGTGTCGGATGTCCCTCTCACCCGGGCGTTCAGGCTGCGGCGGACACCGTTTCAACTTATTTGTTCCTCCTCCGGATGTACACCTCCCTCGATGAGGACTCTGCGTAACACGCCGCTGCTTTTCGACATGACAGGCCTTTCAAGACCATTTGCAATGGGTTAGATTGCATTGACGTTTGCTACAGGCTTTCAGCGGGACGACTCTGCTTTCGATCGTTGTTTCCCTTTATGCCAATGCCCGTTTCCACTGCGCAATCGAATGTTGCATGTTTACGCGGAAACTGCCTGCTCAGTGGCCTTCTTAGATGACAATAACGACGGACCCGTTCCCGATTAATTGTGCATATCCGGTAGATCCCTTCTTTCCCGTCGTTGCTCACGACAGAAGACCCTTTCTGTGGCTCATATTACCGCTTTCCTAGGATGTCTCGAATGTCCCAGCCAACATATCGTGGCTGCGCAATACCTGCGTAGCGGCATGCAAGCCAGTACTCATGGTCCTAGGACACATCGGACGTGGTTGGGGTTATTCCGGGGACTTAGAGTCTCAAATCGCTTGTTCTGTGCATGGTTCTTCTACGCACAATACTCATTGTATTCCCTGATCTCCTGTCGGACCATCTTGTGGTCTGTACGTGAAGCAAAGCGCTACTCACACTGAATAGAAGTCGCCCGTCTGGACGGCCGATTCATCCAATGATGGTACGAGGACTCTAAAATATCGGCATTGTCCCTACCTCGTAGGCCCGATCTGCGCGGTACACGTACGCGTCAGAGCTGGCTAGAGCCACCCTCAAAGATATCCTCCGTCTCATATCCAAGCTCGTAACCCATCCACCTTCTATTTGCTCGCTGCTTGACTATGCCAATGATTCTCCTAGCTGTTCATGCTCGCAGTTCGTTCCGCTAGCGCAACCCTTGTCCATCGCTTCTGAAGCCTCTTCTTTCTCATCGGTGATATCCATGCCATCTGGCATAGAAATTTAGGGAGCTCTAAGTACACCAACAACAACGAGCGTATATATTAGGTGTATTAGGGTACAGGTAAGCACTGAACAGAATGTCTAAGAGTCCGAAACACTTGAAAGCGGAAAAAATTGATACAGCGATATTAAGCAAGAGGGTAACCGTCCTTCATCACAACAAACAACCGAACGCATCACGCATGCAACGCCCCTCAAGAGTAGTTGATCGAACCGCCGTAGAAGACTGTCAGAGTATATTGAGTCAAGTAGCCTGACAAACGAAATATCCGACAACTCACTGTACTTCGAGACATACTTGACAGAGATATCCTTGTCATACCCGTACTTGCACTATCGAAACACCAGTCACTATGACGCTCGTCTGCAAACAGATAACCATGCTCAGACTTACCGTAGCAGGTGGCTGACCACCGACAGTATCAAAGCGGAAGACCTCGTCAGCGATCTTGCCCTGGACGTTCACGACGTCCAACCAAGCGACATCCTTCTTGGGGTCCGTAGGCGCAGGGATAGATCCCTTACCCTTGGCCAAGACAAACACGTCGTTGTTACCCTTGAAGCGCGGATTCGAGCGGAAGTCCCAGACGGGACTCACGCCTTGGCCAGTGACGGGGTTCGTCTGGAAGAAGTGTTGGGCGAGAATCGTAGGAGGGTTAAGAAAGTGGAGGAGATCGATGATCGACTGGATTGGCTGCGGGATGAGGGTCGTCCAGACATTGTACATGTCTTCTTGTATCGTCGAAAACTCCGGCACAAAAGCCAGGCAGGATGCATCAATGAGTTCTGCAACGGCGCCGGTGCTCCTAGACACAAGGAAGAAAAATATCCGGGTAAGCCTCGCCCATACAAGCATAAGGAGGGACGTACGTGTAGTTGTTCGAGCTTGAGCAGGTGTAATTCTGTGTGCCAAACGCGAGACCGAGGAACTTCGGGTTGGAGGGCGCGACAAGCGTGTTCTGACCGGAGGGAAACAACGGGACAAACTTGTCGATCGGGCAGTAGGCATAACCTGTTGTGGGCTGGCCCTTCATTGTCCAGTCATAGGAGCTGACATTGTACCCAGAGCCAGAATTATATCCTGAGCCCGTGTTGTAACCCGAGCTCAAGTAGCTGGCAGCGGCAGCGGCGATCAGACCCTTGATCGCAACCATGGCAGAGGAGAGATGAAGGGTAGGTAGTGGAGACAGTCAAGAACAAAGAGACGGAAAAGAAGTGTGAAGAACGGGAAAGAGCTGAAATGCTGAGGGACCACCGTGCTGCCCCCGAGACCTTTATACCACGTCGAAACGACGTGTCAGGGCAGCGCATACCCGCACCGCTCGGGTACCTCGTGGCAGCCCTGATTGGTCGCGCACTGTGAGCAGAGTGACGGATCCATTGGGCGCTGCCTGTGTGCACCTTAGGCTGTAAGCCCGTAAGGTGTAGCCTGAGCGGGGGCGGCAAAGGCACCGCATTGTTGCGTAACAAAACCGGCGTCCAGAGCGCCCGCTTCTTTGATATTCAAAATCGGGTTCTTCGGCGGCGCATCTTTAACTTGCGTGTTCCATACGTGCCCAGGGTGCAGGTTATTTGTGTGCGGCACTCAATAGGTGCGATGTCGTCCAAAATGGTCAATCGATACAATGTGCCCATGTGAAGAACGTAGAGAGAGTCCCGCTACCACATAGAGCGTATGAACTTGTCGACGGTTGGGGGTCACAAGCACCGGGGCTATCTACACATACATTAGATTGTCCCCACTCAAGTGAAAATCCAAGTCCTCACTTGGAGAATTTTGTGAATCCGTACGGAGACATTCTAACTTACTCCTGTTACGCCGTTACAGCGCAAGCACCGGCACGCAATAGGACTACCGAGGCTGCGCAGCTGCTCGCGCTGGAGGCTATGATGTAGAAGAGCGAGACTGTCATGACGCGCGACTGGAGCGTCAACACCCGAGACACCCTTTGTCAGCGAGGCGGACCTGTAGCACCGCCTGTAGCACCACCATCATATCGCGGGGAGACACCTCAACCGGAATCAGCGGAGAGCCCTTGGCCTTCCGTACGCATCGGCATAACTTACGAACAATACACGAATCTCGCTGAAACTCGATATCCAGGCTGCCTGGCTGCCAGTGGCCCTGGGATATGGTTGCGGTTCAACTGACCGACTCGCTCCCATTGACATCCGCCCAGTCAACCTGCTGTACTTCATATCGTAGCAGCGCTGAGCCGTATGTTTCGGCGGGTTTCTCGGGCAGGCTGATGATGCGCTGCTCGCACCGAGGTGTGGCTTGGGCTAGATGAGCCAGATGACAGACCCTGCACAGAGCTGTAAACACGGAGAATGCGCCGATTTCATTCAGCTGTGCAAGGGCCTCGACAATGAATCTGACCGCCGGACCGTGTTGAAGAACCCACATAGATCATGAGACATGTGAACATGCCGCCTCTGTACAGCACAGGTACTTTCCGACTTCTTGCACTCCTCCGATTGCACAGGGGTTACACGCTCAAGCTCGGGTCCGACTTACTGAGTACTTCGTGATTCATTCGCTCATGTCGGCACCTCCGCTGTAGTGTCGCACTCGGTGTTCAAAGGCCGCGCACTACGTCAGCGCTTGGGCCTGTCGGTCCCGTCTGGTCTTTCCTCAGCATAATGACGAGCAACGCCTGCCCACGCGTCAATCCCACCATCTGCTATGTGATAGAGATCAGCCCATCAAGGCGGTCGGACAAGTACTCTACACTTACTGGAGGACCAAGACCGAGGAAAGCGGATAAGACAATATGGTCGTCAAACATTATGATGAGTTCTCTCCCGCATCGTGATGCTGAGTCTAACCGGCAATATTGTCTTGACACAATGGGAGCGGCATTCTGAGCGAGAGCAGTTCCCGGAGCACCAAATGACAGGACGCACCTAAGCCAGTTTTACTGAAGAATGTGAGTATTGAGATTTATCAGAGTTAGATGTGTCGATGCATGGCCATCATTTTCGAGTAGCTGGTCGGCCATCACTGGGGTCACAAGAAGTGTGTGAGCACGCAAACTCTTTCGTCAACGAATGCGACGGTCGTTGGAGGATCGCAGCCAGACGCCGTTGTACACCTATAGCGTACTTAGTAGAGACAGCTTACATACCTGACACAATATGATGACTTAATAAGGCTTTATGGGTGCGTAACTATGGCTACCTGGCGCAATGGTAGCGCGTTTGGCTTCGATTGCCTCGCGTACTCTCGGGTCATGGGAACCAAAAGGTTGCAAGTTCGAGTCTTGCGGTGGTCGTAATTTTTTGCGCTTCTTCCTGGGTGTCTACCTGTGTTATAGATCGCATTTGAGGTGGAAACGCAAGTAGCACGGAGGACAGGCGTAGTATAGAGTCGAAGGTCGGCGTAGCTGTCACAGCGGATCCCGTATTCGGCCCATTTGGCGCCGATAGCTTTCCGGATCGGACGTGGCATGTTCAACCTAACGCCACGACGCTGCCCATCTCTTGTGCTTCCATCATCAGGGTCCTTTTCGCAAAGCCAGTGACCGCCTTTTCTCCGCCCGGACTCAGAGTTGTACATATTTCTATGGACCGGGATTTTCATAGAGCAAAAAAGTGACCAGCGGCACAAACGGTTGCCATCCTGTGCGATTGCTATCCAAGTGAGTCACGCAGCCACGGTGTGGGATCTGTTCTGACAAAATATGTTGGGCCTTAGCTCCCCATGCCTTTGCCAACTGACATGGATACATCATTGAAGATCATCAGCAAAGAGTTCGGCTTCAAAATATCTGACAAGCGGAAACCCACCAACGTTCGTTTCTCCGTGTCTGAGACGTTGAAAGCAGCAGCTCGCCTGGGTAGGCGACCATATCGACCCCACCTTGCCCCTGTGTCACTCAATCAACAGGCCGCTACCCTCCCACCCGAGCTTCTCGACCACATCCTCGATTACCTACATGATGATAACGAAGCCCTCCGCAATTGCTCCCTCGTTTGCCACGCGCTCGTCCCGTCCGCTCGTTACCACCTGTTCCAGAAAGTCAAAATCACCCAAGAGAACTTTGTCCGTGCAACCACCATCTTTGCAGGAGACTCGCCTCACCTCACCCAGTATGTTCGTGATCTGACGCTTGAACTGCCCATGGGTTCCTTGAATTCCACCCTCGGTCGCTTGCGAAGTCTCCTCGCCAATGAAGAAGCCCCAGTCCTTCTACGTGTCTTCATGCTCGTCCTCTCCCCTCGAATGCCGAACGTTCTCCGTCTCACGCTCAAGGACGTGCCGGTCGACCAAAGCGTAGTCGCAATGCTCGCACCCAATTTTCCTCAACTGCATACACTCTCACTCTTCGACTGCTGGTTCTCCTGTAACGCGGACTTCTACGCCATCTTGCGTGACCATCCCGCCGTCCGCCACCTTCGTTGCGGCAGATTGTCCTCCCTCTTTGGCAGCGAAGCCTTGTCGCAGGAAGATGTTGTGCCCCCGCGGTCACTACAAACGCTGAAGATCACGGAGGCATACTCAACCTCGCCACTGACCCTCATACCTTGGCTGGTGACGCACAGTAACCCAGAGCACTATACCTACACGCTCTATCGTCTGGGACAAGTCACGAAGCTCAATCAGTGTCTCGTCCAGCTCTCTTGCTTGAAGCACCTGCACGTCATCTTCTACAGGTGGCGCACAGAAGGTCCGTGTCTCTTCCTTCCTCCCTAACCATTGACACTCAACTCGTTTCTACCAGACGTAGAGGAAGTGGCGGTCACCCCGGCCGTGCTCACCCTTATACCCCGCCACCCTCCCACGATCACTACGCTGACCGTAGATACGAAGATACATTCAGTGCTTCTTGCCGTTAGCCTTCTCGGCCATCTCGATCCGCACGCCTTTGCGCACCTCCGGACTTTGAACATCCTTATGCACCTACATGAGGAGTTCGTGAAGGAGGTACCTCTGGAGTCATGGGCCGCTATGGACCAAACGCTGAGCGTACTGCTGTCGCTTGGAGCTATCAACGTCTGCAACGTATGCAGCGACATGACCCATCTTGAGGCTGGCAAGGATGCCGTCGAAGCGCGTTTGCCGGTACTCAGCGTGCGCGGGTTGCTGAGATTCGACCAAAAGTGGCAGCCGCTGCAGCTGAAGTTTTGAACGTGAGTAGGATGCTGATGACGCATGCAAATCCTGTCCTTTCTTGTCGCCGTCTTCTTGCCAGTGTGTATACATATTGAGTCTTCATTCAATCGTTACTATCGCTCCTTATCCTGCTTTTGCATTCGAGTGACAGCGCGTTCGCGCACGAACACTGGCTCTAAAGTCGACGATTGACAGTGGTATGTGCTTGCCTTCTTGGAATGAGTCCCCGACATACGCGCTGACGGTCCCATTCGAAGCTTATCCATGAAGTCCTTCCTGAACAAATGTGCGAAGGTCCACCGACAGGAATTTGATTGATTAGCATTCGCTGTCTTTATATACAATGAACCCAGACGTGCAAGACAGTGATCGAGGGTGAGGGAATTGTTCCATGCCAGGCAAATGCGAGCGGCAAGACCTGAAAAGACCGGATATTGGACGACCTGTTGCTGCTCATCGACACGATCGCCAAGGAGTCATCCGGTCGCATTCTTGCAGCTTGTCTCTATGTCATAGGCATCTATACACAAGCACTAAACTTCCTACGTCCAGAGCGGTTTGTGGTACGTCCTTTTCGTTCCGTGCGAACCGCTCATGCACTGGTCACCCTCAACTCTGATCTCGCAAGGTCGTCCCAGGCGGAAGGTCGCGGTCCGGCACCGGCGGTGGGTGGTTCCCTTGCATCGACACGGTCTCCAGTGGTGCCTTCTCACCGTCAAGCGCTCGTTGATGACTCGACTTGGTGAGTGTTGGAACACAATATACTGGCGTAATCGAGAACAGGAAGGCAATCGGAGGATGGAAATCTCACGTGGATCGCTTCTCGCATTGCTGCTTACTGTGCGCTCGCATGGGTAACCGAGGTGGTCGTGAGTCAACTCTCGGCGTCTGAGGGAGGTATTTAGATCGTAGGAACAACATCCATACGTGCTTCCACCTTCACCTCTGTTGTTCACACAACAATCCACGAGCTCTTCACTTTCGAAGCGTTATGGGAACACCTCGATTCATCGATCTCACGCACCATCTTGCTCCAGAAACCCTCGCACGTAGGGTCAACCCATTGAAGGACCTCATTCGAGTCGCACAGCAAAATCCTCATCTCGTATCCCTCGCAAACGGTCAGTAACTAGCCTCTGGGACATCATCCACAGATTGAATGTCATCGTTTGTACAGGCGACCCTCATTTCAGCCTGTACCCAGTGCGGCGGATCAATATCGAGATTGCCTCGGTGTCATCGTCAGACGATCCGGTATCTACATGGCGCACCCTCGGTCCATCTGCGCCGACACAAACCCTCGCATCAGTCATAGACGAAGACTCCGGCCCTCTCCTTCGAGCGTCCCTGGCGTACGGTCACGGTGCCGGCCTCCAGCAAGCCTTGGACGCCATCACCGAGATCAACAAGGTCTATCATGTGGCCCCAGCCCACGTCGCAACGATGACACTGGGCAATGCCGACGCCATCACGAAGGTATTCCGCATGCTAGGAGCACCAGGGGACTACTTTCTCGCAGACGAGTTCACGTTCGGTCCAATGCCGCTTGCGGCAGATGCGCATGGGATAAAGTGGGTCCCCGTGAGGATCGACTCAGGCGGCATCATCCCTGAGGAACTGGAGCGGATCTTGTCCGAATGGGACATAAAACGCGGCAGACGGCCGCACGTCCTGTACTCGACACCGTCAGTATACAACAGTTGCTTGCTGTCATGTGGTTGGCGTCCTCCTTAGTCTTCTTTTGCGTAGATGCGGACAAAACCCAACGGGCTCTACGCTCAATGCAGAGCGTCGCAAGCGTATATACGAACTGGCGCAGAACTTCGACTTCATTATCATAGAAGACGGCAAGTCCCTTCATCTCTTGCCTCTTGGCGCCTTTGATTGATCGGACACTCGTATGGTAGACCCATACTACTTCCTGCAGTACGATGCACCCAACACCCAGTCTTCCGTTTCTGAGTCCACCAAGGCGTTCCCCACCTCGTTCCTCTCCCTTGATGTGGACGGCCGTGTGATCCGCATCGACAGGTACTCAATCTTCTCAATATACAATGTTCATGGTCTAACTCCTCGCAGTTTCTCCAAGGTCCTCGCGCCGGGCCTCCGCCTAGGCTACATCACTACTGCTCCGCAACTGGTCCCCCACCTCATCAACCTCATCGACTTCTCGACCCAAAACCCTTCCGGCTTCCCGCAGGTCCTCATCGCGCAGCTCTTCGGCCCTACCGGCTGGCAGCTCTCCGGCTTCGACAAGTGGGTCCGCAGCCTCCGTCTCGACTACCAGCGGCGCCGCGACCACTTTCTCGCTCTGTTCGAGCGGGACGTCCAGAGCACCGGCTTCGCGACAGCGGACGTGCCGGAGGCCGGCATGTTCTTCTGGGTGCGGGTCCTCGTCGAGCGGCACCCGCGGTTCCAGAAGATAGACCCTGAGCCCCTCCCCCAAAGCGATGCGTTGGGCAGGCCGAAGGCCGTCGCGCGCACAAATGCCAAGGCGTTGATGGACGAGCTCTTCGACGCATGCGTCGCAGGCGGCGTTTTGGTCTGTCCAGCGAGCATCTTCGTGCTGCCCACCGACGGGACGTTTGACAGCGAGTCTATCGACGACGTGAGTGCCCTTACCCGACCAGCTTGGTCCTCTTATACATGTCTGACCAACGGTTCTACATGCCAGCGGTCGAACTTCCTCCGCCTCACGTTCGCCGGGTCGGAGGAGACGATGTCGGCAGGGATCCCAATCTTCGGCAAGGTTCTCAAGCAGTTCTTCGCCTGAGATCTCGCCAAATCCCTGTAGCAAGTGTCGTCGCTGCTAATACTCGCATGGGAAGGCACCGCAATAGCCAGAGCTGTCAAGTAATGCTTATATTTCACTACCAATATCTGTGCGCCTGTGCATGGACAGCGGGTACGGTACAGGTATCTGTGTCTAAGACCAACAGCGAATGCGGCACTAGCACACAACTACAAACAGGGGACAGTGCACAACAGCTAGAACTATGGCCCTGTAGTAGGGACCGATACAAAGCGAATGGATACACTTGAAGGAGCCGCTTCAGCCCTCAGCCTAAAAGTTAAAGATCTACGTCCAAGAAAAGACCGTGGCGGGTCACAAAGGCCCGGATATACGGCATGCGCGCCAACCTGCACCTAGTCGTAGCAGCGTCCCGAACCTGCTGTCCAGCGCCGCGCAGACGAGGAGCCTCGTGCGTCCTAGCGACGCCCGCCGACGCTCCTCACGACCTGCTTCCACACTCTCCCGATCGTCGACCTCCTCTTCAGCTCCTTCGCTCCTCCCCCGCCCTGCACCTCCGCAGGGGCCGTCGCCGCGCGCTCATGTCTCGCACCCACACCCGTCCCCCGAGACAGCGCGCCCTGCCCGTGGCCGTACGCCAGATCCACGATGGACGACCCGCGCGTCCCGGGGGAGCCCACAGAGGCAGAGTACCCGCTATACCCGCTCGCGTACGACCCGTACGACGCCTGCGACACGATGGACCCGATCGAGCCCGCGGACGCGACGGAGCTGACGTCGACCGCGACCGCGCGCTCTTTTCCCTTCGCCTTCCCCCTCCCCTTCGCGCTGCCGTTGCCCACATAGTCGTAGTACGCCTCCTCGGGCACGGGCACGTCGTTGAGCTGGATCTGGACCCCGCTCGCGCCGCCGGGGAGGAAGCCGAGCTCGTCCGAGGCAACAACGGGCGGGTCGGCGAACGACACGGACGACGCGGACGTCGCAGAGCTCATCGTGAGCGGGGGCGTCACGCAGTCCCGCTCGGCGACCGAGACGCGGCTCGAGGACGCGGACGCGGACGCGAGCGAGGCAGCGCGCGAGGGGAGGCGCGACGACGACGCCGACGCCGAGGGGGACGTCGCGGGCCTCTGCTGCGCCCTCCCGTACGTGCCGGACGCCACACTCGAGCGCGGAGAGGACGCGCGCGTATGCGCGGGCGCGGGCGCGCTCAGCGCGTCGAGCGAGCGCGCGCCCCGCTCCGACGTCGAGATCGTCGACCGGCGGCGCGCCTCGCGCGCGGAGACGGGCAGGACGACGCCCTGCGCCTTGAGCCCGAGGCGCGAGAACCGCGGCGGGGCGGCCTGCGTGAGCCAGTTCTCTTCGGGGTTGCGCGACGTCGAGGGCGGGGCGCGCACCGCGGTGGGGGGCGAGCCTGCGCGCGCGCGCAGGTCCGCGTGGCCGTGGATCGTGCTCCTGCGCGAGGCGGTTGAGCGGGCAGACGGAGTGGGGGAGGTTGGGCGCGAGGACGGTGGGCTCGCCGGGGGAGGATTCGTGCGAGGCAGAGTATGCGAGCGCGATGAGGACGGGGACGGCGCGGCGGCGTGGTGAGAGGGCCCGGATGCGCGTGCCGGCATGGTTGTCGTGTTCTGCGCCCACGTAGGCATAGGCGGCACAGGCGGGGCGTCGTGCGCGCTCGCCGACTTTGCACGCGTCCGTGGCCGCGAGACTCCCGCAAAAGCGGCAGGTCGCCGCTCATCGACGGTGCTCGAGCTATTGGAGGCGGAGGGGAAGCTGAGCTTGGAGAAGACAGCACTCAGGGTGCGCCGCCGGCGCTGCTTCTGCGCCCTGACGTCCTCCCCGCCCCCAGGCGCAGCAATCGCCTCGGGGGCCGCGTCGACGAGCTCTGCAAGAGGCGAGAGGTGCCGCCCTCCTCCGCCCGGGGTCGGCGGCGCACTTGCCGCGCCGACCTTGAGGGTGCCGTCGTGTGCGAGCGCGATGGACGGGCCAGCGAGCGGAGACGAGCGGAGCGGGCGCGAGGAGGTCAGGGGGGACAGGGTGCTGTGCCTGCGCACGGCTAGCGGCGGGCGGTCCGGGATCGAGAGCCTGTGCTCCGCGGAAGGCGGGCGGGCGGGCGACCGAGTGGGGGAAGGGGCGGCGAGCATTGGGCTAGGGCTTGCGGAAGCCTGGGAAGCGCAGGTTAGAGTCAATACGCGAAGGATAGGACGTCAATATCGTTACACCGTGCAGGTGCGAGGCAGGTGCATTGTGGGGAGAGAAAAAAGGTGGAAGGCGGGTGCGGGGGATCGCAGGCAGCGTTATGACAGGGATCCCGGCGAGATGAAACGTCGTGGGTTCTAAACGTTCTCATGTGCGATGCCCTGACAGTCTAGATTGTTGGAACGACCATGATGCACGACCAAGTTGCATGATGGCTTGCAGCGTCTGTCGGGAAGCACAGCGCCGCTTCTCACCTGGTCGCTGTCCGCTACACGACTGCCGTTCAAGCACTATTGTCAGAGCAGACCAGGAGCGCAGACCTGCCCCAACCTGTGGGCTTCGCATGCTGCTCCACAATCCGTTCTGCCTCGCAGTGCATGCCGCGATGGTCGCCGTCCCGAGAGGTTCGAGGAACTGGACCGATCAAGATGAAATCAAGATGATAGCCGGACATGACACTGCCGCCCGAAGGAACGACGGCGCGAACGAGCGTGCACCCCGAAGTGGCGGCGTATGCGCACAGAAAGTGGGTACAGAAGCGGTGCTGGCGGCTCGGAGATACGACGGGCAAAGGTTTGCTTCGTCTCCACATGAGCGAAACGCGGAGACACCTGGCAACGAACCCGACGAGGGGTGCGCATAGATGCGCCCGGGGTGAAGCCCCCCGCGAGCCCGATATTTACTTATGTGCGACGATAAGCCTCGGGCTGCAGCAGGGGCCATGGAGGGTATTGCGCTTACAGTCCGCTCGGAAACGCGTCCGGATAGGCATGATTGCGCCATGCTGGACCGAACACGTTGAACGAGCGTGCTGCAGACGATAGAGTCGGTCCTCCGAGACCATCGGGGGCTGGAGAGATGAGACATGGGCGTGTGCGTGTACGAACTTGGAGGGCGCATACATGGACCACACACCACGTTTGCACGCGAGGAAAAATGTCTGAGAAGGAGAGTGAGCACTCACATTGTCACCGGATGCAGATGGGAGGAAAGGAGACTGCATGGGCTGTCCAGGTGGTGAGCAAGGGGTCTACCGATGTTGCAGATAGTGTATGCGTCTAGGAGTGGGAAACGAGCGAGAGAAAGAGAGGCGGCTGTGGAAAACAGAGGGAGGAGAGAGCGATGTGGACGGAGCCGGTTTTGAAGGCGAGGCGGGGGGGGGGAAGGGGCCGCCGCACAAGCCGAACATGCCTGGGTTCGATGCCGCCTGGTCTTATAGAAGAGGAGGCGATAACGAGCATCAGCCATTGGTCGTGGAGGTTATCAAAGGCCGCCCGCAAGGCGAACCCATTGCCATCTGAATGAATCTGATGTACATCCAAGGCTGCCTGTGGCTGCTGCTCGTTCCGGACGTCCTCCGCGGTTCAACATTTCCCTCAGCGCGTCACTCCAGCGCCTGCCACCACATATGTCGTGATCTGTCAGACATGTCATATATGAAGAAAGCTGCCAACCAACCTAGCCTAGCTGCCAGCTTGTTCTCCAGGTACCACCGCGACGTATCTTACATAGACCTCCCCCGAGTCACTAGTCTCCTTCGGGCCCAAGCCATTCATCTCATGCAGCCGCGGCCACTGCTCGCTAGCTGACTCGCGGGGCTTCGATAAGGATTTGCAACTACCGCTCGGGGCGACTCCCCTTGGTACGGGGAAGACGAGGACTACTACTTCTGCACCCACCGCGTGCCGTCGCATCACTGCAGCTGACCGGGACCACAGACTGCGGTAATCCCCTCGTCTCGAGAAGCACCACCATCGACGCCGGACCTGCAGCGCTCACAAGGCTGGCAAAGAGAGCTTCGGCGGTTTTGCGACCTACAACGACATGTACCTGACCGCTCATGTTTCCGATCGCAAAGCCTCTGTTCGACACAAGGATAACCTTTCCCCGAGTTTGGTCATATGCGTCCGAGCACGGCGACACCGTTCCGTCTTCTATTCCGAGCTCCTCGTCAGTCCGCTGGCCTGGAGCACGGCAGCTCGAGCGCTCAAGACGCGATCCCTCTCCGAACGAGGCCGGATGGGGGATAGCACGCCTCTTGGAACGCATCAGACATCTTCGATATCCCGGCGGTGAAGCTTGCGCTAGCGGCACGTCAAACCGGGCGGTCCGATGCATAGGCGTATGCAATGTCTGGCATTGCAGGGATGGTCTGGCACGAGTCCGTCAGTTCTTCAATCCCCCTCTTCAAAAAGCTTACAACAGATGCGATGTGCCTGGGCCGTCCAAGAAGTCGACTGACGAGGACAGGAGGCGGTTCATATACAGTATCGCGCATTCCGCGCACATATAACAGCCACAAGCTTCCGTGACGCATGCAAACCGCGCCGGCTCGTGCGATAAGTGAGATCTAGAGATGTGGCGGTGTTTCCCTCCCGATTGGGATCATCCATGTTCGAGCGCGCTCCTCTCCTCCAATTCACTCTCGCCTTCGTGCGACTCTTACAGTCGTTTGCATATCGCTCTGCAGTCGTTCGCGCGCATCGAGCTAGACTGCGCATGTTTGCCACGCGCTAGGTCACTGGCGCCCTGGGGCGTCCACCCCGGAGGATGCATGTTGTCCCGAACACAAAGCATCGCTCACGCGCGAACGACTGCGGTTTGACATAGTGCAGACGACTGTAACAAGATTCGCTCCATCTCAGTTACACACCGCCCTGCTCTTCTCTACGTGCATCTACAGTGGAAGCTGCGGTGCGCACGCTGTCATCGGACGTATACGCTCTGTAGGCGATCGCATTCCCAGAAGCAAGTTCCCGATGATACTAACTGACATCCATCCCGCAGGGCGGCTCGTCGCACTACCCGAGTCTGCCGACCTTCTGCCCGGCTTGCGCAGCGATACTGCAAAGATTGGCCCTGTCCAAGGATAGGTAATGTTTGCCAGATCAGCAGTCTCCCAGCAGCGGGTGCGATTCTGCGACGCCCTGAACGACGCGGAACCTGTACGTGGGTTCGCGTCGATCATACGGCCTCTTTCACAGACATGGACGGCTCCTATTGACTTTTCACGTTCGAGTGTGCGTCCCTATAATTATTGACACTACGCTCGCAGTGGCTAGCCTCTGTCAATGCTCATCCAACCGCATGCCGGTGCAAGATCGTGCCAATCTCGGTCACCTATGTACGTGACGACCTCGACGGGGCAGCATATAACAAGGGTTGCAAACCCCGCCGTGGTCTCTATCTCGACGCACGTATGTCACAAGGAAGGGGCCAACTCAACTGAGATCTCACTCAGGTAGGGCATATCTTAGCACAGCCATCGTCGAAGTGTCGGTCGCAAGGGCGGTCGCTTCGCGAGCGGTATCCCATCCTTCACTTCCGGCACCGCCATTCTGGCTGTATGGAGGTATGGGACTCCCATATACTGCGGTCGAGGTTGCGTAGCGCGCTTCTCCCGGCCTGCGCAACGCCGCGCCAGCGTGGTCTTGCAGAATCTATCTCAAACAACAGATGGGATGATGCTCGTAGCCTTGGACGACAAACAGCTTCGTGATGCACGGTCGGCCATGCAGAGTACATGAGCAAGCCCCCTGCCAAGGAGACCTTCTGCAGAACCCCGCATCTCGACCGTCACAGTACTGGGTCACCTCCTGTACTCCTCAAGCATCACGGTCAAAGTCACTCAGTATGTCTAACTATTTGGAGGCGCAAGCCATCGTGACCGAGGCCAGGTATTTTTCCCAAACTCCTATCGTGTTTTGCATCCTGAAGTTTGAGCCTAGTGTTCTCCGCTTCAACACAAACTGCGAGCTCGCCGCTTTGAGTACGTTCCGGAGTCAAGCAACTCTCTAGCTGATACCCCAGGTTACTCGCCACTGGTGACTCACATGAATTCCTAGCGCTCTTCCTCTACGATTGTCTGGTGACCATCGACAGCGAGGTCACGCTGTTCTGGCTGCCAGGCCGGGTCAACGGCGCCGTATCTCTGTTCCTCGTGAACCGATACTTCACCCTCGTCGCGCAGATCCTAGGATTCGCCCCGCAACCTAAGAAATTCAATGTATGCCACATCCCGCCGTACCCGCTCGTACAACGCTGACAGTCCTGTTCTTAGAGGTACACATGATGCTCCGCTTGAAGAGGAAGCCACACGTTCTGACGCCTCCTCAGCCGCGTTGCCGCGAACATCGTTTACTATGTGACCAGCGCCATGCAATACCTCCCCTGGGCCGGTACGCAAATCATTGCAGCCTCTGGACAGTTTATTAACGTTCTCCATGCACAGCTTTCTCTGCGCTCAGGACGCATGCTCTGTGTCAAGGACGGTACCGAACATTTGTTGCAGCCGTCGTTTTCGCTCTCTCTGTGGTGCCCCTCGTCATGAACATGATCGTACGTGTTACGTGATGCCTCCTTCTATCAGCAGCTTTCTAACCGACCGTCTGTCCCAAGGCCAACCTGCATTTCATGCACTACGTTGAGGGTCCTGGACATGCGTTCATCTCCTTGACGACACTGACAAAGAGTCTGAGCACGAGGTATTCATTCAGTTCCCCACAATCTCCGCGGCTCCGCATCTAACCCCTCAACTGCAGACGTAGGTCCCCACCTCACTGGACCCGTGATTTCCCGCACGACTCCTGCCAACATCGCGATGTTCACAGTGACAGTGGCCACGCGGCTGTCTCTCGTCGCTGCTGACGTACTGGTGCTCTGTGTGACCTGGTCCCGAACGCAGGAGACCCTCAAAGTGCACCGGCGTTCGGAGGCAGGTGGCCAGAACAAACGAACCTTCGCGGGCACCCTTCTCCGAGACGGTTCGCAGTCCACTTCATCTCGTTTGACGTGGGGCTCACCAATTACTACGCGTCGCTGCCACAGGTACCATCTATTTCGCGTATGTACTCTACAGAGTCGGAACGTCCCCGGTTCCCCAAGTGAAGTGACTCACACGCAGACGACAGGACGCTGCTGATCCTGAACATCCTCCACATCGCCTTCACCGTTGGATCGGTAGGCATCCTTTGTGAACGATCGGCCTGTTTCTCACTTTGGTTAGGTTGCTCCTGCCGCGTTCACCGCGACGAGCGTCATACCCGACTTCGAGGAACCGTACGTAGCGTCCAGGTGCCTATCACCGCGACAGCGCCGTCAAAGGCTCACAGAGGTGCCCCTCTAGGCTGACAGCCATCCTCACCTCGAGGTTCCTCATCAACCTGCAGGAGGTCAAACAGAAGCTCTCCGGTTCATCTCGTTCGATGTCCACCAGCGATCTCGCGTTCCGATCGGATGCGCCCGGAGGCGTCCCTGGGTCCACCTTCGGGGCTCAGCTCGTGTTTCCAGGCGATGATGCCGAAGAGTCGGAGCATGAAGGTTGATGAGGGGCGTTGAGTAATTCGGCTCTTTGGCTCTTTGATTCCAGGGCCCCGGTGCTGCTGGGTTTCTTGTGCATTCGCTTTGTACGTAGAGTAACACTACTAGTTCCCTTCAAGGAAATCCTATCTATGGGCGATCGCCATGCGTTCAAGGAGTATCATACATACTGGTTGCCAAGCTGCAAGCGAAGAGTACATGCGTTGGTCGCAGAACGGGGAGGAATCGTGTTCAGGCAGGCTCCACATTGCGGAGTCCCGAGGTTATCCGATGGCACCTCTAGAGAACTGCCACCTTCGTCGTGTAGTCTCATACCCTGTCGAGGAGGACATGATTTCTCGAACCAGACGTTAATGCTGGCATTAGAAGGTGTTCGATATAATATCCAATACCCATCACAATAGAATGAATATAGCAAAGCAACCGGGGGTATCTCTCGCCGTCCCACGTCACCGGCCTAGCCACGCCCACCACCCCATTCTTCGCTTCCCACTCGCGCCCTCCCGCAACAACGGCGTCTCCTCCCCCACCTCCCCGACGAGGTCCACGCCATGCGTGCTTCTGACGTCCGCATGCACCGCATCCCCAACTGCAGCCTCGACGGCGGGAGTCCCCGCCGGGGCCTCGGCTTCCTGCGACGCGGGATAGGACGGGGGCGGAGTGAGCGGGCGACCGAAGTCATCGATGCCGAGCGTGTGCTGGCGCGCGCGGAAGATGATGCACATGACGAGGAGGATGCCCTGCATGACGCCCGCGACAGCATACGAGATCCACGCTGCGAATGGGGTGTCAGAGCAGTCGAACGGTCGAGCGCGCGACGAGGAGGGACGGGAAGGGAGAAGAGACAAAGTGAAGGGCATGAGTAACGAAGAACTCACTCGTCCAGTTCGTGCCCGGGCGGAGGGCGATGCTGAGCACCATGAGGATGGCGCCGGGGGTCTGGATGAACATCATCGGGATGCTGAGCGCCCCAACAAGCTTGAGACCCCACGTGTGCGCGATCTGGGGCGCGTACTGCAGGGCGGCGAGGAGCGCTGAGGATACTCCGAGGAAGGTCGCCCAGAGCTCGAGTTGGCGTGAGCGGTGAGTCTCATCTGGGGTGGGGTTCGTTGAGAGGAGGAGGAACGTGACGAAGGTGATGAGTGCGCTGGGTTGACGGACAATGGGGTCAACGGTCTGATAGGGAGGCATTAGACGGGTAGTGTCTCACATATGGATACAGACAGCCCATGTGAGTGTTATGGAGAGCTTCCAGCCTTCGCGCTTGACAGGGGTCTTGATGTGCTGTGGCGGGAGATCGTTGGGGAGGTCGACGTCTAGCTCGACATACTTGAGGTGCGGCGGGTAGTATATCATATAGAGCACCAGACTGCGTTTGATGAGATATCCGCTGTGACTATAATATTGTGCAACTCACATCAACACAAAGAGGATCCAGACAAGGACGAGTTGGAGAGCTCCGGCAATAGACTCGATGCAGCTGCCGAAAGGCTATGAAACGTAGTGAAGGAGTGAGACAAGCTGATCAAGGCAGAAGAGTACTCACAAGTTCACGACAGCACCTGACGAGACCCCATTGCATGACGAAACTGTTCCGCCGCTCGTCCGTCAAGCGGCCTCAAGGACAGTACGAGGAGGCTCACATGTTCAGCATGGCCGAAGCCGAAGATGTGCTGCCCAAGAGAAGAAACCATGGGCTGAAGCCTTCCGATGACTTGGCCGAGATGATACGCCAGTGCTGCCGGAACAAAATTCAGCAATTCGTTCATCCCAGAAGCCAGTGGCTCGCACACCTGCGGCAAGTAGGATATTGTGATGCCGATACACATGAACACCGTCAGCGCATTCGCCGTGGCATCATGATGCTGTATCAAGGTCGTAAGCAGCTGAAAGAAAGAACTGTAAGCGACATACTATCTCGCAAGTGCCGGACATGGCGGGAGGAGCAAGGGCGGGGCGCGATAGCCACACCCCGGCGCGAGCCCCCTTTGGGCGCGTAGACGCCCATTGACCGCGTTGCTTTTCCCGTCATCATCCTATCCGTCTGTGTCTCCCTTCGCCTGCTCTGTCTCTCCATTAATTGCTCTCGGACTCGGCGGACTGCAAACGAAGCTATCTGACGTCGACGCCGATACTGTCAAAGGCGCCTTCCTGACCTCCTGGACTCGCACATATCCCGGACGCCTTTCAGCACGCTATGGCCAGTCTCATTGCCATCCTCGACCTCAAGGGGAAACCTCTCATTCAGCGTTCCTACCGCGATGATGTACCGCCCTCCTATATTGAACGCTTCTTGCCAATAGTCCTTGATCTTGAAGAAGAGGGACAACAAGTGACACCATGTTTCACCAGGGAGGGTGTCAATTACATGCACATCCGCCATTCCAACCTCTATCGTGAGTGCGTTGACATCTCGTGCAGTTGTTCGAGGGTTGAGTGAATACTTGCAGTCCTCGCACTGTCAAAACGGAACACGAATGCCGCCGAGATCATCCTCTTCCTCCACCGTCTGGTCTCTGTCCTGGTCGAGTACTTCAAGGAGCTTGAAGAGGAGTCCATCCGGGACAACTTTGTCATCATCTACGAGCTCATGGATGAGATGATGGATTTCGGTTACCCCCAAACAACGGAGAGCAAGATTCTCCAAGAGTGCGTCTACTCCCTTATGCTGCTCACGCGCCGGTGTGAACACTGGTGTACAGATATATCACCCAGGAGTCGTACAAGCTCGAAGTACAAGTACGGCCACCAATCGCTGTCACGAATGCTGTGTCATGGCGATCCGAGGGTATACGCTACCGGAAGAATGAGGTCTTCCTGGATGTCATTGAGAGCGTCAACCTGCTGGTGAGTACCTGCTACTGCTGGTATCTGCGCCTTCCCCTCGTGCACAACCCCACCACTGAAGCAGTCCAGTTGTCATGGCCATTCGGCTCTCCCGGTCACTTTTCCGTTATGGGCGCGCAGGTTACGCTCACTGTGCTCACGCTATCCCCTCCGTAGGTGAACGCGAACGGCAACGTCGTTCGCTCCGAAATCCTCGGCGCTGTGAAAATGAAGTGCTACCTCTCAGGCATGCCTGAACTCCGCCTCGGCCTGAACGACAAGGTTATGTTTGAGAGCACGGGCCGCAACGCGCGGGGCAAGGCGATCGAGATGGAGGACGTCAAGTTCCACCAATGTGTGCGTCTCTCAAGATTCGAGAACGACCGCACCATCTCGTTCATCCCGCCCGACGGCGAGTTCGAGCTCATGTCGTACCGTCTCTCCACGCCGGTCAAGCCGCTGGTGTGGGTCGAGGCCGCAGTAGAGCACCACAAGGGGAGCAGGATCGAGTACATGGTGAAGGTCAAGGCGCAGTTCAAGCGGAGAAGTACGGCGAACAATGTGGAGATCTACGTACCTGTCCCAGATGATGCAGATACCCCCAAGTTCAGGGTACGTCTCCTTCCACTCTTTCGCTCCCCTCAGGAAAACTCATATACGCTCCTCTCGTCCAGGCATCAACGGGTAGCGTATCCTACGTACCAGACAAGTCCGCGTTCGTATGGAAAATCAAGCAACTGGGAGGTGGTCGCGAGTTCCTCATGCGCGCACATTTCGGTCTCCCTTCCGTACGCGGGGGTACGTGATAGTCATGCCGCACTGTCTTGCATCTCATCCTGGGCGCGCTGTCCGTTCTAGAACATGAATCGCTGGACAAGCGTGCCCCCATTACCGTCAAATTTGAGATCCCGTACTTCACCGTCTCCGGCATCCAGGTGCGATACCTGAAGATCGTCGAGAAAAGCGGCTACCAGGCTCTCCCGTGGGTTCGCTACATTACGCAGAACGGTGATGATTACAGGTACGCGACGCACCGCGACTTCCTTTGCGCTGCGTCTTTTGACTGAGAACTTTACCCTCGTAGTCTACGGACGGCTCTTGAGAAGGGTAGCGCGCAGATTGTTCAGAGTGTGTGAGTTCGGGGTGGCGCTCCTTGCGCGTTGTAGATGTGTATGTGTGTACGCACACGGTGTATTCTATAAATATGGCGCCCTGGGTGTTGTAGATGGCGCCAGCAGAAGTCACGCCAGCTTAGACTTTAATCTCAACATACGGGAATCCGACCATGCACGCTTCATCTACCAAACAGGGGAGGCTGACCGCCCACTGAGGGAACACCGTCGATAACATGCTATTGCAGCTCGCTCACTCTCATTTAACGATATATTCCGTGGACAAGCCGATTTTTCTTCGGCGTTTATCCCTTGATGTCACATTGTCACTGTCACGTCCTTACTGAACGCCTCCGGCTCTTGGCATGCGATGACCAAGTTTTCTCAGGTGCAAGACAAGGCTGAACACTTGTCTGTCGACGCAGAAATATCTCCCTCGAACTATATGTACCTTCCCCCCTTCAGGTAGCCTATGACGCTCTTCGAGTATAACAGGACCTATACATCCACGGAATTATGCAAAGCGCAGTACTCGGAGCACACGCTTCCAATACCACAGTGAGCCAAGGCGCTGTTTCACATCTCTAGGTTATGGAAGCCGTTAACCCTCCTCCCGAACCTAGACAATGGCCAACCAGACTAAGCATAAGACGAGACCAGCACCCCTTCCCGAAAGCGATCTAGCACTACTCTCCGGGCTGCCCCCCGCGCAACTACGAGCAGCCGCCTCCAAGCGAATCCTAGAATACCGTTTGATGATAGAGGATCTCACCGACTATATCAGGCAACTCTCCACCATCAAGAACAGCGCTGTGCCCATTCACGCGAGACTACCCCCTGAACCTCTCATTCATATGTTCCCGACAGGACGTGCCGACATCCAGCTTACGAATCCACGGGACACCCACACGGGCGCCTATTCTGAACCCCATCCACCATCTGCGTCTGCCCCGCCACCCTCCCAACCTCCTGTCCTCATGCCTCGCAGATCGCTGGTGAGAAGTGACCGCAGGGTTCCGTTCCATCATGGTAACGTTGATCACAGCCTCTTAGACTCGTACTCCAACAAGTTCGTCACAGCAATCACGTGCAACTGGAGTCCAGCCAGCACTGCAAACGTTCTGCAAGGCCGACGAGTATATACTTGACTTGCTGCGAGGCTTGAAGCCCATGCCAAAGGAGGATCGTCACAAGATGATCAAGTTTTGCCACCCCGAAGCCAATGACGGCAATATGCAACAATTTATCGAGCGTTACGACAAGAACAACGAGCAACAGCGACTGATGAGAGAATCGGGCGTCCGGGCAATCGGGGTGCGCATGACTTGAGTTTTCGGGCAAGTCTGCCACGTCCATAACTGACATCCACACGACTCTAGATGAAGCCGCTGCCAGGCGACTCGTCCCTGTTCACCGTTCGTATACCCAACTCCTGCTACCTGATTCGCATGTGGGACGGCGGCATGGACCGTTTCGCCCAGTACTGTCTCGACTTGTACGACAGCCATCGCCAAGTACCCGTCAACCTCCCAAAGGGATACTCGCTCTGGCCGGCGGCGGCGAACATCCCAGGCGCTTTCAATGTCGCGGGTCCGCTCGCTTCCTGGGAGACGGACATGGGCTTTGCTCCGGGGAGCTTTCCAGAGGGCGAAGAGAAGTGGAGCGTTCCGGAGGGCGTGTATATCACGGTGAAACGGGCTGACCGACCTGGTGAAGACTTCACGTTTGCGGTCCCCCGGAGGCAGCATGCGGACCTCGGTGCTATTGCACAGCCCGTCCGGGGGTACGCTCCGTGATGGTGTTTACCTACGCTCTGTGTTGTCCTGTATTCAATTGAGCTATTAAATGCACGTTTGGATATGTGTAAGCGCTGACTGAGGAGGTATTAGGACGCGGTGTGTGTGCTTCGCATTCGGGGTGGTCAGGGTGCAAAATGTTGCCTCCAGAATCGCGATTCTGTGTCGACTCCCTTTCGTCTCTTTTGTCTCCCCGTACAAAGCCTATATAAGACACATCTTGTGCAGATTCAAGTGACAGGGGGTTGACTGGTCAGATCCCGGTATGCGGAAATTCAAGTCCAAGTGGGTGGCTTCTTCTGGCGTCAAGTTGTCCGAGCCTAGACCATCGATAGCGCATCTGATCACTTACTCCCAGCTACTGATCATACTCGAAGTTAGCGCAAAAAACCTAGTCTCGTGACCAGACGTTCGGAGCTTGAATCGGATGCGAAAAACCGGGGGCATCCGAGCTCCTGAACGTCTGGTGGCTTTACCCCCGTGACTCCCCGCTCGGTGACCGGTGTGACCTCCCTGCCTCTTGTCCTTCGTGCGCGTCTGCCTGCTTATCTCCCCGCTATCTTCGAGTCGCGCTGAGCCTACTCCGCTCTTTGTCGACACTCCTCTAACTGGTACGTCTCTATGACATCTACAAGCCTTTGCTACACATCCTCCATACTCAATCTGTCTATCTCTCATATAGGCAGTACACAGTAGTCCGCTCCATGGGCGCTTACAGATCCTCGTGCACCCAGTCTAATCCCACCAACAGCGCCTCTGAGACATCCGCCTGCCACTGGTGTGGCACCTTCCCTCCCATGCGCTGTCGGAAGGTCTCTTCAAGCCTTTGCTGTGTGGCCTCCGAGTTGTATCCACGCGAGGCTTTGGCGGCTTCTCTGGCGGCTTCCAGGACGGCATATGAGCGGGCATGTTCTTCTTCGTGGGACAGTAGTCAGAGAGTAACGATAGCCATGTAGAGTATATTAGAGCAAGCCAGACATGATAATCCAGGAGATCATTGTGTCCAGTACAGGAGGTTTCGCAAGGTGTAACTACAACAGCAGGCCGCCACATCGCACACTGGAGTCGCCCTCCGACTTGTTCAGACTGCCTCAAATGGGATCGATATGTGACCACAGGTCACCGAGCGGGGAGTCACGGGGGTAAAGCCACCAGACGTTCAGGAGCTCGGATGCCCCCGGTTTTTCGCATCCGATTCAAGCTCCGAACGTCTGGTCACGAGACTACAAAAAACCCAGTGAACTCTCGCAACATCTCACATCTCTAGGTCGCAAACCGCTAGCCATACCCAGACAATGGACGACCAGACCGTTCATAGGGCGGGACCGTTTTCCCATGCCCGAAAGCGATCTAGCACTACTCTCCGGGCTGGCCCCCAACCAGCTCCAAGCAGCCGACTCCCGACACCTTCAGGAATACCGACCGATGAAAGAGGATTTTGCAGACTACGTTTGGCAACTCCGGAACAGCGCAGCGCCTATCCACACGAAACTACCTTCAGAAGTCCTCATCCATATCTTCTCCTTAGTGTCCCCGACGCAGCGCTCCCACATCAAGCTCGCGCATGTCTGTCGTACATGGCGGGACCTGATTTACAAGACCCCGGATTTTTGGGTCGATATGGTCGCTATTATCAAGAATCCTTCGCGGCCCAAGCACTTCAATGACATTCTCACCTTCCTCCAGCGTACCGCGTCCCTTCCGTACACCCTGTACTACATAGACAACACACTCCGTCTAAAGTTCCTCAGCACTCTTCAAGAAAATGGACGACTTAGCCATCTTTCTGAGCTATTCATTGTCTTGCCATGGAACGATCCTTCCGTTACTTTCGACTTCATCCAATTGGCTATGCCGGGACTACAAACCCTGCATTGCAACGCAGTTACCGTACAACCCTCCCGTTCAGACGCCCTCAATCCCCGAGATCACACCCCTCCAAGTGTTGCCAATTTTCCGCGCCTGCGCAGCTTACAATTACCCGAAGGTTTATTGCTCGTCCCGTCACTGGCGTTCCCGACCCTAAGGACCATTATTCACGACACAGACGCTCTCGACCTAAAGTTGGTCCTCATGGCTCTGCAGCTGTGTCCTCAATTGGAGGAATTGACTCTCACGAAGTGGATGTATCCCAGGGGTATCAACCTTCCCTTCGATGCACTCCTTCTTCCTTGTCCTCTACCTCGTCTGCGCCGATGCGTTATCGATGATCTCAGTGGTGGGACGACGCCGTCCTATACGGTGGAATTCCTCAGCAAAATTGCGGTGCCGCCCACTGCCCACCTGGAAGTGAGAGCCACAAGTATCAGCCTGCCCAGCCACATCATCCCCACAGCCCCACCTCTAGCGACCCTCGGCGCAGTAGACACACTGCACTTGAAGCTGCCCACAAACACGACCTTGTACAGCGAAATCCAGGGTCTCGCGGGGCATACCGAGCGCGTCAACTTGACCCTGTCTACCCCGACACCGGTGCGCAGAGCTGGTCGGGTCGTCACAGAATGCTCCGCTACTCTCTACGACACGGTGGATGTCTTCTCGTCTGCTGCTCATATCACCTCCCTCGTCCTCGAATGCTGGCCCGACTACACAGTGACGAAGAACGCCTGGCTGATCACGCTCGCCTCTCTTCCATTCCTGGTGTCGCTCGCCGTGCGCGTCCGCTCCTGCCAACGGTTACTCCGCGCACTGCGCCGCCCGGTCTGCTTCCACCTCAAACAGCTCGCCATCACGTGCACGAACGGTGGCGGCGTGCACGAGTTGTTGGCCATAGCGATCGAGTGGCGGGCTTCGTTGGGTGCGTCGCTAGAGAAGCTGGAGTACTACAACGAGATTTCGCAGCCACTGTCGGAGAGCCGCATGGAGAGGTTGAGGGCTCTCGTTTCAGACGTGCTCGTTCTTCCTGGACGGCTCGACTAACTTCTGGTGGCCAATGTTCAATAGGTGAGCAGACGTGCCAGGATCCGCCCTAAAGAATACGTGCTCACAATACCAAGGAGTCCCGGTCGAAGAACCTGTACTGTCGAACGACGAGCCTCTGTTCTTGGATCGAATGATGCTGCAATGACGATCGAATCTGGCGATGCGTTCTGCTTCCCTTCGATTGCAGCGCGGACGAAGACGTCCAAAAGAATATTTGACCACATCGTTGTGACCACTGGCACACAATCGAGGCTCGTGTTCATCTGTAGCCTCGAGTACCGACCGGAGACGAGGTACTTCCTCGTCTAGCTCGCGGTTTTACGTCACCATACCTCATGACATCCTGCATACGGAATTTGGATTGGAAGTGGACCACCTTTTGACTACAGTGCATTATAGTATCGTGCTTTGTGACAGCCGAGCCGGCTGAGAAGCATTGCATCCTGTCAGCAGTACTGCATAGTTGGAAGGGTATGAACTTTACCAGGCCGTTCAATGCTCTTGCCAGCCCAGCGCTCAAGCGGGTCCGGCAGTGGGCGTTAGTAATAGCTACAAATCCTGTCTTGACAACAACCGCAACATCAATTGATTATGTCTCCCTTCGGCGGCTAAGCTAGCATCCACACCCAGTCGCTTCCCACATCCAAGACTGCAATTCCACAGACAGTGTCAGATGGTGCACCACCTCGTTTGTAAAAGAGACACTGAAAGGTTACGGCCGGGCGCCCGGACTCGCGCGGATCCCGCAGACAAGTGCATCCGTGGTGTAACCTCGTGCTGCACGGAGACTGAATCCATCAGGTTCTTCCCCGCCATCACCGTAGGCTGCATATCAGTGTTCGTCCGCCTAAAGCGAGCAGGGTATAAAGTGAAAGCTTCGCGAACGCAATGCCTCCCCAAAGCATTCATCTTACACCCCCCCTTTGGCCAGGACTAAGATGCTGCTCACTCATTTCTGTTTCTTGGTCCTTGGTCTCGCTTCGTTCGCTGCCGCCGCCTCGCGCGCGCCGATGCCCGTGAAGCGCGTCGCCCACGAGACGCGTCGGTCCCTTCCTTCGGGATGGAACGTCGCTCGACGTGCCCAGCCCGACATGATCCTTCCCCTCAGCGTCGGCCTCGTACAGTCCAACCTGGAGAATCTTGAGGCTTACCTTCTGGACGTGGCACACCCAGAGTCCCCAAACTATAGCAAGCACTGGACCCCTGCCAAGGTAGCGAACGCGTTCCGCCCCTCCGCCGAGTCCGTCGCTACGGTCCGGGAGTGGCTCATCGAGGACGGGTCCATCGACGCGAGTCGGATCGTCCTCAGCAAAAGCGGAAGCTGGATCACAGCCAACGTGACCGTGTCCGAGGCGGAGCGTCTGTTAGGTACGGAGTACTTCGTGTACGAGCACTCCGAGGACGGAGGGGAACACGTCGCCTGCCACGGCGCGTACCATTTGCCCGAGACGGTTTCCAAGCACGTCGACCTCATCACCCCGACGCTGCACTTCGATGCCAAGGTTCGCAGGCATGGAAGCACAGACAAGCGGTCTGCCCCGAAGACCGGACTGGGTTTCAGCTCAGCCACCACACCAAAGATTGGTGGCGTGATTGAAGTAAGTGCTGCACAAGCTCCTGGTCAATGTTTCTGACGCCCGTTCGTCGCTCAGGACATCTTCACGGATCTCGCGCATTGCGACGAAACGATCACCCTCGCGTGTCTGCGTGCGCTGTATGACTTCGTCTACGATCCTGTAGCGGCAGATAAAAACTCGATTGGAGTCGGTGAGTAGTCTGCGAATCTGCAAGATTGGCGTATTAATCTGATATCGACGATCACAAAGTTGAGTATACCCCGCAAACCCACAACCCGTCCGACTTCGATGTCTTCTTCGGCAACTACTCCAAGGATCAGGTCGGCGAGCGTCCCACCTTAGTCAGCATTGACGGCGGATTCCTCGATCCTGAGGGTGACCCCGGCGAGTCCAGCCTTGATCTCCAATACGTACTCGGTCTCGTCGGCAGCAAGCAGGATGTGCTTTTATACCAAACCGGCGATGACGTCGAGAGCGGTTCATTCAACAACTTCCTCGATGGCATAGACGGTTCCTACTGCACATTCGAAGGTGGCGACGACCCCAGCCAAGATTCTGTTTATCCTGACACCCAACCCGGAGGCTACGATGGTCCCGAAGACTGCGGCAACAAACCCACCGCATACGTCATCTCGACGTCTTACAGCTACCAGGAGGCGGACCTCACGACCGCCTACATGCAACGTCAGTGCGCGGAGTACGGGAAGCTCAGTTTGACCGGGATCACGTTCGTTTACTCCTCCGGAGACTCCGGCGTGGCTGGGTTCGACGGCTCCTGCCTCACTGAGGATGGTCAGCAGGAACAAGGCGCATCCCGCTTCAACCCCACGTTCCCCGGAGGGTGCCCGTACGTGACCTCCGTCGGCGCGACTCAGGTCGTTCCAGGACACTCGGTCGAGGAACCCGAGAGCGCAGTGTTCCAGCGGTTCCCGTCCGGCGGCGGTTTCTCCAACGTCTTCCCGCGCCCTAGCTACCAGAAGGCTGCTGTTGGCGGATACTTGAAGACGTACCCTCCGCCCTACGCGGCCGGTGTCTTCAACACCACCGGCAGGGCGTACCCTGATGTTGCGGCCAACGGGCTCAACTACTCCGTCGTGCTCGACGGCGAGTTTAGGCTGGTCTCTGGAACATCCGCGTCTGCACCGACATTTGCGTCCATACTCTCCGCGATCAACGATGCTCGTCTCGCGGTCGGGAAGAAGCCCGTTGGTTGGGTCAATCCCGCTGTAAGTGCATCTCCTCATCGGCGCCTCGATCCATAACTGACACCATCGCGATAGCTCTACTCCCCTCTCATCTCTCTGGCGTTCAATGACATCACCAATGGTTCAAATCCTGGCTGCGGCACGAACGGCTTTGCTGCGCGTCCCGGCTGGGACCCCGTCAGTGGTCTAGGCACGCCGAACTTCCTCAAGCTCCTGCCCCAGTTCCTCCTCCTTCCTTGATCTACGCACTCCTTACGTGGACAATCGCATTCGTTACTCGAGTACTATACCGACTCACGGTGCTTTCGCACCCCGTACTGACCGGACTAACACGCTCGTTTGAATCGTTACGCCGGAGGCCTCGGACTGAACGCATCGAACGTCTTGATGATTTGGTTGATCTAGCTACTGAATTGATTCAGCCTTTCGGTCGCTGCTACCGCTCGCCAGGCTTTAGCGATCTGCGTAGGAAGGAGGTGCGAGCGACGTCAACGGGAATGATGGGCTGTTGTGACACTCTCAGACCTCAGGGCAGCTATTTGAACCCGGCAGCGGGCATGTCAGTGGTGGAATTCTTGCCACTATTCATCGCTCCATCTCGGGAGCAGCGTTTCTCGCAGGGGCAAGGGCGTGAATGAGAGCCCGGTCAAGTGCACGGAGCCACGCAGGAATCCGGAATCAGGCGTCTTGATCACGCAACCTTCGGTTTGCAAAGCTCTGCGATCGTCAGGAGGGAACGCCAGTTACGGCGGTCGGTCTCAATACTGCTACAGAAACAGGAGCCATAAGATAGTCATTAAACGTTTGCGCGGGGATATTCGCAACGACGACGCCAGTCTCAGTCCATGAACCCCGGGGAACCCATGTTTTGATTTTAAGCACTCTTGACACGCACGAACACATGCCGCCGCAGCCCGTCCTGGCCGACCTCCTCCCGCCTCTCCAAGCGGTATCGCCCGATCCTCGGGAGTACGTGCCCCCATACGATCCAGTACAGGAAGCCGATCCCGAACACGGACCAGCCCGCGACGGCATGGGTCCAGTACGGTAGGTGCTTGTACGGGCTGTCGCCGGCGGGCGGGCGGATGAAGGGCACGACGAAGAGGAAGACGTTCGCCGCGCCGAAGAAGGCGGCTGCCCCGACGGCGAAGGGCGACGGGCGGATCCAATCGGGGTATGGGCGGAAGTGGAGGACCACGATGCCGAAGGAGATGACGGCGTTGATGACGGAGAGGGGGTATGAGATCTGAAAAGTGTCAGAAGATCGGTATGGGCGGGAGCGGACCAGGGACACAGGGACGCGACGTACGGAGTTGATGACGAAGTTGTAGGTATCACCGGGAGGAAGAGCCCAGATGACGATGGTGCAGATGAACCAATCTGTGATGGCCCCGATAGATAAGTGGTGATGTGACGACATCGAGAATTGAGAAAGGTAACTCACGGAGACCAAGGCCTGCCAAGGGAGCGTTGAACGGGCGGTTGGTACCCCAGAATTTGCTGAATGGGAGGATGCCTTCACGGCCGAGCTCTTGATTCACGCGTCCTTGAGAGAAGATCTGCAAAGATAATGTCAATGCCGTAGAACTGGACGTCTACGAAGTCATCACTGACGACAGCGAGGACGTTGCCCAGAGCAGAGAGCGCGACAAAGACATCAAGAGCGCGCTCGGCGGAGGTGCCGTAGACATTGCGGAACAGCAGCGCGGCAACCAAGGTGCCGGAGTTGGTGATCTCCTCCTTCGTCGCAGCAGCTGGCAAAACATCGTAAGCGCGGCTCAGCACAACGATACACGGGGCTACTTACCGAAGTATGCGATGTTGGAGAGGATGTAGAGAACAGTGATGATACCAATAGCGAGGGTACCTGCGATGCGAACGGTACGCTGGGGGTTCTTCACTTCCGAAAGCGCGTAGTTGACGTTACTGAAGCCGATGTATGACCAGATGACCTACATCCCAGGGATGAAGCCTAACTTCAGCTTGACGTCCCACGGGTCACTTGAAGCACCACTCACGTTGTACAAACTCAAGCAGAAAGCCGGAGCGTTAGCGGTCGTGCCATCGAACGCATGCGAGAAGTTATGCGGCTTCGGTACTTTCAAGTGTCCTCCAAGGGCAACGAACCCGGTGATGATGACGATGATTACAATGATGACCTTGATTACCCCGAGGATATTCATCAGGCGCAGACCCCACTGCAGCCGCGTGCCATGCAGGATAAAGCAGAAGGTGAGGCCCGCCCAGCCGATCAGGCGCGGCTTCCAGTCGTGCTTCCCAGGGTCGGTGACGTTACCCGCAGTGAGCAGGTAATCGCCGAATACAACGGAATTGCCGGATGCCCAGCCGAGTAGTACACCATTCGCCGCGTACAGCGCGGTGATGAGGTACTTGGGACGGCGGACGAGATATTCGAGGTAGTTCTTCTCTCCACCGTTACGGGGTATCGCCTGAATAGGTGTCAGCCACGTTATCCGTGCGGCCTCCTGAACTAGACAAACGACTTACTGTGCCCCAGACGATATATACCCACATTCCCGCGGCGGCAATGACGGAGCCAATGACCCACATGAAACTGTAGACAGGTCAGGACGGAAAGCGAATATGGCGATCGAATACTGCTCACAGCGCAAGCCCAACGCTACCGCTCAGGCCAAGGATGGTACTTGGTGTCGCAAATATACTGAAAATCGACCAAGAGATTAGAGATAGGTCATCTTGCGCACAGTCACCAAGTCGCACCCAGTCCCGATTATTCGGTTGAAGATGATGAAGATGGCCGAAACGAGGCCAATTTGCTTTCTCCCTGGCACATTAGCAGCGTCGGCCTCATCGAATCGTCTCTGTGCCTCAATGGCCCGCTCGTCACTTGCATGAACCACGCTGTAAGTTTTCTCGTTAGCGTCATCCTAGAGGACGGCAAGCGGATACTGAGAGAACGCACGTGGAGAAGTCCTCGGACGAGCCATATGGTGACTGCTTCTTTTCCGTCGACATGATTCTAGCCAGACTTCCACGGACGAAGAGAGGCAGACAATAAAGAGTGCGAGGAAGGAAGAAGGATCGGCGAACGGGAGTGCAAGAGGACTGCCGAGGGTATTATATCATCGAAGGATCGCGGGTTTTCCATTGAGCAACCGGCAACATAAATCGCGTTCAGGAAGCGATGCATAACGTTATGCACGCAGCACGCTGCTCGATGAGACCGCGGCTGGTCCGGGAGGCGTCGCTGGAGCTCGAACGAAAATTACGAATATGGAGCTTACGATGGCGCAACGGCGTTAGCGAAAACTGTTTCAGGCACAGCATTTCCGCCCCGGCCTGAACGAATTCACCGAGCGACAGACAGGGAGAGCTGGGGCGGGCTGCTCACTGTAGATGTAACCGATGACAGCGTAACTTAATGGCAAGAGATGAGCATTGCGCAAGATGCGAGGTCTATGAGCATCCTGTTCCTGATCCACTAGCCTTTGAGGCGCGGGAAACACCTCCACAGCCTTCGGAGCATTCCGCATCCATTAGGCGCACATACCGCGCTCAGGGGCAACCCGAGCTTGCTTCCACGCCGGCTCTGCTAAGCGGTGCCATGGAAGAAATGTGCCCACCAGTCAGACCTCATGTGGCACGGGAATACCACGCCCGAATATCTTAACAACCGCCATAGGGCAAGGGCACACTGACAAGTCGAGGCCCCGGTCAGAGTCGACTGCACCCACATCGCAATAGGTGGATTGACGTAATCTTCTGTGCCCGATGGGGTCTAGCAGAGGAAGGGAGATCAAGCACGGTCGCCGTCGCCAGAAAGTTCGCGTGTCGTTCGGTAGAGGGCCTATCTCGATCGGGCGTCTATAATGCGTCATTGTTTGTGCCGACTGCGTTCCCAATATTCAAGTTCTTCCTCGCGCAACCCATGCGGTGCCTGTACATCCATGTATTTGGATCTCGCACGTCCTCAATCAGAAAGAGCCGGCAAGTCGCATGAGGTATGTGTATGTGCTGGCACACTGACCAAGATGCGCAACGCGAGGAGAACCATAATATCAAAAACGGTGCACCAGACGAGCGGGGAACTTCACAAACGCGATGCATCACACGAATCTCGGAAACCCATGCAGAGGCGAGCATTTCATACAGTCAGCCCCGCCTTCATCGATCCACATCCTGTCCCAGTGAGTCTTCAGTGCACGAACAGTGCTGCAAAAACACACGCATCCCAACTTTCTCTCAGATCCATCCTCTGAGATGGCACACCAGCGCGTTACCGCGGCAGTGGTCAGGGAACTGAGGTGCGTTGCTACACTCATCGTCGTGAATAACAACAATCGCGAGTCCGCCTTCCAACGGCCTGCCTGGACGGCTCACTAAAACCGGGGACCCTATGATGGTCTATACTTTCCGAGAACAAACACACTGCTTTCCTGGAGGTTGCCTAGAGAGCTCGAGGGCATGGTGATTATGCTGCTGCGCTTGTTGAGCCCGCGGCACGCTGCTAAGCACACGAGCGCGCTAGCATCAGCATCGTCTCCGTACCTCACAACAGAGACCGCGCAATTTCACCTCTTCTTTCGCTTCTCGCTTCTCCTCCTCTCGGGCTCCTTCTGTTTCGAGCTTGAGCCTGCGCCGTTCACACCGCCCTTGTTCTTGTCTGCGCCTCACGCGCCTTATCCTGCTTCATGCGCTTGACGCGCGGGTCGCGCGCGAGCGCGTGTCATTCTTCTTCTTCTTCTTCTCCGTGTACCGTTTGTCGTTCCGGTTGCAGCGGAAGGCTCAGTATGCCTCCCATGCAGAATGAGGAACGGGACAGACGCACTTGTCGCTGCCCTCGCTCACCTCCGTATGCATATACTCGAAGCTCATCCAGCTGACGAAGTTGTACCAAAAGTCGTAAAGCGCCTCAATGGTCTCTTTCGGGCCATCATACGAGCGCAGCACCGGCACTGGCCGCTTATTGCTGAACCGCGACTCGCGCTCGAACACGGGCCCGAACGCCTCGGGGTAGTTCTCTCAGACAGTACCCTGTCCATGGTGCGACCGGCTTACTAGCCCATGGTATTTTAATGGCTGTAAGGTCATCAATTGCCTTACGAGGACGTCCGGACACACGCGATATTTTGGCAAGCCGGATATATCGGAGCTGTGCTGCCTGAGTTGAGATGATATCTTCCAAGAATATAGAGATAAACCTGCCGCAGTGCAGGAACAAAACTATTCTTGCATCCATCCGCATGCCTAGTAATGAGCAGCTTCCTCGTTTCGACGGAGAAACCGTGCAAGGCGGGAGGGTTAATCGAGGCATACCAATGTCCTCCGACGCCATAGTTAGCTTGTGCACGCCCGCTTACAAACGCTGAGGGACCCTTGAGTGTCGAAAGGAACCTTTTTGGCCCCCGGCTTTCAACATACCTGGAAAAGATGGTAGCTGGCGCACATAGTAAGGCAGTTGCTATCTCAGATCACAAGTGAGCATAGCAAGCTCGGGACAATGATGATCGGTAGCCACGTTGGAGCCTGGCGTCCCTTACAAGTTTTCCAGCGGAGGTCTTGAAGCAATTCAGCTAGCTGGGGTCGCTGGTCGGAACATACTCAAGTCACCGAGGCCCACTTAAAACGATTCTACTCGCCGTGATGCTGAGGTGAGCCCTTCACATCCTCACTCATGCCATCTCCAGTCGCTTCGGAGTACACGACGACTATGGCTCCCGAGGTTGCGCCTGTCAAGCTCAATACCTTCGCGTTGGAGATAATTCAATACTTCTCTTCTGACGCCATACGGACTACGCCTCAGTATACTCTTTCGAGCCTATTATTTGGTGAGCGCTTTTGTCCTCTCATACCGACGTCTCATTGCTAACATATGATAGGTGCCTTGACGACAATGTTCGCGGCTTCCGTGTTTCTACTCATGTCAGTACTATCTGGTCGTTCCATCCTCCGACTGGCGTACGATGAACTGACAGGCCAACCCGGTTTTAGTCGACAGCGTTCGCTCAGCCAGCTATCAGCCCGCTACCTGCTCCTCAGCATCCTGATCTTGTTCGCATCAACTACAATGTACATGTCGACACTCATATGGAACTGGTCAATCATCGAGCGTCTCCTCTCAGAGGCAAACAGTGGCCTCTTCTCAGACACATACGATGCCCACGAGAGTTTGGCCGCATTCCAGAACGCCCTTCATAGACAGCCTACCACCGCATCATTTGCCCTTGGGGCTAACGTGGGTGCCTTCGTTGGCCCGGCCGAGACAAATATTAATCTTGTCCAACAGTTCATTGTTGGCGACGCAATCGTGTGGTGGCGAGCATGTGTCATATGGCGAAACAAACTAGTGTATTTCACTGCGCTATTGACACTGACATCGACTCTGGGTCCGTGTTCTGTTCACGCTCTCCCTGTCCGTGAGGCATATGAGCTAACGCCCTCCCGTAGCTACTGGCACTGCAGGGATTTTCTGGGCATCAAACGACAACCCAGTCAGGATTGTGTTCATGCATGGTGGCGACAGTCGAGTAACCACTGCTGCGGGGATACTATCTTTCATGAACAATGTAACTGCGACATCTTTGATTGCGTACAAGGCATGGTGAGGGCCCAGAATTCCTAGAATTTACTGTCTATACAACCTCGCTACTACCTCAGGTCACACAGAATATTCCTCAGAAGACATTTGGGTGCCGAAGGGGCCAAAACACGGCTCCTGAGAATTCTCGCCTTGTTCGTGGAGTCTGGGAGCCTCTATTGCGGCCTTCTAGTGAGCACCACGCTTGACATACATGACCTAACCCTCGTAGCTGAAGTACATACATATAGACATTGATCATAGCATACATGTTTGACCCAGCAGGATACATACCACCAGGGGATGCGTTCAACGCTGTGCCATACTATTCCGCAGGCGACTATTTCGTTTACGGATGCCTCGTACCGATTGTGGTAAACACTGGCAACTCTTACGGTCAACCTATAACGTGCTGATTGCCAAGCTACAGGCCCTTTACCCCATTACAATCATAGTAATTGTTGCATTGGAACGCTCGGCACTTGAATTGGGGTCGTCATTAGGCAATGCAAGGAGCTCACCTAACGCTAGGGGACCTGTTGCCATGAGCACTGTAGAGTTCGATCCGGAGTCTACGCTCAGCACTTCCGTGACAACGCAATGAGCTACAGCACACTCGATGAACACAACAGCCCATTGGGAGGCAGAGTCCATCCAAACGGGTGAACGATGAGCACAAGAAGACGAATGAGTTATTTTTATGCCCAGTTTGGAATGTACGTACTGTACCTAGTACGCTCTCTGATACGGTGTAGTATCGCATTGGATGCATTGTAAATCCGGATAATCAGCATATACGCAGGTGTAGCTACATGATCAAACGGAGAGGTTGTACTAACACTCTATAGACTCGGGGTGCATGAATGAGACTATTTGATGGATCCGAAGGACGTCGACGAGCTTTGATAGTCAGACAAGGGCCTATTTGTCCTGAGAAGAGCCAGAACGTAGTCGCACTCCCCAGGCATCTGTGTAAAGATGTTCAACGAAGCTGAAGCGAGATGATGCCCACCGTCACAGACTTCTCTTCAAAGAGCAATTTTCTGTCGCACGCCGATGCAATATGACAAAATACAGCGAAGAGCGATAAGCACCGGGTCATAGAGCGCAATTTCTATCGAAGAAGTCAGGAGCCAAGCTTAGTGCATGAGATTGAGCTCAGCTAGCGGAAGTCTCGTGGACCGGAGGCCTTGGAGTTGGTAGGCTCAGACCAGGGCGTCGACCCGTGCCATCGCTCAGGCCTGCAGGGCGGATGCCGCCCCGGCCCTCTCCAATGTGAGTGGACCGCTTGGAGGGCTGTGTGTGATCTCATTACTTGCTCTGTCGGCGACAAATCCATCAACGCCAGAGATAGGGAGACGAGTATGTTGGCGTGAACAGCTACATCTGGATAGGTCTAGCAACACAGGTTCGAGTCTAAGTAATGCAACAGAGGTATACGATATGGATGAATGACAGAGTCTGACTGACGACCGGATGCCAAAGAGCAACACATGGGACGTATGCATGGTGAGGACAATGCGCTCGGGGCGGATCGGGAGGATGAGTGGAGAGAGCTCGAGGGAACGATGTCTATGCTACTTCGCCCGTTTCCGCGGCACGCTGCTGTCGCCTCGCCTTCTTCGCCGCGTTGGCAGCCGCCGCCTTCGCCTTCTTCGCCTCGGCGCGCGCAATCTTGAAGCACACGAGCACGCCAGCATCAGCATCGTCCCCCAGCACGCTACCTCACAATAGCGATCACGTACTTTCTCCTCCTCTTCCTTCTTCTTCGCGTCCTCTTCCGCTTTCCGCTTCTCCTCTTCCTCCTTCTGCTTTGAGTTCGCGCCCGCACCGTTCACCCCACCCTTGTTCTTCTTCTTCGCCTCGCGTGCCTCTTTCTCCTCCTGCTTAATGCGCTTGATGCGCGGGTCGGACGCGAGCGCGGTGTCAACGATTCCGCGCAGTCGCGCCGTGTCCTCCTTTTTGCGGCGCGCGCGCTCGGACTTGTTCTTCTTCTCCGTGTACCGCTTGTCGTCGCGGCTGCAGCGCAAAGCTCAGTAAGCCTCCCACGCAAGACGAGAGAATAGGAAAGACGTACTTGTCGCTACCTTCGTTCACCTCCTTATCCAGGTACTCGAAGCTTCTCCAGCTATCAAAGTTGTACCAGAAGTCGTAGAACGCCTCGACGTTCTCCTTCGAGTCATTGTACGAGCCCAGCCCTGGCACTGGCTGCTTCTTGCTAAACCGCGCCTCGCGCTCGAACACGGGTCCGAATGCCTCAAAGAAGTACTTCTCGGGATTCTTCGCCTTCTGCACTTGGGACGCCGTCGGCACGTCGCCTTCGAGCATGTCGTAGTATGGGTCGACTGAGTCGAACTGGCGGCGGCGCTCCGGGTTCGTAAGCACCTCAAACGCCTTTTGAATGCACTTGAAGAACGCGTCGTCGTTCGAGTCGCCGACCTGGCCCGCTTTCTTGTCGGGGTGATGCTTGAGCACCTTTTTGCGGTCTGCGAAGCGACATGTGAGTAAACGTTATGTTACGGAGTCTACACCGTCGGCCTGTTCGCGTGCAAAGGATGGAACTCTGGTCCTCTGCCTCAGGTGTGTGTCGCGTGCTGGAAAATCCTCGTGCAAAACAACGAACTCTAACTCTATATGCTCACAGAAGCGCCCTCCTTCACATGAGCGAGGCCCGCGCTTCCTGGACGCGTATAGCATCGCTCCTCAGCAAGTACAGCCAAGATGTGGGGCGAGGCAGTAGAGATGTAACATGAATCAGATGAGCACTTACGAGCAATCTTAATTTGCTCCTCCGTCGCCCTGTATCGCAGGTGGGAGAGACCAAGAACGGCATAATGGTCTTGTTTCTGTTCCGGCACCTCCGTTAAGAGATACAGCTACCAGGCATCGACATAGACACGTACCTTCCACTCCTTGGCATCCAGGAGAAGCAAGTCCTCCGTCTCCTCCTCATCGCCAACCCCGAGATCGTCCTCCACAGATGCGCCCGCTCCGTTCAGAGCCTCTAGCCGCTTCCGCTCCTCCTCCGTATGCTTGTCATGTTCCTCAAAAGTGAGCTTGTGCACAGCCCTTCTTACGTGCGCAAGGTACGCCTCGCCGACCGGAAGCAGCTTGCGCTCAACCAAAGCTTCGTGTGTGCTTCAGTACGTCTGAGCTCCGCGCAGATCTGGATATACTCACGCGCGGTAGATTTTCCCGAGCCCTGGGGCGGTGTCCAGCCAGCGGGCAATGGTGGTGGGACGATAGGAAGCTGAACGACGCTCGCCATGGCGTTTTCGTATGTTTTGAGAGAGGAGAAAGAGGGAGTAGCAGAGAATCTATGATGATCTCGGATGCCCTGCCTCCAAGCCCCCGCCTGCAAAAATTTCCCAGTCGCTCTCGCAGGGGTCTGGGATCGCCCTTTTAGGCCTTGGCTCGATGGCGGCGACTGCCGGCCGCGATCCTTGCGATCCCGTGACCCACGTGACTCATGTTCGACTCGCGACGCGACGCGTCGAGGAGGGGCTACTGTCGACGACGACGACGACGACGACGACGACGACGACGACGACGACGACGACGACGACGACGACGACGACGACGACGACGACGACGACGACGACGACGACGACGACGACGACGACGACGACGACGACGACGACGACGACGACGACGACAGCGACCACAACTATCTCAGGCAAGTGCTGTATGTACTTATTTAAAGTGATGACAGGTAGCTCTGACACCTTACGTTTGTTTCGCAGTTCTCGAGTCCAACAGGGGCCCCTACAAAGACCATCTCAACACAAACAGACACGACCACCTTTGTCGGCGATACTACATAAGTACCAACTAGGAAGCAAGATGGACCTCTCGTGCCGGAACCCCACATCACCTATGAAACCCATACGGCGGTCTAAGATACTCGCGGCCCTCGACGCTGAAATCCCCATTTGGCTAGCCGGCCCCCTAGTGCCCAACGCGGCGAACCTCGTTAGCGGTCCCTCGTGAGTATGCCGATAGCACGAAGGCTAAATTCGAGCGCTTGTCTTACCCCCATTGAGAGTACACCCGCAGTCCAAAATGGGACAGCTACTCTCCCAACCTGCCGCGGAGCCGCCTCAACCCAAGGCGGCGGAAGCTCCTCGCAAGCCGTCGCTCAACGCTAAGACCATGGCGACCACCATCCCGATGCGAACCACCATCAGCAACGCTGAGAATGACCCCGTTGTCATCGAGGACGACCTCTCTGATTCGACTATCGTGGCGGTCAAGCCGAGACCCAAGTCCCAGGCTCTATCGAAAGCCAAATCCAGCCATTCGCTCTACTCCTACAAGCAGTACCGCCCTGCACCGGCGGTCGTGTACACTCAGCACGAAGAGGAGGCGAATGACCTCGTTCAGACGTTGAAGGGTCCCCTTGGATTCGACCTCGAATGGGTTGTCAACTTCCGACGCGGGAAGAAACCGAGCGAGCGACGGACTGCTCTCGTCCAACTCTCTGACGCGCGTATGATCCTGCTGATACAAGTGAGCTCGATGAAGAGTAAGTGTGCTTTTCCATCACCTTGCGACTACTTGCTGACGACGCCGCACAGAGTTTCCGCAGAAAGTCAAGGTAAACCTGTTTTCATCAATCAGGAAAACAGCAAAGGCTCACTGGTAATTTGACAGGAAGTAATCGAGAACAAGGACATCATCAAGCTCGGCGCCAACATTCGCAGTATGTTCGCCCTCGTCCCTTGTGTGCCCTCACTGATTCGACACCCTCAGATGACGGCCAGAAACTATTCCGCGACTTCGGCCTCCACCCGGCCGGGCTCGTCGAACTTGGCGCTCTCGCCGGTCTTGCCGACCCTTCCTTCAAGCAGACTTACAATCGCTCTATCGTGGCCCTCGCCAAAGTTGTTGAGCACTACACGCACAAGACGCTTGACAAAGGCAAGGTTCGCACGAGCAACTGGGATGCGAAGCTTTCGCAGGCGCAGATCACCTACGCTGCCAATGATGCGCACTGTGCGCTCTCCGTATACAACGTCTTGATGGCGGTTGCGGCCGGACAACAGCGTGAAGTGGACTGGAGGTCGTGCGCAGCGGATCTGGCGGTGGACTACCGCGAGAAATGCGTCGTTAACGCCCAGGCGGCTCCTACTATACCCTCGCAGGCCGCCATGACCAGCGGCGCGGATGGAGGCGCGGATGGGCCGCAGGGGAGCGCCTCCATGTCCGCACCGACATTCACGCAATCGCAGTCACAACCGGAGCGCAGGGTCTGGAATCCGTTCGCGCGCCAGCCCTCGTCTTGCAGTACATCGTCCAGCCAGACCTGGGTGCAGAGGGAGCCGCCGCGTCCCCAGCACCTGCGCGCGTACAACCTCTGGTACCACCGTGACATGCCCCTCGCCGATATCTGCGCCGCACTCCGGAGCAAGGACAACCCCCTCGCCGAGAGCACCGTTATGTACGTCTTCCGTGGTCGTAAAGCCATAGATATTGGCAACTGACACTTAGCGGTGCTTTGGCTAGCTCATACGTGGTAAGAGCGTTGCAGGCTGACCCGAGCCTGCCGTTCTCGATGGAGCGCCTGAAAGCGTTCGTCCAGCTGGAAGCTGGGTCGTGGAGGCGCCATAGGGACTGGATTTTCGAGAAGGACGGGTACAAGAAGGCGTAGGGAAAAGCTCCACGAGACCACAGCTGAATGTTCTTGGTGATGTTATCTCCTTGCTTTATGGGTCTTCGGTGCCTCGGGATACCCCACCCCGCGGCGATGTGTTATCTAACGAGTATTCAGGATGTTACACGTGCTTGGCTTTTGTTTGTACTCTCCTTACATGTACTGAATGCTTGTAGACGGTCAGTAGTCCCGCATCGTCGTAGGTGTTGTATGCAATATATCATGCCTCGATGGACTCGGACGGCGTGCCGCGTGTCAGGACACGCGACCGAGTCTCCTTGACCTGCCACTACTTGGTACTTAGTACTTACGCAGCTGCCAGTGGCATAGCCTCCGTGGTTCATCTAGATGGCTCAAATGGTGTCAAGGAATGGTGACAGCGATAATCAGGGGGATGTGGTTGCAGCGAAGACCGTGTTGACCGCCTGGGTCCACCATGATCGGATTCGTGTCAACTGTGCATAGGCTGTGCCGGTCGAGTTTCTCCTCTCGCCTCCACGATCCCAAGGACTACAACCCACCACTGAAGATTCAATCAGCATCCAGTACGATTGTCTCTAATGAAGAGCCAAAGTGAGACGCTGCCAAAGGTGCGCTGTGCCAAGGGTCCGTCGGATGCATACCCTGCAGTGGGACATGAGCGCTACTAAGGACAAAGCTCTGGAGGGCAGAGAGCCAGGAGCAATCGCATTGCAGGGCTCCATTGCAGGGCTCCATTGCGGTGCTACGGTGCACTGTTGGGTAAGTATCTGTCCCCAACATGACGTGAACTATACATTGTTAGTGGACTTCGACTTCGCAGTGACAGCATAATGTGCCTTAGATGATCGTCGTGATGATGTAAGTCCTAACACTTCAAACTAGCGTGCCGATTCTCCTTGTATGACAGGAGCGATATTGGAGGCTGGCCGACGTTGATGAAGGCGTCCAGCTTCAATCTAATCTTGGCAGCGGCACCCCCGTCTGACAACACTGGCACGAGCGTCCGAAAGCAGGCCCCGGAAGGGCAGGAGGTGGACCGTCCCTCTGCGGCTCCAATCACTTACCGCAGGGATTTTTGCACGCTTTCATGCAAGGAACACTGCCCCACTCCCTGGCAACCTGCATGCAAAGGGATATGAAGCAGGTGAGCGACTGTTCCCACCGCTCTACCGGGACAACACCAGCTGACTAAGTATTCGCGAGAGCATCGGCAGTCTCCGTCCCATTCCCGCGCTGCAGCGGTGACCATTTCCGCGCAACCTCGAGGCTGGGATCCTTGTTCTCCTTCTCATTCAAGGCCATCTGCCAGTCAACCATCCCCGCTTTTCTGTCCACCTGTCGAAAAGAACAGGTCCTCGTTGCCCACACGTGCCGCGTTGTTCCAGCCTGAATGCGGATCGGGGCGTTTTGCAGAGTCTGCGCGCTCGAGCCAAGTCAGTGGGAGCGGGTTGGGAAGATACCTACTCCGGACATCTGATCATATACTTATGCCGTGAATGTCCCAGGCTCCAGTCCATCTGCGTGGCGGCGGGCTTTGTGCGGTGTATATATTGACCCCCCCTCGTGCGAGCCATGCGTCTCCAAATCCCCACATCTCCTTCTTTTCCGTCTCTAGCCTTGGACGCTTCCGTTTGTTTGCGTCGAAATGTCCACAGGAGCCACCTCGTGGCCCACCAAAACCGAGTTTCCCGACAGTCGGGAGCAGGGTCCTTTCTCCTGGCTAGTCCGCGACGGGCCGGAATACGAAGAGCGCAAGAAGCGCGCCCAGTTCGTGCCACCTACAGTGTCGATCAAGGACGTTCACGCTGTCGTGCCACGGCACCTGTTCGAAAGAAACACGGCCAAAGGGCTTTACTATGTGGCGCGGATAGTTGGCCTCAGTGTGCTCTTCTACCTATACGCGACTCAGGTTGACGAGCTATCTTGGCGTATCGCTTCTGCATTGAGTCTTGGTCCCTCTGGACGGACCTTGGTATCCTGGAGCCTCTGGATATTCTACTGGTTCTGGCAGAGCATAACATTCGCCGGATTCTGGACACTCGGTATGAATGATTCATCAATGTGACTCATGCAGACCGATTCTGATTCCATTTCCTCGCTAGGGCATGAGGTAAGCTAAAAGTTCGTCTACGAAACCATTCCCAGGCTGAAATATCCTCGACGCACAGTGTGGTCACGAATCGATTTCTCATTATGCATGGGTGAATCATGCTGCCGGGATGAGTCTCCACACCTTCGTCTTGACGCCCTATTTCGCGTGGAGGCTCACACACCGCACCCATCATGTTCGTCGCTTTACTTGATCAGTTCCAGAGAGATGTTCATGACTGAGGAATCACAGAAAGGAACGAACAATCTTGCTCGTGATGAGACCTACCATCCCATGACGAGGAAGGATCTGAAACTCCCAGATGCTGCACAGGCGACTGCGTTCGACTACAAAGAGCTGATCGAAGAGACGCCTGCTTATACTCTGTTCAAGATGGTGATCAGGCAGTTTTTGTGAGTGCTCAGGGCGTGTATATTGCATCTGACTTAACTCAGCGCGACACGTAGGGGCTTCCAGCTGTATCTCATGTACGTTTCGATTCCAGGCCTAGCTTACATATCTGACATTAGCACCCAAGACATAACCGCAAAGGCAACCCGAAGTATCCTCCAAGGACCAGCGTATGTTGCCCCCTGCTAGGACGTAGAGACCTCGCATAACGACATATCTCTAGCATTACAACCCGTCATCGAAGCTGTTCAAAGCACAAGATAGTACGTCAGCGTCTCTCCTACAGTCAGCGCACAACTCAAACTTGAGCTAGGAAGTTACATTATAATCTCCGACATCGCCATCGGCTGTATGTTGCTCAACCTTTTAGTGTGGTCGTACCAGTCCGGCTTCCATAGCGTCTGGAGTCTGTACTTTGTTCCTTGGCTCGTACGTTCCTGGGCTTTGCCTCTATTACACCGAAGTGCTGACAGACCTGCGCGCCGGCTACTGTAGTGGGCGCATAACTGGATCGTCATGTTCACTTATCTGCAGCACAGCGATCCCACCGTCCCATATTATCGTGAGGTACAACTCTGACCCTTCAGTCGCAAGGACCGCGTACTAACCTGAAGGCAGAAATCATGGACGTTTGTCCGGGGCGCACTTGCCACTGTCGATCGGCCTGTCTTTGGCTGGATCGGGGAGTTCTTCTGGAACGGCGTGAGCAGTAGTCCATACCCTCCATATGATCCCACAAAGACTCTGACGTTTTGCCGGACTCACTAGATCAACCATTATCATGTCGCGCACCACTTCTTTGTCACCATCCCTTTCTGTAAGTACGCCTTGTGAGACAGAGTCCGCTACCACTGCTCACGGGCACCACAGACAACCTAGCGGAAGTGACAGAGGCAATCAAGCCGGTGTTGGGAGACTACTACTGCTACGACTCCACGGTCAGCTATCCTGCAGACGTCATGACGTTAGATCTACTGACGGGCGTCCCTCTCGAATATAGCCGACGCTGTACGCGCTCTGGCGTTCCTTCACGCAATGCACATTCATAGAGGACGACGGCGACGTCTTGTTCTTCAAGAACCAACGTGGGGAAGCTCTGCGCGACTACACTGGGGTAACCGTCCCAAGTCCTCACCACAAGGATAAACGCCTCGAAGACCACGAAGACGAAGCTTACAAGCTAGCAGGCTTGTAGTGCCCTTCGCGGTTATGCATACCCAATCTTCGCTCCCGAGCGGAGTAGAGCCCTGGTACGGCGGTACCGAACAGCTTCTAGGTCTTGTGCGCGTAGACCTGATGCCTTAGGCAACTCTACAATAAAGTCTTCCAGGCGAAGATGTTTTTAGAAACCGCCTGTATATCATAGGAGTGAAACTGTGTAGCGGGTCACAAAGACGACGAAGAAATTGGACAAGGTACGGTGCCGATAATGTTACGTCTAAGATAGATGGGCACGAGCAGGAGACACAATGATCAACCCGACGGCTCGCCTGCGGCAGCAGCAGCCATGGCGTACAACTTCTCTCTATCTCCGCTCTCGTCTACCAGAGCACGCAGGAAGCCCTTTTCGTTTCTCAGGAGCTCGCTGGGTCTCCCGAACTCGACCTACAAGGTATGTCAGTAATTGAGTGACTCTCAAATATGGCCAGTACTTACGATGTGCCCAGCATCGAGTACCATCTGCAGGGGAAACGTCAGCATGTGCTTAGTGCCATATCACTTCAACTAGTACGTACAATCTTGTCTGAGTCCATGATCGTCTGCAGACGGTGGGCGACAGTCAGGAGGGTGACGTCCTTCCCAAGCTCTGTCCGCAGCGACTTCTGGATGATCGAGTCCGTCTCATAGTCTGAAGCACAACTCAGCGAGAGGATACGCATATGAGTATGACTGTACACACCAATCGCAGATGTAGCCTCGTCGAGGATCAGGAGCTTGCTCCGGCGCACGATCGCCCGCGCGAGGGCAAGTACTTGGCGCTGGCCTACTGACAGGTTCGCACCACCCCCCGCAATCTCGGAGTCTAGCGTGATACGGGACTCGTCGTGCTCATCCTGGAGGTTGAACAGGCCGGCAGAGCGCAGGGCGTCGTTCAGCACAGCATCGTCGTGCTCCCCGAATGGGTCGAGGTTCTGACGGAGCGTCCCGCTCAGCATCTCTGGCTGTTGGAGACGTCAGCCGATGTTCCGAACAGAGTGCTGTGAGCCGACGTACCACTTGCGGAATGATAGTGATGTTGGAACGGAGGGCGTCGAGGTTGATCTTGTCGGTGGGCAGCCCGTCGTAACGGACAAGACCTTCGGTCAAGATGCAGCGGAGCAGGGCCAGCGTGAGAGAGCTCTTGCCACTACCGGTACGACCCACTACATGATGTGCGTGAGCGATCGTTCGGAAAGGAGTGGAGAATGCTTCTCACCGATCCCGACGCGCTCTCCAGAATTAACGTCGAAGGAGATCTCATGGAGGACCTTGGGACCGTCCTAAATGCAAGGTTTCAACTGTTGCCCCGGAACAAGGTTCCTAGAGGCAGACTTACGGCAGAGTATCGGGCAGACAAGTTGTTGACCTCGAGGGCGCCACTAGCAGGCCAGTATGCGGGAGGTACGCCTTCCGGAGTTGATTGTGGCTCATGTTCGATAACGAGGTATTGTTGGATGCGCTCCAAACTATTGCCTACAATATATAGTTGAATTACAGCCGTCAGAGATATGGAGCTCAAGGGACATACCGGAGAGCTCGAGGTCGTTGAATATGCGAACCCAAGCAAAGATATTGTTGCTGAATGCAGCTGTAGCGACGGTGAGAAAGATGCTCAGCAGGTCGCAGAGGGAATATCGACAAACCAGCCATCGCCAGAGAGAAGCCAGTGTTAGAGGCACTCAACGGAGCAAAATACAGCAGCCAAATAGCCAAGGAACTCAGGAACACGGTTCCGGCAAGGTCTACGCGAATCGTCATCCAGCTGTCGAACAACAGATATCAGTTTCAGGATCAATGACACCATATTACCAGACATACCGATTGAGATTGAAGTTTGTGATCGCAACTCGACTATACCTGTCAATTCGCACGTATGCTTCTCTCTTGAGTGACTCCTGAGCACCATAGGCGCGAATGGAAGCTATGAAACTGTCATAATCTTACAGAGGTCCCTATGAAATGGGCACTCACTGATACCGCTGATGGCAGCACCAAAATGACCAACCACAGGTGCTTTTGCAACGCTCATTTCACGCTTCACGGAAAGCTGCGCCTTCATGTAGATGTGTCCCAAGACCCCACCAAAGATAGCGAGCAAGACGGAAGGGATGAAGAAAAGCGGAGTGAAGGCGACGATAGCGAAGACCTTCATGAGCAGAAATACGGTTACTTCAATGAGAACTTCGACGTTCCTCGCAAATCGAGTGTCCACTGAACAAAACCAACAGCAGGTCAGCATCGGATAATGAATAAGTTGAATGGGTACACACTTGTCTGGATATCTTCTGTGCACCGAGCGATGATACGTGCAGTTGGCGTCTTGTCAAGCCACCTGCGTTCAACGAAGTCAGCATATGCAACCTCCTTCACATTGTTCTTGATCACCTCAAAGTCGTTCCAAGTAGAGAGGTGACAAGTCTCTCATGGACGATCTTGGACGCCCGCATACTGCCATTGACATAATACCAGACGCAGAAGGCAGAGCAGCTCATGATTGCGAGCACAGCGTAGCAATATACGGCGAGGTAGCTATCGGGACATTACTGCATGCATGTTGTAGCACTGATGAGGACGACTTACTAGCTGGCCTTTACATCTTCGGGAGCATGAGCCTCGTATTGCGCAGCCCAGTACCCAAGCCACCAAGACTGAGGACATATGACATGATAGAGATGTCAGCTGATATCAAGAGACGGAATCCAGTGAATAGCCTGCGCACCTGGACGTTGGTGATGAAATGGCGTAGCGAGTACGCACTGACATAGATGAACCAGAAAATAAGCGGTCGCGTCGACAGATTGCCCAGGTACAGTAACACTGCCGCACTTTTGGTGAGCGATCCAGGACAGCCCGATTGCATGCGTTCACTCACTTGCTTGCAATCCAACGTGACCCTCTTCTATCTCCTCAGCCACAACTAGCTTGCCTGCGTTAGACTTGTCGTTGACGTCCTCCGGTTTCTCCCCGTCAATCTCTTCCTCGGCCCTCTGAAGTTCCTCAGCCTCGTGCTGCACTTCCTCCAGCAGTTTGTCGTCATGAGCAAGCGCGTTGGAGAGTGTGCCTTGGCTCAAGATGCGACCATCTGAACCGACGTCAACTACAAAATCTGCAATCGGGCTGACCATGGCAATATTGTGAGTCTGCAAAATAGCGTCAGAAACGTAACACACGACTAGGTTTGAGCCTTACCACTAGGATGACCGTGCGGCCACGAACGAGATCACCGCTCAGACACTTGTCGACGATCCATCGGGAAGTATGAACATCAAGAGCAGCAAGGATCTATTGAACCGAAAGTGAGCCGAGAGTTATGAACCACCTTTCGCTACGCTCACATCGTCCAACAGCAAGATCTGCGCGCTCGAGTAGACCGCACGGGCCAACGTGATACGAGCCTGCGTCGCTCATAAGCAACAACAACATAGACCCTGAGCATTTCACCGAACCTTTTGACCACCACTTCGAGCGTAATGTCAATGAGCATCAATCACGGTGCGGAAGCGAATGTGGACTGACCTGAGCGTGACACCTTTCTCTCCGACCTCGGTCTGATCACCAGCGTCGAACAAGCTGAGGTCACGCTCCAGTGCGCATTGCTTCAGGACTGGGTGGAATGGATGAGTAGGATCGTTGCATTGATGTGTGCATTCTCTACCTTTCTTGTATCGGACTTCATCAAACGGTGCGCCAAACAGGATATTATTCTACCAAGCAACACCGTTCTCAACCCACCCTCGTCAAGACTTGTGACATGGACGTACCTTGATAGTATCGTTTTGAACCCACGACTCTTGAGCAGCATACGCCACACCGCCCTCCCTGGGAAGGCTAACAAACGAGTCAGGTCCAGCAGGGATATAATGCATTTCTCCAAGCAGCGCCATGAGCAAGGACGTCTTCCCCGAGCCAGTAGGACCAACGATTAGGTTTATCTTGCCCCGCTTGAAGAAGACCTCGTCGTCAATGTGAAGTACAAACGTGCGCTTACGAGTGCCACCGGGGGTGATCGCAAGCTTTGCAGAGTCATTCGCCCAAGTGAACGACGCATGGCGAATGCCGATCGATTCCCTGTATTCTTCAGGGACGTTAGAGGAAATAATTTCCACAGTGTCCACGTTAGGTTCGGCAAACTCGTCGATGAGTTCAGTCTGAATAGGCCGCATGAGCGATAGAGGTGGAGATGCGAAACCCAGGACAAACGTACATTGTACAAGAAGTCGTGGATACGCTCGAGGGATACTTTGGCTGGAAGTTCGGAGAATTATGAGAACGACTCTGGGTTGTCTCTGTGAATTCGACGCACCCTGTATCAACCCCGGAATCATGAAGAAAGTCGCTTGTATGTCCATCCGGAGCATATCGAAAACTATATATATTGTTCTCAATATCGTATTCTTGAGACGAACGAGATCAACGCACCGGACATCGCAGAGAACACTTTCGATGCTAGAAACGAATGAGCTCGATATACGCAAGGAGTTTGGGAGATTGGCTGCACCAGTCAACGTCTGCTTCATGATCATGGACTGTTTCACACTAAGATAAGGGCGTGCACAACGTATCGGACTCGCTGCACTTACGTAGGTAGCAAACGTTGATAACATGATCAAAGTGGGAATGGCGAAGCTAAAGGCAAGTGCGAAGGACGCTCAGATATGCCTATCTGCCCCAAAGTAGTCGGAAAAAAGTTCTCACTTGCACAGGTTGTTCAGCATCCCCAGCATTCGGTTTCTCTTCACAGAGACGAGCTCCTCGTCGCGCTTCTGGTTCAGCTGCTTGTTAATGCGGTGCTCCCACCCGAAGAGTTTGATCATGCGGATCACGCCCATCACTGCAGGATGTAAAGTAAGAAAGGAGAACCGGGCGCGATACGTGGCGAAGCATATTCTGACTCACTTTCAGTCACTGTCTGGACACGAGCGTCCGTCTGTCATGCTCCATGTGAACGAAGCCGTAAAAGTGCATAAGACATCAGACACGTACCCGCTTCATCTTTTCGCGCTGAGTCCCTTGAATGTGCTTTGTGATCCACCCGGGTACAGGAAGAGTGATCAACATGGTCGCCAGACCTACCAAGGCGCTGTCTCGCCACTTCAGACACAGTCCACATGATACAGTACTTCAGAATGTGCGTACCTCCAGCCAAGGATCTGATACAGGAATACCATACAGAGCGTGATTTGGAATGGAGACTCGATCGCTGCATTCATGTCAAGATGGTGAGCGACGCTGTACCGCACGGAGTTTGAGAGACAAGACGTACTAGCGAATGTCACGAACATTCCGATCGGCTCCAAGTTACTCAGGTCGCTAGTGACCAGATTGTTGATCCTCCCGACCAGATTTTTGCCTTTTTTGCCACCTTCTGCAGGCTTCGACGGCTCAGCGACCTTCTTCGCCGTATCTTCCGATGGAGCCTTGCCCTTGCCCTTGATGGAGGCGGGAGCAACGGCGGTGCTCGAGCTAGAGGTGGCAGAGTGAGCAGGGACACTGGCCCCGGCGTCGCTTCCTTCTGCGCTTCCCTCGCCTTCACCCTCAACTCCAACTTGGGATGCAGTGTCGGGAGTCGCCACGGCTGTGATCTCGCCACTCTTGCTCGCATCTGTCACTTCAGACGTCTCGGCCTTCATGCGAATACGGAGGGCATGCTCGAAGACGAGCTCCGTGATGACGGCTTGAATGCGCACCGAGAGACGAGTCTGCCACGCGTTCGTCAGCTCTCAATTTAGGCAGCGTGCGCAACAACTAAGGCAACGTACGTGCTTGAACATGAACCACTGGTCAGAGATGCTCTTGAACACCCGCCCGAAGAAGAGGAGCGCAATCCAGAACCATGGCCGCACGCTGTATACTGTTCCTCCGGATTCCAAGTACCTGAACGACGCTTGAGCACATCACACGAAACTCCAGCTAGGGCGATGACGCACCCGAGAAGACCCTGAATAGCAATAGGTGCGGCGAACGCGGCGAGGACCTGTTCCAAGTCAACCTCATCGTCTCGGGAACGATCAACATCCACGCGGATTTGACTCACCGCAGTCACGGACATGGAAGCCAAGTGCACGTACTCGAGCCCTGCGTATCACATTGAGACACTGTGGATACCGAGACATGCATAAAAGACCTACAGAAAACTCGCAGAACCTTGAACCCCATGTGCCGACGAGACTTGTTTTGAGTCGGATCGAGGCGCTAAGGAACGACCCACGTAAGTCAGGACATCGTCATCAACAATAGTTTGAGCAATGTACTCACAGGGAAACTCTTCCCAACCAAACTCTTCAGGTGATCATAGTCCGCCAACGGAGGAAGCATCTCGTATTTGTAGTGCGAAATCTTGTACGCAGTCCACACAATCGGCGCCATGAACGTGAACGTCAGAAGCGACGCCAAAGACGCCGTCTGCTCTGGATTCGGCTCCAGTACCTCCTAAAACGCCCGTCAACGACATGTACCAGCATATCAAGTCAATAACGCACCTTCGGATTCACAGGCACATACTTCCGCGGCACGAAGAGAGGAATGACAACAGCCGTGATCGTCAGTAGCGCGAACTTCGCGTACAGCAACGCTCCATCTCCAGTATCAGCCGGGGTCCGATCAAGGGTGGCAAGCGGGTACACGTCACGGTACATGTACGCGCTCCATACGAACACCAGGATGAACGAGACATGGCCGTAAGCGCGACTGTTCACCGAAGGCCTCCCGAACACTGCGACCGCTGCAAGAGCGGCGAGGTAAGCCTGCAAAGCTGCTCAGCCCATGCAAGCTGTGACAAAACGAGGACCACTTACATAAAGTACGCATTGGGCGGCTTGAACGATCTGCCAATGGCTGCTGGCCAGGAGATTGTGCGACGCGGTCTCCCGATTCTGGAGAGCCAGCTGGGCCAACGAAACACCGAAAAGCCCCAATATCCCCAAGAGCTGGGCAAGTTTGAACGCGAAGATGGTGCCGCCTCCCACATTCTCGAGTGCCCTCCGGAAACAGGAGCGCGTCTCGGGTTCCGACTGTGGAGTATCCTCTGCCGGAAGACCATTGTTGCGAATGACCTCGCTCGCGGATTGCGCGAGGAGAAGCAAACCAGAAACACCCGCGGCGTATACAGGTAGCAATAGGGAGTCTAGCCATGGGCTGGTGAGAAGTCGTGTGAGCAAGCAAATCGGAGTTAGCACGCGCAGGGACGCGTCGTCCAAGTCGCTATACTTGGCAAAGTTGTCATGGAATTGCGCACGTACCTGTTCGCAACTGAGGCAAGGGTCACCCCAGAAGCCGTCAAGGGTACCTGGGATAGCTCTGCAAGCCATGCCATGGGATAGTCCATGGTCGACGACTGCCTTGCAATACCAGTTGTAAGTTCACGGAAGGCTAGGTGGGGGTTGCAGTTGAGCGATGCGTTCCTTTAGGCGCCACAAGACGATCAAGCGAAATGTGCACCTATCAGGGTTTCGGGTCATCAGAATATGTATGGCTGATTTGACGCACGTTAGCGCCAGGAGGCAGTGTATCAGGGACTTGATTCCCAAGCTTCCATCAACGCCGCTCCCTGAGTTACTCAGCACAGTGGGAGCCGTATGCACACCATGCAGACGCTGATACCTATTCATGATCGTGATTCTCTCTTGTGCATCTTCTCATTGAATCGCTGAACTCTCAAATGAAACATTCAAATGCAATCCAGTAAGCCAAAATTCGCCGATAGTGAGCTTGAACGTGAACTGCAAAAACCCCGGCCAATCCTGTCTGAGTATCGTCTCATTTAATTATAGAATTACACTTACTGACGTAAGCTCCTTAGCATAGCCGCTGAAGATAAGGAAGGTTACAAGAGGAGTAGTCGTTATCCAATATGATTGATCCCGGCCGGATGTCGCATGTCTATGGGAATGTGGCGATGCACTGCTCGAGTCAATACGAGTCGCTACACAGCTGCCGGCGGCCACCCGGCTCCGAGTCCGCTTCTACTCCTCCCTGCAGCTGGATATGGGGCTTCCCCGGATCCAAATTGAGTACGTCTGAGCCATGGATTCAGCCCTCATGCGAGTAGCGTAGTACAATCCAGCAAGCGTGTGGTAAACACGTCATACAATAGTATGGAGCGCCGGATAAGGGCGACGGATGATCATGTTTCATGAGGTGCCTAGTACTGCATCAGTACAAAGAAATATTGATCCCTCACCTTGAGAAGATGCTAAAGATGTCGTAATACTGTTTTGTTCATGAAGGTACCAGGGTGGTCGGCATTGTTGAGAGTCACCGTCATGGCCAATGTACCTTTCAAAAGTACTCAGGACAACGATCTCTAGTAGAGTCTGACTGCCTACTAAATTCAATGCAGTGCAGCTGAAGCACCATGGTGCACTACTTCAGATGCTCGGGTAAGCCGTTGGATAGCTGTTCAGATGTCGCAGTGTTAGGATGCTGATGATTCCAGAACACATAGGCACGCACGACGAGGTTGTCCCCACTTATATTAGATAGGATCTGATTAGACCAGTCCATTTGAACAGCCATTCAGGGTATATGTAACACGCGATCGAGTCCAGCAAGGGGGATAGAGCACCATTTTGGATCCAGGGTTCTTTCAGAAGAACCCCATCGCTTCCGTCGAACCAGCCCAAACATCCTGGATCACAGTAACAGGCAAGACGCAACAGCCAAAAGAGTGGCAACCACAACTGGGGTATACATATGATGGACAGACAGAGCGTCGTTCTTGCCGTCGGCGCTGCTGGTGCCGTTGGCAGACGTCGAGGTTGGTGCAGCTGGCGCAGTGGCGCCGGAGGAGTTTGCGACCTCGGCGGTATCCGAAGTGAAAACCTTGACGTACGAGATCTCAAACCAGGCATTCCCGAGAGCGGTCTGGTTTGGTGTGGTAACGGTAGGCTGTTGAATGACGTCGAGTTGATACTGGATGGTAGCGGAACCGAGTCGCATATCAGAACACTGGAACAGCAGAGGAGTGCCGAAGCTAACTTACGCAAGTATCGTATGTAGCATTTCTGAGCGGGCCACCGCAGGTCGACTGGTAGATCTGCGGATCACCCGCCCTGAGTCCGCAGTCAGCATGCACGTCTTTCAGGCGATACAACGTGCCATCTAACGCACTTGTCTCCGCAGAGAGTGATATCGATCACAAGCTGTTGCTTTCCGAATGCCTTGCTGATGTCGCACGAAGACCCAGACGGCCACGCGGCGGAGGGGGTGCCGAACGTAGTAGGGTCTATGGTGTTTGTCGCCCCGGAAACGGAGGCCGGCACGTCCTTGCGCTATCAAGCACACATGAGTAATGACATTTTGTCGGAAATAGCGATTGAAAAGATACTGACAGACCAGAACCAAACGCTGCCAGACCATCGCGCATTAAGCAAGGTCGTCTGGATAGAATGTTGTGGAGCTCACGATATGCCCGTCTCGTCGAACCACGCGGCCCATACCCCTCCTTGGTTGTTGGCAAAGTCTTCCCCAAAGCTATTCGCCTTCGTTTCCACAACAGTACACCCGATGGTCGAGCCCCCAGCGCCGCAATCCGTGTCATTGGTCTTCCCGACCTGCTGGACGTTCGGTGCCTGGCTGCAGCCTTCAGTGGTATGCAGCGTCATTTGATTGGCTTGCTCCAAGTTGTAGCTTTCCAAAATGTCGATCTCGCCAGTGTTCGGCCAGTGATTGCCTGTGGTCCAAAATGAAGGCCAAACGGAGCACCCGTAAGGGACATGGGTGGCGTCGAATAGGAACACCGAGCCGATGTCGAAGAAATCCTCCGTTGAGATGCGGACCTACGTTCATGGAAGAAAGTGAGCGACCGTTTCGCATACGGTCCGCTGGGGGCCAGTCGCTACGCACGGAGTTGCGTTTGTTTGGGTAGCTGACGACCGTCTCATTGTCGACCTTGATGATGGCCCGACCCGCGTCGTTCACATACGTCAGGTGAGATGCATTCGCATGGGCTCCATCCAGATAAAAGACGTGACCTGAACATATTTCTCAGTTAGCCCAAACCCCTTCGCATGGTTAACATGACTACATACCGTTCGTTGTGTTGTCGTATCCCGGGACGCTATCATATTGCCACCCGTCGAAGAAAGTCGAGCCGGAATAGCTTTTGACGAGGTTGAACGCTCCCAATGCATACGAGGCACTGAGAAGCGCAACTGCTAAAGGGGCAATAGAGAGCATGTTGGTGCGAGGAACTTAGCCAGGATTCCGACACTGGAGGTGAGGGAATGAACGGACAGAAGGGCGAGGATGCGCCGCCTGATGGCCGTATGTCTTTTATTTCCAGCCTCTTCCACAACAACGCACAGAACAATCGCGGGAAACATCCTGTCAAAATTGAACCGCTCATGCAGCGAAGATCACACCGACAGCCGTCTAGCGCATGCCTCAGGCACCCATGAGTCGAATCGGTCACACTCGGACTATCAGCGGCACGTACTTACTGGAAGCCTCGATGAATCACGGGTAGAAGTTTGTAGACATCATGCGCTGTATACGTAATCTTCCTAGGCCTTGATTGCTCCCGGTGCCGGGCGGGTGCTTCCTTCCCCGCGAAGCATAACTCACCTCCTTGAGGCGAGTCGATTGTCTTCAAAGTGCAAGCGTCAGGTTCTGTGTGTCAGGGTTGGAAACCACACAGAACCTACATCCAGCTGGCGACATTCTTCGCAGCACGGCACCAGCTAAGATTGGGTGGCGTGTGCGCGTTCGTGCGAGGCTAGAGCTCGTAATAACACCGACCTCGCTCTTTGAGGCCTCAGGCTACAATATTGACAGTGGACTGATGGTGACCGGGTATGCGTATGTAGTAGTACTGCTCCCGGCGACGTTTCCCTGGGAAAAAGCTTAGGGCCTGTTCGGCAAAGAGTTGGAGTTAGAGTTACCGGCATTTCATGCCCAAATATAGTAATAATATCTCGGTTTTCAATCTCGAGAGAACTCGAGTTACTCAGGCGAGTGCATGCGTTCGGATGCCTAGTAACTCCGGGCGGTTGTTATCAGAGCTCACGCGCACGTCGTAACTTGTCTCGAGGCTCTACCCTTTTGGCAGCCTGCTTGATTCTCTCTTTCTAGAGTATTGGGGTGGCTACCATGATCGACGTGGAATGTGATCAGACATCTGAGGCCATCCTACTTGAGGGATTAGAGCAGCTACTACCGAGGCCCGCCTAGTCAAAACAATGACAGTTACTGCTATTATAGCCTGTCTTCGGCGCTCTATATGAGCCCGATGGATAGCTTGGTGAATATTGACAGCTGCTCTTGTGCAGACCATGGTGAAGCAGGGATGAAGCAGAGCCCATCTGATTATCGGTATACTACAGATACATGTACGAGTTCAGGGCGCTTGTCTCCTCCGGATTTCACGGATACTCCGCCCCTGTAGCTCTGACTCGCGCAGAAATCCTCGGAAGTGCCGCCATGTGACAAAATGCCGGTGACTCGTAACTCCAACTCTTTGCCGAAAAGGCCCTTACGTTTTTCGTGAGTGATCTCAGGGAGGTCCATGAACAAGGAATCCTGCCGAGGCTGGCCAAGACTATGTCGACGTCGAGGTTCCAGTATATGGGACTTATAGGCGCCGGAATGGGGGTTCGCGACAACTGCTGACGGATAGTAATCGCGATCAGCCTGACACGACAACCTCGGCTTTGCTTCACGTCTTTCAAGTTCCTTCTGTTAGGTGAATGGATCGCCATGGACCCGGCACGGACTTTGGGTATGTTACCTTATGGATGCTTATACGATGCTGTATGGGATCCTGACTCCCGGGGCCTTCATACTGGATAGTCAATGCCCTGCTAGAAGGGGCAACAACTATCTGCAGGACAGGAGGTGTGACATGATCTCACGTTCCTTGGCCATGGTACATAAAAGCGAACAATCGACACCACATTTTAAGCTTCAAGCTTCACATCAAGTTGGACCTGCAGCGTACGATACGAACTTGGTTCACATCTCAGCCAATTATTGATGGAAAATACTCACAGTTGTAATCGCCTTATTGATCTCCTCCTCCAGGATCCTCGAGAAGCTGTCCAAATCCCTGCTTGCTAACTTCCTACACCTCTTGCAATCCGCCGCCGCCTCAATCGCCTTGTCAATAAACGTCTGCGTACGCGCCACGCTCCCATCCGGCCTCTCCCCCAGCGCCGCTTCCACGCTCTCCATGTACGTCAACCAGTACTTCGAGATGTACCTCACCCCAAATGCCGCGCCCTTCCACCAAAGCTTCCTCTGCGTCGTCCAGCACGCCCACCCCTTGTCGCAATACAGAAAGAAGCACTGCTGCCGTGTCTCCGCAACAATCCACGCGGGGATGGTCTCGTCTTTGATCTTCACGACCTCCTTGGCAGCTCCCGCGCACAGTTCGCGGTACTGAAGAAGGCTGACCAGCGCATCCCCGCGCAGGCGCCGTGCCTCCGGGAACGTAGGAAGTGTTGCAGGGTGACGTAGGGTGTGTCGGGCAGCGACCGCCGCCAGGTCGTCCATACCGGAGAACAGTGCTAGCGCATACACCCGGTGCGGCTCCTTCTCCAGGTACTCCGGGCGGACGAGGACGTTGCGCATGCGCGATATGACGCAGGTCGCTTCGTACGCGCACGCGATCGACAGCAGCTGTTCTGCGTCGTCCAGAGTGAGCGCAGGCTCGGCAACAGGATAGCAGAGTCGCAGGAAGTTGTCCCAGATCAACGATGACTCAGGCATCTCGAGGAATTTCACGCCTTCTATCAGGTTGTGCAACCTCGGCGAAGTGAGGGAAAAGACCAGACGATGGACAAGGAACTTGACGTCGTCGGAGGTGAGTATGAAGAAGTCCGAGGTCGCCGTGTCGTCAAAGGGTGCATTAGCAATTGTATACCGTTTGGTCATGATGATAGATGGTCGCAGTTGGGCGAGGACGCTGAGGTACGAAGTCAACTTGAGCAAGATTGACGTTCTTCACCTGTGAGAAAGAATTGCCGCTCACTTGAACTCCTTTTGAGTTTGATGCATTACTTCACTCGGAGGTGCCTCCCACGATCTTTACGAATCGACCCCCAATGTGCAACCATCAAATGACAGCTATAACTCAACATGTCATGGACATAAACATACGAGGGGCAGGCCAATGGCATGGTATCAAAGATGAATAAGAAGTCGGGTATTATGGGAGTCCACAGCCAGCGAGAGAGCTTCTCCGGTAAAGTACATTTCGTGAATCATCCATCGTGGACCGCCCAGCCTGCGAACTGTCCAGCTGCAGAACTTAACGCTTAGCAGTCTCGCTCGCTAGGAGGTGGCAGAGTATGGTCGTCATCCTCAAGAATAACGGACGTCGCTGCAAGGAGCTGGGGTCAGCGCTTCTGCAGAAAAGAAGAAGAGATAGTGAGTCACATACTGTCTTCCTCCGGAATCCGTTTACGCCAGGTGTCCCAAAAGTAATCAAACATAGGCCATACGGGTCGCTAGAACGTTCATGAACACATAATTGTAACTATAGCTAGAAGGTACGTACGTCAGATGCCGAGAGGTAGTTGGTCTTCGGGGGCATCATTAACGCGTTAATGTCGTCCCGTGCGTATTCGTCCTCGTCGCCTTGGACAGGAAACTTCACCTATACCCGTCATACAGAGTAAGCAAGGAGCTTCGCAGCTACTGCACGCGCATCAATGACGCTCACCGAACAAACGGCCTCCTCGACCGCAGCTGCCAGAATCTCCGCAAAATCCTCCACATCCTTCCACGCCGCCGCAGCACACTTCGAGCACCTCATAGCGCATTCAATCGCTGGCTGCAGCAGCCTTCGGTCCTTCGCAACCTTCGGATCCAGCTTCTCCACCAGCGCCGCGCCCGCCGCAGCCATATACTCGACCCAGTAGTCAGGTACCCGCACCGTCCCGCACGCCGTCCGATGCCACTTCAAGCTCCGCCCCGGAAGGAGCTTCGCGCATTCCCAGCACTCGCTCAGGAAGCAGAACCGCCGCCACTGCAGCTGCACCCACCACGGCACGTTGTCGTCGGCGATGCGCGTGACGCTCACCGCAGCCGCGACGCACTTCTTGCGGTACTCGAGCAGACGGACGAGGTCCGTCCCCTCCGCCATCTCCGTCAGCTTGAGTGTGGGCGGGATCGGGTGCGAGAGGGTGTGGCGAGCTGCCACGGCCGCGATGTCCTGCATGTGGGCATAGGTCGCGAGGGCATAGATGACGTAAGGGTCGGCCTCCAGGTGGTCTGGGCGGAGGAGGTGGGGACGCATGCGCTGGGCGACGCTCGGGGCATCGTACTTGGTGGAGAGCTCGAGAATGGTGTACACCTCGTTCAGCATGATCGAGGGCTCGAGGATGGGGTAGATGAAGCGCAAGAACAGGTCGAGGTTCTCGCTGGAATCCGCGAGGTCAAGGACGGGGCGCTCCTTCTTGTGGCGACGACCTGAGGAAGACGAGGGGGGAGGCATCCGAGCCAAGGGAATGAGCTGGGTGAGGACCCTGGAGGCAATACGGAGGAGTCTCTTGTGGACCAGGAACTCCACGCCATCGCTCGAACGCAGCACAATGTCGGCGTCGCGACAGTCAAAAGGGTGGCTCGCGCGAGACGTCCGAGTCGAGGATGAACTCTGCGAGTATGCTAGCATTGTGCCAGTACCAAAGTGAAGGGAAAGCGTGAGGGCGGGAGGCAGAGGACTTGCTCCGCCTCCGACATATGTACCCAGGAACGGGCCAGATTGACGGTCTGGGGGCGATGAGTACGCCTGCACTCATGACTGCGCTTCTCCACTTCCTCGAGCGCGGGACGGGGACTTGGGTTCCTATTACCTCAACGAAATGCTCATACGCTAGGAGGTGGACTCGGCGCGAAGGCACGTGTGAATGCTATGCCTACTCGGAGGCTTCTTCTCGCTGCAGCACACACTTTCTTGAAACAAGGAGGGTGGAGCGCCCACTCAGAAAGACCTGGAGGGCAAGGTTCAGCACATAATCGCCCGAATGTAGACTGAACTCAAAGATACACATCTCATGTGGTACGCATGTGGCACAAGATAAGGCGCCGCTGCCAGTTTCCTGTTATTACTGCGACATTAGACGTCGCTGGAAATGGTCTCCGAGCTTAGGGCGAAGGCCTGGCCACCAAATAGCCACGCAGCCTGAATGGCAAAGAATGGACACGTCGTACTAGGATTCACAGGGAAGACCACCCACAAAGGATAGCCATGAGGCCTCGAAGCTAGATAACGGCGCCTCATGACGCACCTGCAGCACACGAGGAACACGCGGACGGTTCTGCCGCTCGTTCAGCGGTGGAGACAGGGGCTATGGCACCGAGCCAGGTGCCGCAGATCGCGAGTGATCAGCGATGCAGCACGTTCGGCGCGATGGCGGACGTAGCGTCCGTACGTAAAAGCACGACTTACAGAGGATATGACGGATGCTTTGTGAAGACCGCATTCCCGCCATCACTGCTGAAAGGAAGACCATTTCCACAGTTCTCGTTGCAGAGATCAGCGCCATTACAAAGCGCCGCCGCGGAACGACTATCCAGGCAGGTGGTCTTCTCGCGCCTTGCGCTCAGTGCCACTTGTGGATGACTTCGTGACCATTCGGGTGATCAAGCTGCGATAAAACGAAGAAACTCCAGACGAGATTTGCAAGATCTACGCTGTACGCATGCCGTCAATGACTTGGTGAATACAGTAGCACAGATGCACGTACTGGCGTGAACTTCCATGAGCTGAGGTCGCAAGGAGTTCTGAGACTGCTTAGGGTGTATGTCTGAGCAGCTCACGAGTGACAGATCCTGCCGTACTGGGACGCGTCGCCTCCCCGCTCAAGATGGCAAAAAGGTATTGACAACAAGTACGACACAGGCACTCCATCAAGTCTGAGATAGTATGAGCGTTAGTGCGATGACCTCGTTGTGACTAAGCAAGGTGGTGATAAGAACACAACATGAATATTGTGACCTTGGATCCTTCAGCGTATCGAACACAGCGCTAAATGATCCTACATATGGTAACGTTCTAGGACTCGTGGTAAAATGGTCGCCGTAGTCAGGATGGAGAGGGGGACACACTTAGATCATTACGACGAGTATTCGTACGTGTCTGACTGTGGAGAGTAGGGAGTATGTCAACTGATGAATGACACATTCTCCGGCGAAGGCCTACGAATACGTGCTTGAGGAAGGTGATTCCCCTTCATTCGTTATGGTAGGGATGACGAACGTGTCTTGTTCGCCACGCTCTTCCATCCATACACAACGGGTAAAGGGGCATATCCTCCCATCTAAGATCTACGGTGAGGAACTATCATGCGCACTCCCTAATGCCAAGACTGAAACACCACAGGCATTACGTTTGTCCGTCATGTAAATTCCTTGATAAAATAAGGCGTCGAGCGCACAACAACGACCGGATTGTTTGCACCGTATTCTGGACACTGCCAATGCCCGCGATTAGCCCGTAGGACTATATGTACGCTTTACCGGAATACAGCGTGCATATGCCCCGTTTCGAGAGCAATACGGGTACGCATACGGAAGCATGGTCAAGCTGCATATTCGAGTCCACTGACACGTCTCGTTGTCTATATGCGACAAAAAACAAGTGTACTCACCGGCTGTACCCACCAGCAAAACCGCGAGTATACCACGTACAACACGCCTGTCTGTGATGTTGCACCACACCTCAAGTCAGTGGAGTCCCGAGGTCTTTCTGGACTTCGTTACCTGTAGAAGCAATCAGTCAGACCCTCCCCTCTGGTTGTCGAAGAAATTCGAGATGGTGTAGGAGCACAAGTATGTACATACCTCAATTGCAACGTGGAGGTGGAAGTAAAGCAAGGGACCGCTCATAGGCGCCTTTCCAGTCGGCATTCCCCGAGTGCGACTTACGCGTCCCGACGCGTGTCGCGATGCACGTCCGATTCGCGTGCCCAGTGTCCTTGCTCCTCTTCCTCCTCTTCGTCCATTCCTCGTCATCTACCATGGATATTTCATTTGCATTGACTGGGAAGGGCTATGTCATTGTTGCGGCGGACACCGTTGCGGCGCGGTCTATCGTGAAGATGAAAGTGGACGAGGACAAGATCAAGGTCCTCAGCCCTCACCTCCTCATGGCATACTCTGGCGAGCCAGGTAAGCCACTTGTACTTACCATGCTGACATGTTACGTTCATGTTGACTTCTCTTCTCTCAACCCTGTACAGGCGACACTGTACAGTTCGCTGAGTACGTCGAGCGTAACATCCGTCTCTACCAAATCCGGAACACCCATGCCCTCCGTCCTCCCTCCGCCGCATCATGGATTCGCCGTACCCTCGCAGATTCCCTTCGCTCTCGCAAGCCGTATGCGGTGAACCTCTTGGTCGGTGGCTATGACACCAGCACACACAATCCCCACCTATACTGGATAGATTACCTCGGCACCATGTCAGAGGTGCCATTTGCCGCGCACGGCTATGGTGCGTACTTCGCTCTCAGTTTACTTGACCGGTGAGTACATCTGTATGCTTGACGATGTTTGATATTGCACTCTGAACTACTGCATTTCAGCTACCACGACCCTGAGGCGTCAGTGGAGGAGGGCCTCGCCACTCTGAAGAGGTGTATCGACGAGGTCGCGAAGCGGTTGGTTGTCAACCCGGAGAAGTACAAGGTGAAGATTGTAGACAAGGACGGCGTGCGGGAGGTGGAGATCTGAGCGTGCATAGTCGCGGACGTTCATCCTTTGTCGTAGGTGTCTTGCTTGCTCATCCTGCTTGTCCCTGTCTAATTCTCAATTCTATATAGTATTGTTGTATTGTAGCAATGAAATGGAGCATACCATCTACTTTGAAGTCTGGTCAGACGCGGTGGGTCCGGTTCTAGAAGTTTGGTCTCGTTCGTCTACATCCTTGGCTTGCGAGTACCATGATCTTATTCACACACTCAAGGTAATGTGACCTTATCACCTGAGTTTCCGCAAGTTCAGTCAGCCTTGTTGGGCAGATACATAGTCAATCCGAGCACTCACGAGACACAGGAAGGATTGTGCTGCGGCACCCCAGCAAAGGCATATAGTCCCTGCTCTACACATTTCTCGCTTGTGTCCCCTCTGATCCTCGTTCTGTAGCAGCCATGTCGCCCACCCCAACAATCACCACCGCGTCCCTCGACGATGCTCCCTTCTACCTGGACCCCGCTGTTGGGGACCTGATCATCCGCGCATCCGATTGCGTCGACCTCCACGTTCACAAAGACATCATGACCCACGCGTCTCCTGTCTTCTCCAGCATGCTCTCCCTCCCACAGCCCAAGTCTCATTCACCCGGCGACGATTTCTGCGACAAGCCCCTTGTTGACGTGCACGAAGATAGCGCCGTCTGGTCGCACCTCATCCCAATCTGCTACATCCCCTGCCTGCCCTCCCCACCCCTCTCCGCCTCCGATCTCGATCTCATCCGTGCCGTCCTCGACGCTGCGCGCAAGTACCAAATGGTGTCCGTCACCAACGTCATGCGCCGCGTCCTTGTTACGCGCCCGGTTGTACTGCAGAAGCCTGTCAGCGTGTACGCTGTGGGCTGCGTGTACGGGCTTGAGGACGTTGCGCGCGTCGCCGCGTGGAGCAGTTTGAGCGAACCCTTGTTCGTCGAGTACGTCCCGGAGCTGGACCTCATCTCCGTGCGCACGTTCCACCGGCTCTCGGAATACCGCACGCGGTGTGTCGCTGCCGCACTCAAGGTTACGGCTCCTGCGGGTCGTTGGGAGAACGTCAATGAACGTCTTCTTCGAATCGGGTCCGGGTCGGGTTGCTTCTCGCAAGACGGATGTCAGATTGTCGGCCGGGTCGGGACCTCCACTCTCTACCGAAGGTGCTGGGCGACGTATGTAGAGAAATTGGAGCGAATACTCGAGCAGACGCCAGATGCTGCGAAGGCGCGCTCTGCCGTGCTTTTGGAGCCAGTGATCCAGTCGGCGCAGTATTGCCACGTTTGCTTGAAAACGATCCACGCCAATGTAGACGCGGCTTCCACGGGGCTGGAGAAGATGTTGAAGGAAGCGATTAAGGAGGTACGCTCACAATGGGTTACATTCTTCCCGATGTCCCGTTATCACGGGTGTTCAACTTTCCTGCTAGGTTGTGCTTGAATTTTAGAACTTTTCAGAGCAAAGGTCAGAGCAAAGGGTGAGCAACAAGGTTTTGGTGTGCGCCGTGCATTGGATCAGGCTGACAAACGGACAGGGTGCAAGAAGGCTCTGGGATGTGATATCCTTGAGGAGCTGCTGTAGGACTTCGCGCGTTATGTATGATATTTGAACTCAGTCTGCTTTGCAACTCATGCCGTGTCCTAAGATGCAACTACCCCAGATTCTCGCGTTACTGTGGGAGTGCCTTGCGGCATAAGGATTCCATCCCCTGCAGAACTCACGTCCCCAACAATACACTGACCTACGCTCTCCTATTGATCCATGATGTCCAAAAACCGAGTTTCTACCTCCGTTCCCCCCTCGCCGCCCTACTTCCATCCCGCCACAGGTGACTTGATTGTCCGTCTTGCGGACAGCATCGACTTCCACGTCCACCAATGTACCATCGCGAATGTTTCTCTCGTCTTCGCCGACATGTTCTACCAAGCCAGTGGTGGCCTTCTGCGAGTCCACTGCCGTCTGGACGCACATCCTCTGCTTCTCCTACTACCTCCCCTCCTCAGACTTCATCGCGGACTCGCACCCTACGGGTTGGATCTTCCCGCCGACTTCTTGGCCGTGTCAAATTTTGACCGCATTACCGCCCACGTGCACCACCGTCTCCTGAGCACTGCCGGCGGTGCAAGCAACGCTTCCACGGAAGGACAAGCCGCGGGGTTCGGATTGGCTGGACACCACAACATGAGTTATTTCGTAGGCGAGGCATGGCGGCAGGGTAAGGAGGCCTTGCGGAAAGTCTGGCTCTTTAACTCCGGCCTGGTCCCGTATTTAATACAACTCTCCTCAAGGTTCTTCTGGTAACTTTTGATAACGTGCGATGAGGGTAAATCAGCAGCATCCTTGCCAGACAAGGCCCATCGGTTGGCCGCGTTCATCGATGAAGTATGCAGAGGATTTTCTCCCGGGTCAGTTCCTCACGGCTTAATCTTGAAACGTTCTTGCTTCGTTGAGCGTGCCCTGTAGTTCGTAGGTAGCGCTGGGCTTGTGGAGACAAAGAGCAGCGAACTTTCCGGATGACCTACCATGACTACAATTACGCACGTGTGAATCTCAGTATATGCACTAGGCCTCTCGGTATATTTGCGTCGCTCGGACACATCCCCAATCTGTCCTGTGTCACCCTTTCCCCACCCCTCAAGCCTTTGTTCACGACCTCTGGCAGTACAACGCTTCTTGCTATTGGTTTCACTTATGCAATTCCCTGCACGCAATTCAGGCTCGTGCATGCAGCGTACTTGCCATTTCGATTGTCGAGAATGTCTTGTAGACCCGGAAGTGATTGAATACCGTGATTTCAACACCAAACTGATACCTGCGGCCGAAACTATGGGCAAGGCGTGAGAGTCGTGGGACAAGAGATCCGGGCGATGAGGCCTTGAGGTCTGGTGCTGCGGCAGACGCGCGCGTTCGGATTATTCGGTGTACCCACTAGTAACCTCTCTTCATCTATACCTGACTAGAACAAATATTCCTAGTCGACACCTATACAACACAGTCATGCCGGACGAGACGGCGGCGAAACAGGCTCCCTATCGTGATCCTTCCGTCGGATACCTTATCTTGAGGAGCTCTGACGGAGTCGACTTCTACGTTCATGGTCAGCGCCTCGGAGACGTTTCACCCGTATTCTCAGGTATGATATCCCGGCCCCGCAACCCGTCATTGCCGGAGAGGGAGGTGGTGCTTGTATCTGAGGCTAGCGGGATTTGGGAGAGACTGCTTCCTATGTGCTATCTTCACGAGGTACCCGCTATCGCCTTGGGAGATATGCGTCAGCTATGGGAGGCCGGAAGGAAGTACGGCCTAGTCGGTGTCATGGGGTGGATTCAAGCACTCCTCTTCAACTCTTCATACCTTCATTCCGACCCTTTCGTGGTCTACTCCCTCGCCTGCGTATTCGGCATGGCCCCTTTGGCGCGTCTCGCTGCGAAGCACACCCTCCGGTTTCCTGAAATCCCTGACATCTCCGAATTCGCTTTTATCAACGGACGCGCGGTCTACCACCTTTGTGTGTACCGTAAAAAGTGCGGTATCGCGGCACAGGCCGCGGTGACACACAAGACGAAAGGGCGCTCATACCTGCCGGAGTGGTGCACAGAGATGAAGGGTATCCGGTCGGAGATTTCCGCTTGCAGCCCCCTGATCCCAGCGTTGTTACGGGTCAAGTCAACGGTCATGACTTTTAGACGACGGATGACCGGTCACTGTGTGACCCGGTCATGACCGCCGGTCAAAAGTTAGCACGTGAGATCTCCGGCATGTCCGAGTGTGCGTCTGACGGCAGGCCATGGCTCTCGAATAGGCCAAACACATCGTGGCCGCGAGGAGGTACAATAAGGGCTGATGAGACTATTGCATACTCATCCCTGTCCTTGAATTTAAATGACCTACTACCCCATAATACGCCATATCTGAGCTGCGAACCGACAAAGAGCTTGCCGACGGATAGATAAAAAATCAACTCATAGGGAACGGAACTCGACTTGGATATGAAGGCCGACGAGAGAACTAGCTGTATATGACAA